CTGCTGTGCTGACAGAATGTCTGTCAGACACCAAGTCCTGGATGAGAGCTAACTGTCTACAGTTGAACGTCAACATGACCCGGCCCTCCTGATTGGCTCACGTCAACACCTCCATATCGTAAGGCGCTAACAGCATCACCATCCATGGTTGCACATTCCACCTTACTAAGACAGTCCAGAACCTTGTTTGACTCTCAACTATCCTTTCTACCCCACATCCATGCCACGACACGTTCTGCCTTCCCCCACTTCCGTAACATCATCTGTCTCCGTCACTGTCTCACACCACAGGCCGCCGAAACCCTCAAACACGCTTGACTATGCAAACTCCTTGCTTGTCGGCCTCCCCAACTCCTCCTTTCATAGGCTGCAGATCATCTAGAACTCTGCAGCCCATGTCCTCTCCCGCACCAGGATCCGTGACTATCACTTCCATCCTTGCCCGACTCCACTGGTTTCCCATCACACAGAGGATACAGTTCAAGATCCTGGTTCTCACCTTCAAAGCCCTCCAGGACCGTGCTCCATCCCGCAGTCCCTCTGTCTCGCCCCCTCTCTTGCCTCCTTCAAGACCTGTCTCAAGAAGACCTCCTCTTCGACCATGCTTTCGATCACCCTGCTTCCCCTCCTGCCCTCCACCCTCCCCAATCCCAACCCCCAGCTCGGGTCCGAAACACTGACTGTGCAGCACCTTGGGACGTCCTCCCATTGTGAAAGGTGCCATATAAATGTAATTTTATTGTTACTTGTCCAGCTAGGACCATCCTACCCATCAGGGCTTTGGGTTGTAGGGTTAACAGGAGCTGAGTGGAAGGATTCCCTACCCTTCGTGACTGGTGTTCCCTTCCAAGTCCCGCCGATGAGTCAGGCTGGCTGTGCTGTCATCAACAGTGCCCTGGAATACTGCGAACCGGCCGGGAACCGGACTACCGACCCCTGTTCGGGTTCAAATCCCTGACTGTCCAGCGCCTTGGACGTCCTCTCATTTTACAAATGTAATTTTGTATTGTATCATATCTAAGATGGGGTGCAATTTCAGCTGTAATAAGTTTACAGACAACTAACACATTCTCAGATTTGTTACACAAATGATTGATGACTCCATGGGAGTGACTTTTCAAGCCATTATTGCAGTTGCTAATCCAGACCTTAAAACAAGGCGCTAACATCAAACAGATTTACATTAAAACTGGATTTAGACTGTTCACATTGAAGGCACAATCCTATCTGTTCCTATTTTGCGAGCATCCAAAAAAAAATCAAGGTTAGGATTTCAATTGTGGGCAAGAGGAGTCAATAATCTTCTAATTCGGACAAGTAGTGACTCACCAGCAGTGTCATCCTATTACTTTGAGCTTGATTCAAACTGAAGGAAATGCTTTCAGCAGGCTACTTTATAGTTGACTGGACATGCTTAGTTAATTACTTGGTACATCAGCCGGGCTCACTCTCGCCTCTGATTCAGAAGATTATGGATTCAAGCCCTATGTTAATAATAATCCTTGCATTTGATTATAGCGCCTTATCACATCTTTGAGACGCCTCAAAGCGCTTCACAGAATATGCTGTAAAGTGAATTGACTATATATTTTGTGGGTAAAACGCGGCAGCCAATTGCCCATAGCAGTGTCCCACAAACAGTCAGGGATTGAGTGACCAAATTATTATTTTTTTTCAAGGAATTATTACCCCTGGGAAAGCAATCGGCCAATCGACTTCCATCTAGGTTCCTACTTACTGCTACGTTAACAGAGGTGTGTGGAGTAAGGAAACTTGCCCAACGTTTCGCCCTGCGGAGAATCGAACCCAGGTCCTCTCGTTTGCAAGGCGAGTGCTCCAACCACCAAGCTACAGGACTTAGCTGCTGGGACTAAAACTTACATAGTACACCGAAGCTGACACTTCAATGCAGTGCTGGAGGATTGTTGCCTTTTGAAGGTGCTGTCCTTCAAATGAGATGTTAAAACAGATCCCGTCTGCCTGTTCAGGTGGACATTAAAGATTCCATGATCTTATTCAAACAGAGAAGGAGGGATTTCTTCCTGGTATCCTGGCCAACAATCCCCCCTAAAAAAAATTGATTGTTTACTTCATGGGTGTTTGTGCAGCATCGCTGTATGTAAATTGGTTGCCGTTTTCATCCACAAATAGTCACTCCGCTTCACAGTAATTCCTGTGAAGTGCTTTTAAGACGTGCGCCCGACATAAAAGGCGCTACATCAAATGCAAGTATTATTATTATTACTACAACAATTTGCATTGATATAACGGCCCTCGTGCAGGGTAGCATCCCACAGCACTTATTATAGATGAAACTATAGAAATTAAGGAAGCCATTACTGTATTATCATCTCTCTCTTCCCATTCTCAATCCACGATTGTTTGTGGGACACAGCTGTGCACAATTGACTGCCGCGCTCACAAAATACATAGTCACTACACTTGAAGAGTGTATTCTGCGAAGCGCTTTGAGACATCTCAGTGATGTGATAAGGCACTATATCAAATGCAAGGATTATTATTATGATAACCCACTGCTGAAACTCCGGACACAATGAATTGTAGTAGGATGAAGACATTCGTTTTTAGTTGTCATTTCTTACCTGCAAGCAATCACATTAGACATAGAATTACATTAATTCTTATTGTGTTTGGTTGATGCATTTAAGTCAACTGAACTTCCAGCTGCTAAATTGGCTACAAAGCCATTTTTTAAATTCAACTCTATTCTTTCTCCTGCGCTCTCTTTACATGTTCCTAAGCAACAATGCTGAGTATCAATTTTCAGACAGTCTACGTAGCACAGCACCCCCATCAAAGTACTATTATGTGCATATATATGTGCAAGTGCAAAATATATTCCAGAGATACAAGCCGCTGAAATGATTTCAACCTACGAGTTCTGTAAAAGTAAAATATGGGACGTTTATGCATGGGCAAACATTTCGTTTTAAAGAACTATTATTTGGTTTCAAAATCTTTCAGCATTGGTCATATCACGATTAAATATTCATCTGGTGCAAGCTTCAATATTGAATAAAACTCTCTGGAAAATGTTTTCCACATAATTCCAAAATCTTGAACTTGGTATAATAATCATTTTGTTTGAGAGAGCCCCTTATCACATCTTTGAGACATCCCAAAGCTTTTCACAGGATTTTTATTGTAGTGACTGTGTATTTTGTAAGTAAGGTTACCCAGTTTCCTTGAGGCATGAATCTTACCAGTTGAGAGGTATTCACGAACCTCCAGAGGTGACATCTATAACAAAGTGACCTAAAAATAGAGGTGTTCTATGAAGAAGGTACTACTTAGTGAAGTGACAAAGCCCCTCATGTTTATTTAGGCTGCAATAAAATAAACACAATAAATACAGCTTTATTTGGTGTGTGGCTTAATTTCTTCTAGCAAAACGGTAACAGGAACAGCAGCGTGTCCCAAAGTGCTGGACCGGGATTGGACCTGAACTGGGGGTTGGGATCAGGAGTGGAGGACAGGGACTGTAGGGGTAGGAGGGTGACCAAAGGCATGGTCAAAGTGCAGGGTCTTGAGAGGGCCTTGAAGGAGGTACGGTGACTGTGGGACGAGTTCCAATGAGTGGGGGCAGAGAAGCTGAAGGCCCTACAGCAGATGGCGGGGCAGCCGGAGGGGGACATGGAGCATGCCGGAGCTCGCTGAGGGATGTATCCCTAAGCCCTTTTACAACCCCCACCCCTTCCTATGAAGAGATGCAATTGTTGTACAATCTATACATCAAATGCCTGCCTAAATGAATTATTGCCCAATTGACAAATTTTGTCAAAACTAGTGTCAGCTAACCACCTCATTAACCACAAAGCTAGGAAAGGCTGTATTCCATAACTTCACTGATAGTTGATCAATAGGTGTGATAGCTGACACCCAACAGCTGGGTTATTGCGTAGATTGACTGAATGTGCCTCGAATGGGTCTGTATGCTTTACAAATATCAGACAACAATAAAGGCTTTATTGTATCAATAGAGGTTTGGTCTTAATGTAACCACTCAAACAAGATTTCCACTAAAATGGAAATTCACAGCGATGGTTTATCTGCTTTAAAGCTGTTTAATTAGAAACTATTTTCAGATTTTCTGGGATGAATGGGAAGAGGGGTGGGAAAGAAAGGCAAGTGGTGTCTCTTTGGAGCTCAGATGGCTGAGACACAAGGCGTTTGTAACCAGAATGTTAGAATCAATTCAATGCTCTGTGGCGGTCTCAGTAGTCCAGTGCTGCTGACGACAGCTAGCCTGGCTCATTATCAGGATTTGGAAAGGCAGTCTGATCAATGGAGGCTATGACTCTTTCCATGCAGTTCCTGTAAGACCTGAAAGCCAAAGCCTTAGCTTATAGGGAGATCCGACTAAATAAGCAGCTGGAAACTTGTCAGACAATAATAATAATAATAATCCTTGCATTTGATAAAGCGCTTTTCACGTCGGGAGGACGTCCCAAAGCGCTTCACAGAACACACTGTAAAGTGAATTGACTGTATATCTGTGGGCGAACGCGGCAGCCAATTGCGCACAGCAATGTCCCACAAACAGTCGTAGATTGAAAATGACCAATTTATTATTGTTTTGGGTTTTGGAGGGATTATTATTAGGTGTGTGGAGTAAGGAAACTTGCCCAAGGTTTCACCCTGTCTGGAATTGAACCCAGGTCTCTCACTTACAAAGCGAGTGCTCTAACCACTGAGCTACAGGACTCCACGATACTCTCAATAGCGAGCTATGCAGTTTTATCTTGTTAAACTCTAGCAGAACCCCAGTGCACACTTTGGGTTTCTGGAGCTCTCAACAACCTGCATCAAATATTACCTGGAATTAGGTAAGCAGAGTGCATCCCACCAGGGAGAGTGGCCAAGAGTTCACGAAGGAGAAACCGGTCAAGGAATGCTTTGGTGGCTTCTATAACAAGGTGTTAAACATTTTATCACTTGGAAACTATCTTAGAAATGAACACATAAGAAAACAAAAGATATGAAGACATGTCTAAAACACTTTATTCAGCCATTGCATAGACTTTACAGTTGGAACTCTGGAAATTCATAAACAACATCTTTGCCAGTTAGTTTCTTGTAGACTGCAGAGAATGTATCAACCTGTAAAATAAATCATAACATTAGAAACCCATTTCTCTAAAAGTCTCTCTTCCCCCCTCCTCCACCCCATAAAAAAATAAGTCAATTGTGTCAAATTCCTTTTTGAGGACATCTTAACCCCCAGGTCATAACAATCCTTACTTAAAACAGCCAATCTTCAAACCACACTACTATTAAGAGTCTGCACACCAGTCCATTGGGAACCAAGTAAAAGGCTGAACAAACCCTCTTGGAAACCTTGCAGTCTTTCAAACCCAGACACCAAAGGAGACAGGGACATCCATTATAATTCTGACACCTATAAAGCTGTGTGCGATTGAGGGGTATATAACTTTCTATTTGTCAGATTTGACCAACGATGGTCAATATTAGGCTCTTGAGCTGTAAAAGAGCTACATATTCCCAGTGTCATCAAAAACTTGCAAAAACCCTTTTCTGCATGCACATTTGGCTCCCATAAGTTTAAGTTTTCATGAACAGCAGAGAAGAGGCACAATTAAATTATTTTCAATACTACCATCTTCACAAAATAATTCAGCATTCTACAAATGCAAACATGTATTTTGCAATTTTATTTTTTCGAATAGGTTCACTTTAAGTACTCAAGTGAATTGCTCTGTGGGGTGGTTTACAAAGATGCTGAGAAGGTCTAGGAATATACAGGATGGAGTCCTCACCAGCCCAACGGCTGGGAATAAACATAATATTCAGCGTAGTGGAATAGGACTATATGTCACTGTACTTGTAGGCACTACGCTCCCACACACCACACAGACAGAGCCAAAGAGAGCAACTTCTCTGGATACCCACTTTGGAATTTTTCTGGATTTAATATTCAGACAAAGGGCTGCAACCCACTACTTTTACAATCCTGGGTCTAACTTGTAGCATTTGAAATTATGGAAACTGAGGCTTGGAAATTGTGTTCAAATACTAAATTAAAATCTTTATAGTGAGGGAGCCCATGGTGGTGAACCATACAATAGCTTCAAAGCTTTATAAATGCTGTGGGTTTAATGTGTGACTCACTTTGTGCTCGACATTGTTCTGCTGTGCCTTGTCCAAGTGGACCTTGATGAGCCTTGTACCATCCAGTTTGACACGAATTCTCTTGCCCACAATCTCACTAGGGAAAACCAGATCTTCAAGGATGGCATCATGCACTGCAGTCAATGTGCGGCTGAAAAATAAAAACACATTGTCAACCCACAACACAAATTCACTCAAGAAAGTTAATATTGAAGCCATGTGAAATTGATTGCTCAATTTAATTTGCCACAGCCATCAGATAGTTGTGTTTATAAGGCAATGAGTGTTTCTTACTTTCAACAGGCTGTGTTACATGGTTAAATAGCTGTCTCAGAATTTGTCTTCCTTTCTAAATTAGCTGCATTCCAAGATTCAAAATTGCTATTGACCCAAGCTGTGTGAAAACTGAAACTGTACAGAGAAAATCCATTGCTTTATTACCGGAAAGGACAAGATAGGCACATCAAAATTCCAACGAAGACAATTTCATTATAATGAGAGAACTTTTAATGCTGAAGAGCAAGGCACATTTCCAAACTATAACCAATCGATCATGTGCATGGTACACTTAAATCAATTTAATTTCAGATCAAAATGGAAAAGAACCATGTTTTGCCTCAAGGATTTGGTCAATACTGCTTGTAACTTGGGAAAAAGCACTAATTTACTTCAGATGGGAAACTAAGGAAGCACCTGAACTAAATCACATTTAATGAGCTAGCACCAAGTTAAACTTGACGTAAGGATGCAAGTCGCAGGAACCTGGGAACGGAGCAGCAAAGAGCAGACCCAAATGGCTGAAAGCCCTGACGCTAATGGTGCGGTGGACAGAGTGGGGAACAATATACGAGAAGTTGGCACTAAGTTTTAAATTAAAAAAGTATGCTTTATGGCTACACTTTCCTTTCACCAATTTCTCCTCCCTTAAAAATACATTAATGCTTTTCCCTCCTAGTAAGGTGAAGTTCCATAGGCACCAGCCACTTTCCAGTACCTTGTTCAAGCGGCAATATTTTTTTGCGAGCCTAGACAGCAAGTTCACCTCCCTCAATATTCACACAAACCACCTACCAGCAAGGGGCTGCTAAATAATAATCAGAAACAAGAACATTGGCACAACCAAGACAACTGAGATATTGTACATCTCATGTCAGGGTAGAACAAGAAATCGAGGTGGAACTTCCTGATCTACAGTTCAGTTACCACTGAAAGAACCCCTAATACTTTTTTTTAAAAAAACAAGAACTTAAAACACAAGCAAGTAGGGGAATGAATTGCCAAAGTACTTGCTAGTCCTGCCACCTTCTAGTGTCTGACACTGGAGTAACAAGTGATACAGGAAGTCTCTCATCCTCATGTAATTAATTCACAGGTTATAAAGGGAAGAAAGGCTCCAAATAGTGCCCAGCACTATATATAAAACATATAAAATGTTTCCCGACAGGCCAGCTGAAAGCAATTTCAAAGTTAATCATCCTTTTTTTAGAAATACTGATAGTGAAGCTCTAATGTTGCACGTTCTGTCACCAAACCATACACAGATCCCATCATTAAGTTAAGCCACTCTTAATTATAATGCAACCCGCAACAAACCCCAAAAAATGACAAAAAAGGATTACTGGAATTGAATAATGTCAACCAATACACAATGAAGCTTTTTAAAAAAAATAAAGTTACTTTTACTTCTGGCAATTGGGCTATACAGTTAATATCCTTGCATTTGATATAGCACCTTATCACATCTTTGAGATGTCTCAAAGCACTTGACAGAATATACTGTAAATGACTATATTTTGTGGGCAAAACTAGCAACCTAGTTTTGCATCACTTTACAAGTTGCGTAGAACCTTTGAAACAAAAGTTACCTTCTGGGACGTCGCTGCTTACACTTTAAACGGCTTCGCCTGGTTGGTCTTGGCAGAATCCTTCTCTGTATATTAAAACAAACAACCCAAAAGTAAGTTTACCCAGCAAAAGATTGGAGCAACAAAATAGCATACATTTCATGGAAAGCTTAACAACTTACCTGTGCAATGAACACAACATGCTTGCCACTGAATTTCTTTTCCAATTCCCTGACAAGTCGCACCTGGATCTTCTGGAACGACTTCAGCTGGGGCACTGGAACAAAGATGATGATTGCTTTTCTGCCAGAAGCAACCTCAATTTCCTGTAAAACAGAAGTTGTGAAATTCAAAATGTCAAATGATCCCCTGAAAATTGATTAACGTGACTAAAATGCTTCATGTTTTTTCGTATTTCTGCAAATAGAACATCTCACTTGACATTATTTAAAGCAAGACTCCCAAAAGGTTGGGGAACACTGAAATTTGCATGCCAGGATTCAGACATGCTAACTGTAGGATCTCCAAAACTCAAACCCTACCTGTAAAATATACAAAAACACCTTTATACAAGGATATTTCCCCCCACTCCCAACAGCAAAAATAAATTTGAAATAAATTTTAGATCTGACAGTCTCATTAAAAACACCATTGGGTATAGTAGAGAATATCCACGCTAACTGAGACTGGTCCCAGTAGATAATAAATCGCCATAATTTGATAATACAAAATAAAATTGTTAGTCCTAACCAAAATAAATCTTCAATAAGGGTTTTATAATGTCCCGAAGTACCACATTGTGCCAGCCTTCCTTCTCTCCTACCTTTCATCCCTCTCTCGCGTGGGCACACACAAAACACACTCTTTCTCGATCTAGACATAATACACACTGTAAAGGTCTCTCACAGATTGCTCAATAAATTTACTTTTGCACGGTTGGTTCAGGCATGCTGGCAAATCACAGTCCTAATAACTCTGCCAACATTTGAATTTTCTATGTCCCAAGTTGGGAGTCCAAGTTCATTTTTGATTTCAAGATCTATGTGGACAGTTGCTGTTCTACTGCATTTCTAAATACATTAAACTGTATAAGGATGTTATTTATTTTTAAAAAATTACACTGGTAGTCAATTATTATCTGAGAATTAGATTCATATAAAAAGATTGACTGAAAGAATATGAAATTAAAATATCACTCCTAGATTTTCTGCAACGTAGGCTTATTACTAGACGATGCGTGACCTTCAAACTACAGTGTCATTCACAGTACTAAAGTTGTAATACAAAGTTTGAACTGTTATGAATGTATCCTGCATGGTTTATCTTCTCAGTAATTGTCAGAGACTCTGAGAAGGTCTAGGAATATACAGGATGGATCCCCACCAGCCCAATGGCTGGGAACAAACATAATATCCAACGTTGTGGAATAGGATTATACATCACTGTACCTGTCGGCACTACGCTCCCATACGCCACACAGACAGAGCCAAAGAGAGCAACCTCTCTGGATACCCACGTTGGAATGGTTTCCACTTCACAATGCATTTTTTTTAAAAATGCTTAAGACAATTACAGAGCATCCCTGTTATAACACCAACAAGCCTGAGTTGGTATGCTGTGGAGTTCTGGGTGACCTGAAACTTGTGCAAATTAGAGTTGGGAACGTGAACAGGCAGGAAAAGTCAAGTCTGAAGATGAGTCACTGCTGAGGGCTATGACTGTCTTAGGGATTAAACAAGGACCGAAGCAACCCATAATAATACTTGCATTTGATATAGTGGTTAATCACATCGTTGAGGTGTCTCAAACCGCTTCATAGCATATATACTATAATGACTATTTTGTGGGCGAAACACGGCATTAATGTTCGGGAGATGAAGGAAAGCAGGCTCACAGACTAGATCAAAGGCATTGTAAGAGGTCCCATCCTTTGCATGAGACATTAAACCAAGGTTCTGTCTGCCTGGTCAGGTGGAGGTTAAAGATCCCGTGGCGCCACTTGAAAAGGGAAGGAACATTCTGTTGGATCCTGGCCAGCAATCTCCCAACAATTCATTTCTGGAATTTCCATGTGTGGGCGGGATGTATGGAATTTAATTTGGATACTCTTAAGCATGGTGATGAGTTTGTGTCAGGCACCTGTCTGACCACCCCCCCAAAATCCCCCAAATTAGATTGATCAATCTACGACTGTTTGTGGGACATTGCTGTGCGCAATTGGCTGCCGCGTTCGCCCACAAATATAAAGTCAATTCACTTTACAGTATGTTCTGTGAAGCGCTTTGGGATGTCCTCCCGACGTGAAAAGCGCTATATCAAATGCAAGGATTATTATTATTATTATTATCATCCACTTCATGGTCACTGATTGACATTGCTGTGCTCAAATTGAATGTTGCATTTGCCCACAAAACACAAATATCCTCCCAACATGAAAGGTGCCATACCAAAACCAAGGATGATTATTATAACACTGCAAGTGATTGCAAGTGCAGAAGAACATCCCGTTAAATGAAGCACAGTAAAAATGCCGGGAAAAGTAAGAATGGAATTAGAATGTTTGGAGCCTCAGATATACCAAGAAGGAAAGATCATGAAGAAGGACGGAATGACCAATAATTCTCCCCACACAATTGGCAAACTTGACCAGGTTTCCTAGAGATGACTCATGGTTAACATTCAAGCGCCGCTCTTTCAGTTTCAAACAGCACATCCTTCTAGCAGGAGTTTTTGGGGTTAGCCATGTATGACACATGTAAAAAAATAATAATCACAATCACAGCATGTAAATCTGAGCCTAGCTATGCATGCCACTGACAAATTGAAATCCCCCTGGTCTGGAAAAGTGTAAGCATTCCCCTGCTTACCCAATTCCAACAACAACTTGCATATATATAATATATAGATATAGAAAGAGAGAGAGAGAACTCCTCATACATGGCAGAGCACCCCAGAGCGCTGGACAGTGGCAGAGCACGATGCCGAGTAGGGGGGAGGTGACCGTAGGCGCTGTCAAAGACGGAAATCTTCAGGCACGATCTGAAGATGGGGAAGGAGCAAGGCGGAGGGATAGAGGAAGAATGTTCCAGAGTTTTGAGGTGTAGTGGCTGAAAGCGTGGCCACCAATGGTGGAACGGAAGTCATGAGGAACATGCAGAAGGCCGGAGTCAGTCGAGCAGAGGCAGCGGGTTGTGGGTAAGCAGGTCGGAGACGTATGAAGGTGCCAGGGCATGAAGGGATTTGAAAACGAGTGTGAGGATCTTGAAATCGATCCATTCGGCAGAGGGAGCTGGTGGAACCTGGCTAGGACAGGTGTGGTAGGGGCACAGAGCTCAGTACGGGTGAGTATGCAGGCAGTGAGGTTTTGGATCAGCTGGATTTTGTGGCTGGTGGAGCTGGGGAGACCGGCAAAGGGGGGATTTGAATAATCTAGGTGGGAGGTGACAATTCCAGAAGGCATTAGGTGAAGGATGTCAAGAGCTTGGGAATTCCATGGAGTGTTTCAGGGGACTGCTGAGTTAACCAACTAAAACTGCATAACTTGCCACTGAGAACACCTCTGGCAAGGCTTCCTTCTCTTGTCCAGTTTGGACAACCCTATTCACACAAAATGTGCAAGTGCACTTCCAAAGTCTTCATGTCCGTAGCTTGCACATACCCCCCTACCCATTGATCATTGGTTCTACAAGTTGGAATAGTGGAGCCTCAGCAACAATTGCTTATCGCCCTGCACACCAATCAACGTAGATAAAAAGTGTGCTCACAAACCCAGCCTCCAGGGAATGCCTTTAAGCAACTGTCATCCCCAGTTTCCTAATCAGCTATTGAACTGGTTTCCTACAGCATGATAGGAACACCTATCTGTGACAACTTGTAATGCTCCAGTCACATTGATCTTCTAGAGGTGTTCCAGAGTTTCGGGGCATAGTGGCTGAAAGCACGACTTCCGATGGTGGAACGGAGGGTGTGAAGTACAAGCAGGAGGCAGGTGCCAGTCGAGCAGAGGCGCCAGGTGGTGGATTGGGGAATTAAGAGTTCGAAGAGGTAGGGAGGTGCCAGAGTGAAGAGATTTGAACACAAGTGTGAGGATCTTGAAGTCAATACATTCGGTGATGGGGAGCCAGTGGAGCCTGGCCAGAACTTGTGAAATAAGCTTCTATGTTACAGTTCAGAAGTTTAAACTTGGGCACCAACAGGAAAAGCTGCCATATTTCAAATTTCTGTTATTTTTACATTGGCCTCTGGATTTCCAGAGCACTTGGGACAAAATTACATTTCAATGTGCAAAATCTGATGTGATTGCATAAGTATCAGATGTTTCCAAATGTAAGAATTATCATTGACTTTCAGCAGCCTTAGTTAACTGCAGCAGAAACTAGAAGATTAACCAAAATTTCAGGCAACATTGCAAACTGCCTTTTCCCAGTTCAACTGGTTAGGATTATTGAGACCATGAAAATAAAGTTCTGATGTTTTGTACATGCACAAATCTCTGACATCATTCCACTACAAAGATCATGACATTCATTGTGTCCATTCACCCTGGTACGACGTGAAAGGCGCTATACAAATGTAACCTTGCTGTTGTTGTACAGGCACTTTTCATAACTGAGTTGGATCTTCTCAATGCAAAGGCAATAGGAGATCAAGACCACCCTCCTTATGGGTAGGAAAGTGGGTTCTCATTGGAGTTGATCAGGCACTAAAGTGACATGCTTGGCAAAGGAACAGCTTAGCCAAGTCTGTGACAGTTTCAGTAGTCCAATTCCTGAACCGGATGGGACACAGTGCTGCAGGGGATCGCTGATGACAGACTAACCGTCACCTCTGCACCTTTAACTGGTTCCACCAATCAGCCAATCAAGGTGGATTCCAGTTGCTGGATATACAGACTTGTGTGCACGACCTCCAGATAACGCCTTCTTGCAGCTGTCGCCCCAAGCCTCAGAGTTTCCTCATCAGCTATCTGCTGGACATCTGCCTTCAGCGTGTTGCGAGGTTCTTTACAGGATGGCTTGTGGCCTGCTGGCTACCTCAATGTTCTTAAGATCCAACTCCAATGTTGCGTACCAGACAGCTGCTTATTCCAATTATTGGGTGTTCAATTGTGATACCCCAAGCCAGTTACAATAACTACAAATTTATTTTATGCACTACAAGTTTACATTTATAAAGCATTTTTCACATCTGGAGAATACCCCAAGGCTTTTGACAGTCCCAACTTGGCACTCAAGCTGGAGGCAGCAACGACAAGATTACATTTGTATAGCGCCTTTCACATCGGGAGGATGTCCCAAGGCCCTGGACAGTGTACAGCATTTTAGACCCGAGCTGGGGGAGGGGGATGAAGGGAGGTGGCCGATAGCATGGTCGAAGAGGAGGGTCTTAAGGCAGGACTTGAAGGAGGCTAAGGAGGGGGCGAGGCAGAGTGACTGGGGGATGGAATTCGAGAGGTTGGGGGCAGAGTGGCTGAACGCTCTTCCGCCAATGGTGGGGCGGGTGGGTCGGGGGACGTGGAGCAGGCCGGAGCCGGCTGAGCGGAGGGAACGGGCGGGTTGGTAAGGGGTTAGGAGGTCGCAGGGGTAGGGTGGGGCGAGGCCATCGATGGCTATGTATGTGAGGACCAGGATTTTGAACTGGATCCTCTGAAGGACAGGGAGCCAACAGGGTCAGGAGAGTGAGGGTGATGGGGTCACTGAGTTTGGTGCGGGAGAGGACACGGGCTGCAGAGTTCTGGATTATCTGCAGTCTATGGAGGGAGGAGTTGGAAAGACCGACAAGCAGGGCATTTGCATAATCGAGCCAGAGGTGATGAAGGCATGAACAAGAGTTTCAGCGGTCTGAGGTAGTGGCAGAGTCGGGCGATGTTACGGAGGTGATGGAAGGCAGAGGGGTCATGGCTTGGATGTGGGGAAGAAAAGACAGTTGAGGGTCAAACAAGACACCGAGGTTCCTGACTGGCTTGGTGAGTTGTAGTGTGCAATCATGGAAGTTGATGCTGCCAGAGTCTGAGGTGCTGAGGTGCTGAGGCGCTGGCGCGAGCCAATCAGGAGGGCCTCAGTCTTGTTCACATTCAACTGTAGGAAATTTGCCCTCATCCAGGACTTGTTGTCCGACAGACAGTCTGTCAGGACAGCAGTGGTCCTGGAGTTGAGGGTGGAGGCAGAAAGATAGAGTTGGGTGTCATCTGCATACACGTGGAAGTTGACCTCATGTCTGCAGATGTCACCAAGGGGGAGCATGCAGATATTAAAGAGGAGAGGGCCAAGGACAGAGGGGTGAGAGAGTGAGAGAGATAAGAATCGAACCAGGCAAGCGCAGATCTGTGAAGATTGAGTAAAGCGGAGCATGAGGATGGAGTGGTCGACAATGTCGAAGGCGGCAGAGAGGTCGAGGAGGACAAGGAGGCAGAGGGAGCCCTGATCACAGATGTTCAGCAAGGGTAAAAGATGACAAGGAGGAAGGTCTTGAGAAGGAGCTTGAAAGAGATTCAGTTACACTGAAAAGTTTCACACAATGGATGTCTTGCTATTTGTTCAAACACGTAAAACACTGAAATTCAAATTCACCAGACTTGAAAACAATAACATTAGAACCCCTTTAAAATCACTCTTCGGCATGATTTAATTTGTACGGTCAGCAGAGAAATTAGTTCACACTAGGTTAGTCCATTCCTTGCCCCAATAAAACACTCAATTTTAAGATTGCACGTTGTTAGAAATTGGTATACTGTATATATACCTTAGCAGCAGTGATATTCAGCTCCCGCAACTGAGCCTTCAGATCAGAGTTCATCTCCAATTCCAGGAGAGCCTGTGATATAAGGCGAAATTAACAACATTTCAAAGAATAGATCAGCATTATTTGATTTACACAATATAATGTACCAACGGTGAATCACAAATGCAAGTTGGAAGAGCAATTTCAACGGTACAACTTTCCAAAGGTAAGGTCTACAGCAAAGCACGGGTATTATTTGAAAGGCAAATACAGCAAATCAGCATTTTATAAAAATTACTGCAAAATAATCATTGCAATCTAAATAGCAAGACTCTGCTGCCAGAGACTTAACGCGAGTTTAATTAATATACAGATTAAACCGAAGTCTGGCCATCAAGTCACTCAATTATTATCGTACCTGTGAAATGCCAGACTCAAATTCGTCCGGCTTTTCGCCATTAGGCTTCACGATTTTGGCGCTGCTACTGAACATGGCCTATCTGGACAGTGAGGAGAGGGATAGAGTTAAGAAGTTAAACTCACAGCGGCACGAATGACGGATCAGCTCGTAGCCAATCCTTGACCAAAAGCTCACATTGAGGGTTACTCTCTCGCTTTTCCTCTTCCCGCACAAAAAAAAACCCCACCACCGATATAAGTAAGAGCTAAATGGGTGGAGGATCTCTGCTCTGCTCTCATCCCACCCATTGCTTTGCTCACACACACACAAAAAAAGCACAACAGGTCAACTGAAACTGTACATCAGGCAGAGAGGGAGAGGGAGAAGGAGGGGGAAGGAGGGAGAGAGAGGGAGAAGGAGGGGGAAGGAGGGAGAGAGAGGGAGAAGGAGGGGGAAGGAGGGAGAGAGAGGGGGAAGGAGGGAGAGAGAGGGGGAAGGAGGGAGAGAGAGGGGGAAGGAGGGAGAGAGAGGGGGAAGGAGGGAGAGAGAGGGGGAAGGAGGGAGAGAGAGGGGGAAGGAGGGAGAGAGAGGGAGAAGGAGGGAGAGAGAGGGAGAAGGAGGGAGAGAGAGGGAGAAGGAGGGAGAGAGAGGGAGAAGGAGGGAGAGAGAGAGGAGGGAGACAGAGGGAGAAGGAGGGGGAAGGAGGGGGAGAGAGGGGGAAGGAGGGAGAGAGAGGGGGAAGGAGGGAGAGAGAGGGGGAAGGAGGGAGAGAGAGGGGGAAGGAGGGAGAGAGAGGGGGAAGGAGGGAGAGAGAGGGGGAAGGAGGGAGAGAGAGGGGGAAGGAGGGAGAGAGGGAGAAGGAGGGAGAGAGAGAGGAGGGAGAGAGAGAGAGGAGGGAAGGAGAGAGAGGGACAAGGCCTAGTTGGAGGGGAGGTGTTAAAAACAGCAGCTACAAGGAAATAAGAGTATGTCCTGTCCCCCCCCACATGCAGACACTCACACTCTCTGCACGGCCAGGCCAGGCCAGGCCCGGCCCAGCAGCGGGTTGGTTGGTTAGTTAGTTAGTTGGTTACACGCCGAACTTTGCAGCCCGTTAAACGGATTGCTGCGCGAGCTGTGGGTGAGCGGCGGCGCGTGGCGCGGCGCGGGCCCGGGCCCTGCCCGGCAGTCAGTCCCTCCCCCCCTCTCTCTCACACACACACACACACACACACGGCTCCTCACGCCGAGCCTCGGCGGCCGCCTTCATCAAACCTCGCCTCTCCCCCGCTCGCCATCCGCCCCCCGGGCCCCGCTAATCTGAGCAATCCCGCACCGACGAGCCGCGGCGCGCGCCCGACCGGGGGCCCTTGAGCCGATTTCCAGCCCAAAAGCCGCCGGGAATCACCGGCGCCCGAAAACCTCCATCAACCGACCTCAGACAGCGACGGCCGAGGAAGAGGGCGAACTCTCGCGAGACCTGCTCTTAAGCCACTTCGCTCGCGCTCTCCCCTCCCCCTCCCCCCCCCCGCCAACCGCCGCCGGCGCGAGGCATTATGGGACGGAGCTGGGCCAGCGCAGAGACCACGTGACTTTACCATCTCCCCCCCACCCCCTCCCCCTCTGAAGACCTTTCTCTTTGCCCCACGTACCCCCCCCAACCCCCCCCCCCCCCCCACCACCACCGCCATCTCTCTCGGCTCCAACCCCTCCAGGATCCAACCCCCTGCCTCGGTTGCAACATCCCCACCCCCCCCCCCCCCCCCGGGGTCTGACGCGCAGCCGCGGACGGAGTGACCAAATTGTTATTATTATTAATTATTATAATTATATACAACAACAACAACAACAAGATTCCATTTATAGAGCGCCTTTCACGTCAGGAGGACGTCCCAAGGCGCTGCACAGTTGGGTCAGGACCCGAGCAGGGGGGAAATGGTCCGGGGAAGGGAGGGAAGGGAGGGAGCAAGGAGGGGGAAGAGAGTCGAGAGGGGAGCTGAAGGCTCGGTCAAAGAGAAAGGTTTTGAGACCGGCCTTGAAGGAGGAAAGGGAGGAAGCGGCGAAGGCACTGGGGGATGGAGTTCCAGAGCCTCGGGGCTGAGAGGCTGAAGGCCCGACCACCGATGGTAGGGCGGTTGGGGCGGGGGACGTGGAGCAGACCGGAGCCAGAGGAACGGAGGGTACGGGCAGGTAGGTAGGGGGATAGTAGGTTGGAGAGGTAGGAGGGAGCAAGGCCGTGAATGGCCTTGTAGGTGAGGATGAGGATCTTGAAATCAATCCTCTGGGGGATGGGGAGCCAGTGGAGGCGAGCGAGGGTGGGAGTGATGTGGTCCCGAAGCCTGGTGCGGGACAGTACACGAGCTGCAGAGTTCTGAATGACCTGCAGCTTGTGGAGGGAGGTGCCGGGAAGGCCGGCGAGGAGAGAGTTCCCATAGTCCAGCCTTGAGGTGACAAAGGCGTGAACCAGGGTTTCAGCAGCGTGAGGGGTGAGGTAGTGCCGTAATCTGGCGATATTCCGGAGGTGATGGAAGGCGGTGCCAGTTGTGGTGCGGATGTGAGGGAGAAAGGACAGCTCAGGGTCGAACAAAACGCCGAGGTTCCTGACTGGCTTTGAGAGGTGGAGAGTGCAGCCTTGGATGCTGATGGTGTCAGCGCCTGAGGTGCGGAGGCGCTGACGTGAGCCAATCAGGAGGGCCTCGGTTTTTCGCACGTTGAGCTGAAGAAAGTTGTCTCTCGTCCAGGACTCGATGTCGGACAGGCAGGCTGTCAGGACATCGGTGGTCGTGGAGTTGAGAGTAGAGGAGGAAAGGTAGAGTTGGGTGTCATCCGCATACATGTGGAAGTTAACCCCATGTTTGCGGATGATGTCACCGAGGGGGAGCATATAGAGGGTGAAGAGGAGGGGACCGAGGACAGAGCCCTGAGGGACACCACATGAGACAGTACGGGGGGTGGAGGAGAAGCCATTCGTTGAGACGAAGTGAAGACGGTGGGAAAGGTAAGAGCTAAACCATTCAAGGACAGTGCCTTGAAGGTTGAGGTGGGAGGACAAGCGGTGGAGTAGGATAGCGTGGTCGACCGTATCGAATGCTGCCGATAGGTCGAGGAGGACGAGGAGACAGAGGGAGCCCTGGTCACAGATGGTCAGGATATCATTGGTGACCTTGACCAGGGCAGTTTCTGTGCTATGAGCAGCACGGAAACCTGACTGAAGGGGTTCAAAAAGAGAATGGGTGGAGAGGAAAGAGCGCAGTTGGGAGGCGACAACTCTTTCCAAGACCTTGGAGAGAAAGGGGAGGTTGGAGATGGGCCGGTAGCTTGATAGCTGCGACGCATCAAGGGAGGGTTTTTTCAGGGTGGGCGTGATGATGGCAGTTTTTAATGGAATGGGGACAGAGCCAGAGGAGAGGGACAGGTTTATGATGTCAGTGATGTGTGGGGCAAGAAAATGGAGCTGGGAGATAAGGAGTGGAGTGGGGATGGGGTCAAGGGAGCAGGTGGTTGGTTTTAGGGATAGGATGAGTTCAGTGACAGAGGGTGGGGAAACGGGTACGAAGGTGTGTAGGGGAGGATGGGTAGGAGTCGGAGTGTGGGAGGGAAGGGGTGGGTGGTGGGTGGAAGTTGGAGGGGAAGTGACCGCGGAGCGGATTCCCTTGATCTTGGATTCAAGGAAATCCAGCATCTCCTCGCAGTGAAGGTTGGAGGAGATGACCTGCGCGGGGTGGCGGGGGGGACGGAGGAGTCGGGATGTGGTGGAAAACAGTAGCCTGGGGTTGTTCTTCGCCTCCAGGATTATCCTGGAGTAGAAGGACGACTTGGCCGAGGCTAGAGTGGAGCGGTAAATTTTGAGATTTGTCGGTGGACCGTTAAGCCGGATTTGACAAAGGTGCGCTCAGCAGCCCGCACCTGGCATTTCAGTGAGCGGAGGTGGGTGGTGTACCAGGGGGAGGAGCGGGAGTAGGAGACAGTGCGGGAAGTGATGGGGGCAAGAGTATCGAGTGTGGAGGAGAGGATATTGTGGAGGAGGGAGAGAGGAGAAGAGGGGTCGGTGAGGGTTGAAGGCCAGAGGGAGAGGAGTTCAGAGGACTCCAAGGCATCGGTTAGGGATTGTGGGGGTAACTTCTTCCAAGGGCGGTAGAAGATGGTGGTGGGTCTGGTGGAGGTGGGGAGGGGGGTGGAGGTGGTGAAGGAGATGAAGTAGTGGTCAGAGATGGCCTTGTCGGTAATAGTGACATCCGAGACACTGAGGCCCCGGGTGATCACCAAATCGAGTGGGTGGCCGTGACTGTGAGTGGGGGAGTTTATGTGTAGGGAAAGGTTGAGTGAGGAGAGCAGGGAAGAGAAGTCTGTGGAGATGGAGCAGGAGGGGGTGAAGTGTAGGTTAAAGTCGCCCAGGATGATGAGGCGATCGGAGCAGAGGCAAAGAGATGTGAGGAGTGTTGAAATGTCAGAGATGAAGGTGGGAGAGGTTTTAGGGGGCCGGTAGAGGAGGAGGATTTTAAGGGAGAGGAATGAGGGGTGGGAGAGGGTGAGGTGCTCGAAGGAGGGGAAAGAGCCAGAGGAGTAGGGGGATAGGGCAAGTGGTGTCCTTGAGATAAGGGCAACACCACCGCCACGGCGGTTGGGGCGGGGGATGTGGTGGGAGGTGTAGCCGGGTGGCGTGGCCTCCGTGAGGGGGAAGGTGTCGCCTGGGGTGAGCCAGGTTTCTGTCAAGGCCATGATATCAACGTTCTCATCAAGGATGAGATCGTTGATGACCAGGGCCTTGTTGCAGAGGGAGCGGACATTTTGCAGTCCGATGTGGAGGGAGCGGTTGACAGAAGGGTGTGTGGGAGGGGAGGGGGGTCCAGGTTGTGAGGCAGGGGTGGGGGAGATGGGGATGAGGGAGGAGAGGTTGACTCCCCGGGTCTGTGTCCGGGGTGGGTGGCGAGTGTGGTGGGGAATGGGGCAGTCGGTGTGGCTGCTGCTGGACAGCCAACGCCGAGTGCCACGGTGAGCCCGGCGGAGGATTCCCAGACTGGAGCAGAGGGAGGTTGTGGGAGGGTCAAGTGGGGATAGAAGACGAGAGGGACGGAGAGAGAGGAGGAGAGAGCGGGAGAGATGGAGAGGGGGGAGGGTTTGGGGGGAGAGAGGAGGGGGCGGGAGGGAGGGGGTGAGGGGGCTCGGGTCAAAGCGGCAGCCATAGTGCGCACGCGGGGACCGGGAGCGAGCGGTCAGGTGGATGGCATTATCCCGCAGATTGGGGCATCGAACCCAACAGGACCATAGTGGGCTCTGATGTGAGCCCTGGGGGGGGGGGGGGGGGGGGGGGTTTTTTTTTTTTTTTTTTTTGTGCGCGCGCACTCACCTGAAAACTAATCTATGACGTCGCAGTTCCCCCGCTCCGCCCCCACACCTCCCTCCCCCCCCCCCGGGGCTGCACTCGCTCCGGCGTCGAGTTTAAGTACCTGGGTCAGTAGGCCCAGGCTCCTCCCCGCGCTCTCCTGCTGCCGCTCCCCGACTCCCGAATTATATATAATTATTATTACCTCTTTCTTTTTTGGGAGGGATTATTACCCCCGGAGAAGAGATCCGCCAATCAACCAACAACTGGGTTCCTGCTGACTGCTCAGTGAAAACCGGGGCCATTGCAAAACCCAACTGTCCAGCGCCTCGGGACATCCTTCGCACTTGAAAGATGCCGTATCATTTTAAAACATATATGTGTATTATTCACAGATAGATAGAATATATATCTGCACGTGCACACTCCATGTTAGGGGGCTCTTGATGGATACGGCTTCTGCACACTCCACTCTGGTGGAGGGACCAAGGTACATCTGCTTCGTGTGTTCTGCTGCCCTTGACAGGGCGCAGTTATAAGGTGGTTCAAGTCACCCCCCCCCTCCCTTGTCGTTCCCCTTTGGGAGGGAGGGGGGGGGGAAGTTAAGGACATTTGTGGGACACAAATGTGCACGCATTTGTGGGAACCTCTTTACTGACAGTGGACATTGTACTATATGCATGTGCGTGAGCATCACATACACCATATCAGGGCTCTCTCGCTGGCCACGACTGGCACCCGGTGTACACCACAAGCACAAATCCAACAAGACCCTACGTACAGTATATGCAATTTGTTGTTGTTGTCCTCCCTTCCATCTGCTGCACTGTCGGCTGGTGGGCTTACAGCATCTTGGTGCCCACTCTCTGGAACTCCATCCCAGGTCGCTCTGACACGCTCCCTCCTTGACTGCACTTTCAGTCATCTTTATCTTCCTCAATCCCCGCTCCAGTTCCCAGCCACCACTGTCAAACTCTTTAGGATCTCCATGAAAGGTGCTATATATACACAAGGTGCAAATTGTATTGTTAATTCAAGATCCTCATCCTCACCTACAAGGCCATTCACGGCCTCGCTCCCTCCTACCTCTCCGACCTACTATTCCCCTACTTACCTGCCCGTACCCTCCATTCCTCTGGCTCCGGTCTGCTCCACATCCCCCGCCCCAACCGCCCTACCATTGGTGGCCGGACCTTCAGCCTCTCAGACCCTAGGCTCTGGAACTCCATCCCCAGTGCTTCGCCGCCTCCTCCCTTTCCTCCTTCAAGGCCGGTCTCAAGACCTTTCTCTTCGATTGTGCCTTCAGCTCCCCTCTCGACTCTCTACCCCCTCCTCGCTCCCTCCCTTCCCTCCCATCTCCCCCCTGCTCGGGTCCTGACCCAACTGTACAGCGCCTTGGGACGTCCTCCCGACGTTGTTGGGAGGACGTTGTTGTTAAACCTGGAGCTGCTCCATCGTGACGCCACACCTGACACCTGGAGTCAAACCAGCCGAGTGGGAGCAGCTGAGGGGGTCTGGGGCAGCGCTGCCTTGGAGCTGCACTGGTGGCGGAGCTGCGCAAGGAGGGCTGAGCTGCACTGGGGGACCTGTGGGGGTGGAGATGTATGGGGGCGGGGCTGCAGTGGGCTTCTCTTCCTCCTCCTCGCTCCCTCCCTTCCCTCCCCTCACCCTGACCATTTCCCCCCTCCTCTCTCCCTCCCTTCCCTCCTCACCCTGACCATTTCCCCCCTGCTGGGGGCGGGGCCACAGTAGGTGGGGGCGGGGCTGCAGTGGGGCTGGGGCGGGGCCACAGTAGGTGGGGGTGGGGCTGCAGTGGGCTGGGGGTGGGGCCACAGTAGGCTGGGGCGGGGCTGCAGTGGGCTGGAGGCGGGGCCACAGCAGGCTGGGGGCGGGGCTGCAGTGGGCTGGGGCCACAGTAGGTGGGGGCGGGGCTGCAGTGGGCTGGGGGTGGGGCCACAGAAGGTGGGGGCGGGGCTGCAGTGGGCTGGGGGCGGGGCCACAGTAGGCTGGGGGCGGGGCTGCAGTGGGCTGGGGGTGGGGCTACATTAGGTGGGGGCGGGGCTGCAGTGGGCTGGGGGTGGGGCTACATTAGGTGGGGGCGGGGCTGCAGTGGGCTGGGGCGGGGCCACAGTAGGCTGGGGGCGGGGCTGCAGTGGGCTGGGGGTGGGGCTACATTAGGTGGGGCGGGGCTGCAGTGGGCTGGGGGTGGGGCCACAGTAGGTGGGGGCTGCAGTGGGCTGGGGGCGGGGCCACAGTAGCTGGGGGGCGGGGCCACGGGGGGCGGGGCGGGCGGGCCCGTGGTGGCTGATGGGATCGCGGGCGGGTGTATGTTCCGGGTGGTTGGGCTGTTCGCTGCGCTGAGTTTGTCTGTGATGAAGGGCCGTATGTACTACGCGGTGAGGAGCGGCAGGAAACCCGGTGTCTACAGCAGCTGGTGAGGGGGTGAGGGGGTGTCCCCGCTGGCCGGGGGCCGGGGGTTGGGGGTGTTTTCCTGCAGCAGTTGTGGCTGTAGTTGGGTTTCGGGCTGAGAGGAGAAATCAGCCATAAATACTGATTATAAAAAAAACATAATTATCTTATAATATAATGATTACTGTAACAGCCCCACAAACAGCCCCACAAACAACCCCACTAACAACCCCACAAACAACCCCACAAACAGCCCCACAAACAACCCCACAAACAACCCCACAAACAACCCCACTAACAGCCCCACTAACAACCCCACTAACAGCCCCACTAACAACCCCACTAACAACCCCACTGTAACAACCCCACTGTTACAACCCCACTGTAACAGCCCCACTGTAACAACCCCACTGTAACAACCCCACAAACAGCCCCACAAACAGCCCCACTAACAACCCCACTAACAGCCCCACTAACAACCCCACAAACAGCCCCACAAACAGCCCCACAAACAGCCCCACAAACAACCCCACTAACAGCCCCACTAACAACCCCACTAACAGCCCCACAAACAACCCCACTAACAACCCCACAAACAGCCCCACTGTAACAACCCTATGTATTAGTATATTATGGTACAGTGGTCAGTATTGTATATTATTGTTTGGGTTATTACAACGTTCAATATACAATGTTTTGTGAACCCTAATTATTTTGTGGATTCATTTAACTTTAACTTTGTATCCTGTGAAGCACTTTGAGAAGTTTCAACTACGTGATAATTATAACAATATACCGAACACTGTAATAACCCTATATCGTACTATACTGAAGCTGTAATAACCCCATACAGTAACCCACAACTTTCAGAAGCTGACTGAACTTTTGGACCAAAAAATGGCAACTTTCTTACAGCCTTACTGATGACTAATAATCCTATATAATAAAATACGAAGCGCTATCTTAATCCTAAATAACATTATACTAATATACTGATGACTGTAATAATTCTATGTAATGATTTTATACTAGTTCCTATAATAATAAACAAAACAACAAGAAGATTACATTTGTATAGCGCCTTTCACGTCGGGAGGACGTCCCAAGGCGCTGGACAGAGTACAGCATTTCAGACCCGAGCTGGGGTTGGGGGGGTAAGGGACGGGAGGTGGCCGATGGCACGGTCGAAGAGGAGGGTCTTGAGGTGAGACTTGAAGGAGGCTAAGGAGGGGGTGAGGCGGAGTGACTGGGCGATGGAGTTCCAGAGGTTGGGGGCAGAGTGGTTGAAGGCTCTTCCACCAATGGTGGGTCGGGGGACGTGGAGCAGCCAGAGCCGGCTGAGCGAAGGGAACGGGCGGGTTGGTAGGGGGTTAGGAGGCCGCAGAGGTAGGGTGGGGCGAGGACTTGGAGGGCTTTGTATGTGAGGACCAGGATCTTGAACTGGATCCTCTGAAGGATAGGGAGCCAATGGAGTTGAGCGAGAGTTGGGGAGATGGGGTCACGGAGTTTGGTGAGGGAGAGGACACGGGCTGCAGAGCTCTGGATTATCTGCAGTCTGTGGAGGGAGGAGTTGGGAAGGCCGACAAGCAGGACATTTGCATAGTTGAGCCTGGAGGTGATGAAGGCATGAACAAGAGCTTCAGTGGTCTGAGGGGTGAGGTAGTGGCAGAGTTGGGCGATGTTACAGAGGTGAGAGAAGGCAGAGGGGTCATGGCTTGAATGTGGGGAAGAAAAGACAGTTGAGGGTCGAACAAGACACCGAGGTTCCTGACTGGCTTGGTGAGTTGTAGTGTGCAACCATGGAGGTTGATGCTGCCAGAGCCTGAGGTGCTGAGGCGCTGGCGCGAGCCAATCAGGAGGGCCTCAGTCTTGTTCACCTTTTCTTGTGAGAAATTTGCCCTCATCCAGGACTTGATGTCTGACAGGCAGTCTGTCGGGACAAAAGCAACAACTTGGAAATTATACAGTGCCCTTCACATATAATAGCACCTCAGAGTGCTTCAAATGACTGGATCGATACTGAGCAAGAGGGCAATTTATCATAATTGTATGTTGACTACTATATTAATGTTATAGCCCAATATTATTTGGCTCATGTAGAAAAAAAACTCCCAACACTGATGATGAGGCAAATAGTCTGTTTCTGTGCTGTAACATTCTATGATTTTAATATACTGTTTCTTCCAGGAATGAATGTAAAGAGCAAGTAGATAAATTTCCCTGTGCCAGATTTAAGAAGTTTGCAACTGAAGAAGATGCGTGGGCTTTTGTAGATGCTACAGCTTCAAATTCTTCAAAATCTACAGGTAAGGTATATCGATGTAAAGTGTGGAGTTCTACCAGCAGGATACTCCTATGAAAGAAAGTTCAATACTGTCATCATCTCTCTACCACCTGGTCACACAGGGAATTAAAACGTGGGATCATTAGCAAGATTGTTCCTGGATCATTTTTTTTTAAAAAGTGCACTGCTTGAGCTTGATCCTGAATTGCTACTTGGGTGAAGGCATTGGGAACCCAAACAACCTTGATTACACTTTGGCCCTGCCTGCTTTTATTGTCAGGCCGGTATTAGTTTGAATTGGTACCAACAGAATTGACCTAGATGCCTCAGTTAACTGCCACTCGGGCAATTTTATTGCCGTTAGAGTGGCAGCTTTGATTTTTGCCAAAGCAGTTGTTGGTTTATGAACCAACATCGACTCATATCAACTCCGGTGTCAGCAGTACCACCTAAATCGAAGAGTTGTAATGATAATCCTTGCATTTGATATAGCATCTCCTCATATTATTGAAAAAAGTGCTTTGCAGGATTTGTGGTCAAATATAGTGACTGTGTATTCATAGGTGAACAAGATAGCCAATTTGTACACAGACTCGTCCCACAAACAGCCATGAAATGATTGACCAATTTATCTGGAGAAATGTTAGCCAGGACACTGGGGAAACCCTTTTTCTTTCCAAATAGTGCCATAGTAGGGTCTTTAACGTCTCCTGAACAAGAAGACAGGACCATGGCTTAATGTCTGATCCAAAAGACAACACCTCTGACAAGGCAACATTGCCCCCAGTATTGGATTGTCAGACCAGACCATGAGGCACAAAGTCCTGATGTGGGGCTTATTCAGGTCCGAAACACTGATTTCCCAGCGCCTTGGGACGTCCTCCCAATGTGAAAGGCACTATACAAATGTAATTTTGTTGTTGAACTCACAATCTTCAGACTCAGAGGCGAGAGTGCTACCAACTGAGTCAAACTGACACACTGTAACATTGTAATATCCAATTCGATGAAAGTACAACTGCATTGGATCCTTGGAATTCAAACATATTTCTGAATCCTTCCATCCATTTGCAGTCTCCAAATGATACTTGTAGTGCTACTGACTTTTCTGCAGTGTGTTTTTGCTATTTGTGGGAAATTGCTGTGTACAAATTGCCTACCTTGTTCACCTATGAATACATCTTTGTCATGACCTTCTCTGCCATCCACAACATCATCCGGGTCCGCCACTGCCTCAACCCTCAGGTTGTCGGAACCCTCATCCACTCGTTCATCACATCTAGGCTTGATCACACCAACTCTCTGCTTGTCGACCTTCCCAACTCTTTTCCCCTTCCACAGGCTGCAGATCATCCAGAACTCTGCAGTTTGTGTCCTCTCCCGCACCAGGCTCCGTCACCCTGTCAGCCCACCCTCGCCCGGCTCCACTGACTCCCCATCTCCCAGATGATAGAGTTCAAAATCCTCGCCTTCAAGACTCTCCAAAGCCCTGCCCCTTCCTACCTCTTTGACCTGCTAACCCCATATCAACCTGTCCGTTCCCTCCACTCAGTAGGCTTTGGCCTGCTCCACGTCCCCCGTCCGCCCCACTATCAGCGGTCAAGCCTTCAGCCTTTCTCCCCCACCTTTTGGAACTCCATCCCATATCCCTTCACCTTGATCCCTCCCTTGTCTCCTTCAAGGCAGATCTCAAGATCCTCTTCAACCACGCCTTCGGCCACCCTCCTACCCTCCCTGCCCTCCACTCTTCCTGATCCCAACCCCCAGCTTGGGTCCAAATCTCTGTCTGTCCAGAGCCTTGGGACGTCCTTCCGGCCTGAAAGGCTCTATACAAATGTAATTTTGTATTGTATAGAAATTCTTTAGTGGAGGGGGAGTGGGTGGAGGAAAATCTATATCTTTCAATTAATTCAATTCAATTAAACTTTGTAAACCCAACCTTATAGAATGTGGTGACCAAAGCACACTTGTTGATAAGGACTCTGAATCACCGAGCTACAGTGGAGAAAAGCGTTTAAACAGTTCATCTGATATTGATGGGGAACCAAGCATGAAACGTTTCAAAAGTACAGACGAGAACAGTACCTCGGAACTGAAATTTACTTACATGGGTATGGAAAAATACATCTTCTTTGTTCAGTAACCTTATCATAAAAATATACTGAAAAGCCGCTTCATAGTTGCAAATAGAAAGTATTTTTTTCAAGAAGGAAATACAGCAAAAATAGAGTTTTGATTGTTTTGCCCACAAGTTAGTAATTCAGTGTCGTGGGAAGTTCTCCTGAAGTGAAAGGCTATATAAATGTAAGTTTGTGTTGCGTATTAGCAATATCTGATGTCTGGCGATGTCGTTTTAAGCTCAAGCTGGAGTTTGGGTGGATTCACGCTATACTCCATTCCATCTGGTGCCTGCAGCAAATATTCTAATACGGTATCCATGTTAAGATCCAATGTGTCAGCCAGCAGATCAAGAGCAGACAGGATATTACACCTGGTGTCTTCAGCTGAATAATTATGACCGTCTCAATATGGATGATTTTCCTCAGAGTTTTAACTGTACTTGGAGCATAAATACATGCTTAGAGAGTCACATTGTGTACAATATAGTGCTGGCTTTTTCCCCCTGGTATCTGTGATGTAATTCATGTAATGAGGTCTACTTGTCTTTGCTTATTGTCCAGGTGATGCTGTTGTAGTTTATACAGATGGCTGCTGTACATGTAATGGGCGAAAGCGTTCTCGAGCTGGAATCGGTGTATACTGGGGATATGCTCATCCCCTGTAAGTAACGACTGTAATGAATTTAACTTAAGTTAAAGAGCACAAAAGGATTGATTTTTCAAAATGATTTAAGTCATTCTGAAAATTTCATGATATTGAGCGCACTTGTAAAAGAACTTGTTTCATGAGTATCAGCCAGACAGGAACTTGGGCGTCTTGTTCAACCCTCAACTGTCCTTTCTCTCCCACATCCGTGCCATGACCTGGTCTGCCTTCCCCTATCTTTGCAACTTTGCCCAACTCTTGCCGCTGCCAAAGCCCTCATACTGTCTTCATTACAACCAGGCTCGAATATACCAATGCCCTGCTTGTTGGCCTCCCCAACTCTTCTCTCCACAAGCTGCAGATCATCCAAAACCCTGCAGCTCATTTTTCTCTCCCGCACCAGTCTCCCCGACCCCATAATACCGACCCTCGCCCGGCTCTACTGGCTTCCCATCCCTCAAGAGGATTGTTCAAAATTCTCGACCTCACCTTCAAGGCTCCCCATGGCCTTGCTCCCTCCTACCTCTCCGATAAGCTAAGCCCCTATCAATCTGTCTGCTCCCTCCTCTCAGCAGGCTCCAGCCTGCTTCACGGCACCCTGCCAGCGCACCCCACCATTGGCGGTCAGTTGTTCAGTCTCCCTACCCCCACCCTCTGGAACTCCATCCCATATTCCCTTCGCCTTGCTCCCTCCCTTGCCTCCTTTAAGGCATACCTAAAGACCCTTCTTTTCAACCGTGCCATCAGCCACCCTCCTACCCCCACCCTCCCTGATCCCAACTACCCCCCCCCACCCCCGGCTTAGGTACTAATCCCTAACTGTTCAGCACCTTGGGATGTCTTCCCGACGTGAAAGACGCTTTAGAAATGTAATTTTGTATTGTATTGCTTAATAGTCGATCCACTTTACAGTATATTCTGTTAAGCGCTTTGAGACTTCTCAACAACGTGATGAGGTGCTATATCAAATGCAAGGATTATTATTATAACCAGCATCATACATGTAATAAAACGCTCAAAATATAAAGAAACTTTACCATATTGAAGGGGCTGTCTCTCCTTTAATAATGTGATTGCGTGGGAACCCCAGTGGAGTAGGTAACCCTGCTGGGTCCCCTTTTTAATTTCATATCTTTTTGGTTTTTTTGTTCAGAAATCTAAGTGAAAGACTTTCAGGAAGACAGACCAACCAGAGAGCAGAAATTGTGGTAAGTATAATGTGTTAAAAGTATATAACTGTAGATGATGTTCACCAAGTACCATTTGGTGCATCAAAAATGGTTTGTCCTTGAGAACTTTTATGATTGCTCTAAATTACTTGTACTGAAGGAATGTAACTCTGTTTGTCTGAATCACTGACTGGTAACAAAATGCGAAGTGAAAATCTGAGAAACTCGCAGCTGTTGGAGAAATTTCTTTGCTAAAAGTGAAAATCTCTAATGTCCTTCTTTGTTAGGCAGCTTGTCGGGCAATCGAGCAAGCAAAGGAGCAAAATATTGAAAAATTGGTTATTTTCACAGACAGCATGTTCACAATTAATGGTGAGTTATTTAGGTCTAAGCAGTGATTAATGGAATTTTATTATAAAGTACAAATTAGGTTTTTATGGTCACAAAACATTCGGTTGACAGATTTTCAAAAAAATATCTATAATGGCTCTAAAGGCAGCATATTGCTTAGTACCTTAGAAATTTATGGCGCAGAATAAACCAGCATCATAGAAGTAACTAAACCCTAAAAATACAAAGAAACTTTACCATATGTGAGGGTCTGTCTTTACTGTAGTATTGTGATTGGTTCAGAACCCACAACCCCGTTGTGTCAATGCCGACTCCCTCAAGAGCAATCCCTTCAGTCCCATTTACCTGCCCTTTCCCTTGAAGCTGTCTCTTTTTAAGGTGTCTGTCTTGTTCCCTCTTGAAGGCCAATATGGACTTTGCCTCATCCACCGTTCCTGGCAGGCAAATGCCTAACTAAGTATAGAGACGTCTCGTGACTTTTTTTTACACAACATTTTGATGATCCTAACTTTTATCAGCAGGCCACTTGTATTACTATTTATCACACAACGTAGTAGCACTACTGCTCACACATTGCGTCTTAAAATCGATCCTGTGTCCACTGTGAAATCTCAGGTTTCTTTAAAATCTCAGAAAAGATGTCCGATTTAGATTCAGTCTTTTCGGAGCAAATTTTCAGCCACTCATTTGGTGTAACATGAATGTACACAAATGTACTTACTATTTTATCTGTTTACCAATAGGGATCACAAAGTGGATCAAATCTTGGAAGAATAAAGATTGGAAGCTGAGTACAGGGGGACCAGTGATCAACAGAGAAGACTTTGAAAGACTTGACAAACTGACCAGTGATATAAATATTGATTGGGTATGTAGCATTTCTATTCTTGGAAGGAAACACTGGGTTAGCAGAAATACCAATAACCCAGTAATTTAGTTACTGTAAATTGTCCTTTATTTTAAAAAAAGTACTGAAAATCCTACATTGCAAATTTGCTGAGATAACACTAAAAACATTCTCTGCAACACAAAGATACTTATTTAATACTGACCATTTTGATGCTTGATGAGGCTCTCTATCTACCAATCACAAGAACACATAGTACAGGATAACCCACCTTATAAACAAACCCATGTTAGAATGAAGCATGCTGGAACAGGGTTCCAGTGTAGTCGGTAATCCACTCTACCTTGTCTGAGAAGGGTAGAGATGCAGAATCAATTGGGATGTTTGAAAGGGAGATGGATATGATGGATGGATACTTGGGGAAATAAGGGTGTTGAGAGAAGGTGGGGAAATGGGATTAAAAGATCCGCTATGACTATTAAAATGGTGAACAGGCTTGATTGAATACAATACAATTTATGTTTATTTTGATGGACTTTGAATGAGGTGAGGGAGGGAGCAAGTCGGAGGGACTCCAGGAATGGAGTTGCAGAGAGCAAGGGCAGAGTGGTGAAAGCCGCCTGCTAACGGTAGGACAGATAGGACAGGGGATATGAAGCAGCCCGGTACTTGCTGAGCGAAGGGAGAGGCCAGTGTTTGATGAGTTCACAGCGATAGGATGGGGCAAAACCGTGGAGAGATTTAAGTGAGAATGAGGATCTTGAACTCATTCGGCTGGGTGATAGGGAACCAGTGGAGCCGAATGAGGATAGGTGTGTTGACTCGTGGAGCCTGGTGTGAGAGAGAACGCTGCTGCAGAGAATATGTTCCTCCTGTTGTGGAAAAAATAGCCAACTAACTTCAAATGCAACTTTATACATTCTTTGCAGATGCATGTACCAGGTCATGCTGGCTTCACAGGAAATGAAGCTGCAGACGTTTTAGCGAAGGAGGGTGCCAGAAAACCAGACTGCTAAACACAGGCAAAAGGGATGTTCTGCAAGAATGGAAGCCGAAAATATGTACATATCGACTTATTATTGCTTTGCTAAAACTGCTTCCATTTTACTGGATAAGGCTTCATATGCCAAGGAGTGAATGCTTTAATTTTGTGAAAATATCAAGTTCCTCTATTCTACGCCACAAAATCTCCACTTGTTGCTCTTCAATAATGTCACTCGCGCCTGGTTACTATAATCCACAACGGAAATGGTTCTTTTTCTCATCAAATTCCCCACTACTGAGTGAGATGCTGTACCCGGCAAGATAGCATGGATATCTGAATTGGTCAATTTGACAGATATTGAACCTGTATTTTTGCTCCCATTTTGTTGTAAAGCCTGCATTAAAGATGTGTCCCCTTTTTTATACAGGCATTAAATTGTATGTATGTGAACTTTATTTGTCATTTTTTTTGTTAATCAATCTGCAGTCGGGATGTTTTAATCAGCTTATCCCTTCAATTAGGCCTGTTTTTAGGCCTTCTAAGGCTTCAAACTAATAAAAATTCAGAGCATTTCCTGTTTTGACTTTCTAGTTATTTAGTAATATTAATAACAACCATTACAATTTCTCAAAGAGCTCTATTAGGTTTTCTATGAAGTTTTGTAACTGCATTTGTAGACGAACAATTCATTTATTTTGCACACAGAAATGTTCCACAAACCACCCAGATGTCAGTGCCGATTTATCTGGAAGATTGTTGGCCAGGAAATCAGGAGAAACTCCCTTCTCTTTTTCATATAGTGTGCTAAGTTCTTTAAGCTCTACCTGACAATCTGAAAGGTGAAGCTTCTAACAATTCAGTGCTCCCACAATGCTGCTCTGACAAAGTCAGCCACACGGCACTTGAACATTTTATCTGCATTTTTTTGAGCTTCATTGTTAGTTGCAGTGACCTACTAAGTAATCCATGACCCCAAATTCACAAGGAGAGTGAAATTGATCGGAAGATTGTAGCTACAGTACTAAAAGTCCAATTTTGTCATAAAGATAATAAACACCTCTACTGGGTTACACCAGATGAGGGGAGGACCTCTCCATTGGGGAGGGGTGTTCCTCAGATAAGAGGACAATGTATTGGTAGTTTGCCAGATTGAGATTCCTCACCTCCAAGCTTTGGGAGCCAGCTTCCTGCTGATGCACTGCTCGCCAGGTGGCTCCACTTGATAGTCAGCTGGCAATGCAAAGAGTAAAGATCCAATTCAGGGTAGTTCAATATTGGGAGGGAATGAAAGATGAAGAGACAAGAGACACACAGATCACGTGTTTGGAGATTTGTTTTGGTGAGCCAAATGTCTGACCTTGCTGAAGAGTAACCAAAGCAAACACGAGTTTCAAATATGTAGACTACTTACACACGGAAATTTCCCTGCGTCTGGAATGGATAGCGCATTCTCTCTGGAAGCACACATTCAAATTGCTTTCCAAATTTTGGAGAATTATAGGTGCAGATTGCCTGCAGTGTTGGGATAATTAACCAGCTAAAATAGTTTACTAAGAGCAGTTTGACAAGTTTCCACTTAATTGTCCAGCTAGAACAACCTTACCAGTTAGGACTTTGGCTTGCAGGATTAACAGGAGCTGAGTGGGAAGAATCTCTGCTCCTGGTGACTGGTCTGCCCTTTCGAGTTGAAGCTAGGCTCACACCAAGATAATGTGTTTGGCAGTGGAACACACAAACCTATCTCAACAACACATTGCATTTATATAGCGCTTTTCACAGCGGGCGAACATCCCAAGGTGCTGGACAGTCAAGGGTTTGTACCTGAGCCGTGGATTGGAATCAAGAGAGGTGGAGGGTGAAGGGATTAGTGGTGGGAAGATGACCAAAGGTGTTTTTGAAGAGGAAGGTCTTGATACGGGCCTTGAAGGAGGCAACGGAGGAGATGAGGTGGAGAGAATCTGGGATTGAGTTCCAGAGGGTGTTGCAGAGAGCCTAAAGGCCCGACCTCCAATGGTGGGGCAAGCAAGGCGGGGGACATGGAGCAAAGCAGAGGGAGCGGACAGTGGGTAGGGTTTAAGGAAGTCACAGAGATAGGACTTTAGGGAGATGGGGCTCCACCATGGAGGGCTTTAAACGAGAGGACAAGGATTTTAAACTCAATCCTCTGGAGAATGGGGAGCCATTGAATCCCAGCGAGTGTGATCTCAGAGGCAAGAGATTTGCCAACTGAGACAATTCAAGGAAAACAAGTGGAGATTTACACTTTTCATTTTTCGCTTGTAGGTCATAATCTGCTGCTGATAGAAGAAAATGTGGCATGTGGGGTGGGGTGGGGGGAGCCAAAACTCAGAACGGAGCCTTATTACAGCAGAGTGGAAGGACATGGTTTAGTTATTGCACTCTCACCTCTGAGTCTTAAGCTTGTGGGTTGAAGCCTTATGTAAAGTCTTGAACTCATAATAGACTAAGCTGACACTTATTATAATATAATAATAATAATAATAATAATCCTTGCATTTGATATAGCGCTTTTCACGTCGGGATGACGTCCCAAAGCGCTTCACAGAATAGACTGTAAAGTGAATTGACTGTATATTTGTGGGCGAACGCGGCAGCCAATTGCGCACAGCAATGTCCCACAAACAGTCGTAGATTGAAAATGACCAATTTATTATTGTTTTTGTTTTGGAGGGATTTTTTTTATTATTAGGCGTGTGGAGTAAGGAAACTTGCCCAAGGTTTCGCTCTGCCTGGAATTGAACTCAGGTCTCTCGCTTGCAAAGTGAGTGCTCTAACCACTGAGCTACAGGACTTCACGCCAATCCGCCAATCGACTAACAAACGGGTTCCTACTTACTGCTAGGTAAACAGAGGCATGTGGAGTAAGGAAACTTGCCCAAAGTTTCGCCCTGCCAGAAATCGAACCCAAGTCCTCTCGCTTGCCAAGCGGGTGCTCTAACCACTGAGATACAGGACAGCAACAACAACAAAGTTACATTTATAGAGCGCCTTTCATGTCGAGAGGACAACCCAAGGCGGACTCCACTTTCTGAATAATGCTGTGGGATTTTTAACGCTCACCTGAACATGCCCTCCACTATCGTGCTCCTCCCTAGCTCTGCGACTTTTTAACACTATACCAACCTCTCTGTTCCCTCCATTCGGCGGGCACCGGCCTACTCCAGGTCCGTCACCAGCACACTCCACCATTTGCAGATGGACCTACAGCTTTTCTGCCCCACCCTCTGGAACTCCATCCCCAAATCCCTCCACTTTGCTCCCTCCCTCGCCTCCTTCAATTCTCGTCTCAAGACTTCCCCCTTTGAACATGCCTTCAGGCACATTCCCACCCCTGCTCCCCCTCCAACCCTCTTGATTCCAATCCCCAGCTCGGGTACAAACCCTTAACTGTCCAACTTGGAACGTCCTTCCGAAGTGAAAGGCGCAGTATAAATGTAATTTGTGGTTGTTGTGGAATGTACAGATTGCATCTCAGTTGACTATCTCATCTGTCGTGTAACGTATTGGTTAAAGTACTCCCCTCGTAAGTGAGAAGACCTGGGTTTGATTCCCGAGCAGGGCGAAACCTTAGACAAGTTTCCTTACTCTACACGCCTCTGTTTACCTAGCAGAAGTAGGAACCCAATTGTTAGTCGATTGGTGGATCACTTTCTTGCAGTAACAATCCCTTCAAAAAATAATTTTGTCACTCAATCCCACGACTGTTTGTGGGACATTCCTGTGTGCAATAGGCTGCCGCGTTTCACCCGCAAAATATAGTTGATTCACTTTACAGCACAGTATATACTGTGAAGCGCTTTGAGAAATCGCAACGATGTGATAAGGCGCTATATCAACTGCAAGGATTAAATATTATTAGGATTCCTTGTTACTCCAGTGTCAGACACTAGAGGGTGGCAGGACTAGCAAATGCTTAGGCAATTCATTCCCTTAATTATTTGCATTTCAAGTTTTGTTTTAAAAAAGTGTATTTGGTGGTGCTTTCAATAACTTTGAGCTCAAACTGTAGGGGTCAGGCTTGAAGCTACAGCCTTCTGACTTAGAGTTGAGAGAGAGAGAGGGAGAGAGGAGAGAGCTTCCAGCTGAGCCAGGCTGACACCAGACTGTTGCTTGGAAAGCACTCCCTGTTGGCCTTTTGGCCTTTGCTGTGAGCCTGTGAGGCCAGCGAGTGGGACTCAGTTACCACAAGTGGCAACTGAGCAAAGGGAGCGTTGCAAAAGTTGTAGTAAAAGTGGAGATCAAAGAGCAGGCGCCGAGCATGCTACAAGCCTGGTACATGGACGACTCTGCGGAGGATCAGAGGAAACCTCACAAGCTGGAGCCTAACAAGCCGGTTTCACTGCAGCAGCTGGAGCCACTCGGGGTGCTCTACTGGAAGGTGAGGCCATAGAGAGAGAGAGAGAGAGAGCGAGGGCTGCATATCAGTCTGGCCCACCCCCACTCTGCCTTGTGTTCCTCAGCCCTGAGCCTGACTTACATTCCTCAGCCCTGCCGAAGGCTGATAACTGTGGGTTGCACTCCTCTGCCTCTCGCTGTCTCTCTCTCTCCCTCTTTCTGTCTCTACAGATTCGCACAGAAGGTTTTAAACCTCCTTTACCAAGCTCTGCTTTTGGGTTTTGTTGAGAAAATATGGGTTTCGCCCACAAAATATACAGTCAATTCACTTTACAATATATTCTATGGAAGCGCTTTGAGACTTCTTTAGTAGTTATAATTACACAATGATAAGGTGCTATATTCAAATGGAGAATATAGCACTTTTATTAAGAACCTTTTTTCTCCAGACCCACTTTTCTTGAGAACCAAACTTCGGACAATACCTCGGAGGATTTACTTGATTTCTACATTATTTTGCACCCCCCGCCGAGAGGATAGAGCATACCTGCGGACAGTCCCAGATACTCTTATACATACGCAACGAGAAGCCCAGGTAGAATTTCTCCCCCCAAATCCTCTAATTTATTTGCACAGGTTTAACATAACCTCATGACTTTTGTACTCCATGCTCTTTTTATAAAACCTAACATACCAATGTTTTTTTTACAGCTCAGTCAACTTGCCCTTTCACTTTTAACATTTTACACATGCGAACCTCTGGGTTTCCTCTGTTATTTTATTTACTGTTTGCCATCAGCTACTATGCCCTAATCTCTGGGACTATGTCCCTTTATTTCTCTGTCTCGCTCCTCTCTATTGGTCTTTAAATTCCACTTTAGAATCAAGTTCTTCGACCATGCCTATATTCACCTCCCTCTTACTTACATGATTATATACCCAGTCATTGTGCCTCCTTTAAACCTCGCTGCATAACTAGCAAGAATAGAGAAATATAATAAAGACTCGAGGATGTAGTTTTCTAGCAGTTAAAATTTGTAGGAGATAAAAATGCAATTGTTGGAAATCTGCAATAAAACCAGAAAATGCAGAAAGGCTAATGCGTGTTTGACAGAGAGAAAAGGGTTATGGTTCTGGATGTTACCAATAGATGCAAAATCAATTGGGATGTCTGAAAGGGAGATAGAAAAATTCTTAACTGTATTTGGGGAAAAGGGATTAAAGATCTAATAAATTGGCAGAACAGACTTGATGTGATGAATAACCTGCTCCTGTTCCTTCCTCAAAACTGGAATGTACTGATGAAGGTCGCAGTGGAAACCTTAACCATTTTTCTATTTAGATGCTGACTGACTGAACTGCTTTACGATTAAGGATAGTGAATTATCATTGTGTCCCCCTAAAGATTACAGTATTGATGGTGCTACTGAAAGTTACATAATGCTGTTTACATGATTAAGCTTTCAAATCATTGTGGAATATCTGGAGGATAAAGTAGCTGTCTTAATTTAATGTAAATTCTGTGCGTTCTTCTGCAGCTGAATGCTGACAAATATGAGGATGATCCCGAGCTGCAGAAGATTCGCAAAGAGAGGAATTACTCCTGGATGGATATCATAACGATACACAAAGATACATTGCCAAATTACGAAGAGAAGGTATTTCTGCAATTTATGATCAATCTTTGGGAGCTGTAGTAGATTTCAGAAATTTTGTATGTAAAGTTCTATACAGTAAAATTCACATGTCTTATCTTTATAAGTCATATAATTACTGAAGTTGAACATGCACCTGAGTCCCATTTAGTTTCCTGTCACTGGAAATAAATGCTAATGGAGTCCTGTAACTCAGTGGTTAGAGCAAAGCGCCTCACAAGCGAAAGGACCGGGTTTCGATTCCCGGGCAGGGCAAAACGTTATGCAATTTCTTTACGCTCTGTTTACCGAGCAGTAAGTAGGAATTACTCAATTCACCGTTGTTACTCAATCCGCGATTGTTTGGGGGACACTGCTGCCCGCAATTGGCTGCCACGTTTCACCCACAAAGCACACTTTACAATGAAGCTTTTTGAGAGTCTCAACTACGTGATAAGGCATTATATCAAGTGCAAGGATCATTATTATTATTGGCATAAATGGTGAAAAAATATGTTCACTTATTACTAATTGCACAGATTATATTTTGCTTTTCCATAACTGAGGGTATGGCAGCTCGATTTTAATGCCCTGTTGGCCTGTCTCCCCTGCTCTACCACTAATAAAATCCAACTGATTTTAAAAACTCATATCAGCACCCATACCAAACTCTGTACCCCCATCACCCCATTTCTTGTCAGGCTCCACTTGCTTCACTAGCTGTAGAAAGTATCGACTTCAAGATCCTCACACTCACGTACAAATTAATTCATGCACTATCACCTTCCTATCTCTCCAATCTACATACACTCAACCTTTCTACCCGCCCTTCGCTCAGCTGACTCTGGCCTTCTGAACATGTCTTGTCCCCTACACACTGGCGGCCATGCTTTCACTATGCCTCCAAACTCTGAAATTGTCTGCCGTAATCCTTCTACCTTCTCCTCCTTGCTGTCTTCCCCTCCTTGCTGTCTTGCTGCCTGTGGTTTAATCCTCTTGCTTGAATGTAGTTGACCACTTTCGCAACTGTGTCCACGACATTGCTTAGTTTTAGAACACTCTTACAGAGGACCTCTTGGTGGATAATGCAGTGTAGAAAAACAATATTCTGTTCTGGATTTGTTTCTTTGACTTGATCTTGAATTCTTTTCAGTAACCCAACATTTTTGCCTGTCAGATTTGGGCTTCCATCGGTGGTCACATTCACCAATTTTTTCCACTCCACTCCTAATTTTAAGATACACGTATTTACTGCCTCCAAAAAGTCTTCTCCAGTTGTCGTATCTTTCATTGACTGCATTGATGCCAATTCTTCTGTGAGCTCAAAATGTTTGGTAATACCGCGAATAAAAATTATCAACTGGGCTGTGTCTTTGACATCACAACTCTCATCGAATGCCAGTGAAAAACATGCAAAATTGCAGATACAGGTTCTCAGAGATATCCTCGACACGTCTCACAATAGTTCGTCTTGACAAGCTAATGTTCTCGAACTGTTTTTTCTTGTCTGGGCCTAAAATTGAGACAGAGTCAACCATACATTCCTTTATAAATTCTCCTTCAGAGAATGGTTTGCTGTTCTTGGCGATTTTGTGTGCAATCACGTAACTCACTCTTGCAATCTCATCCTGGGACGCAAATTGTTTTGTGAAAATGCTTTGCTCTTCTTGCATTCGAACAACCATCTCATCAGATTTCTTTCCTTTTTCTTTGGCAGAAACGTTCTTATATTTGCAAGCATGTTTGCTCTTAAAATGGCAATTCAAGTTGTAGTCTTTGAGCACTACCACACTTTCTTTGCAAATTAAGCACACAGCTTTTCCACCCACACTGGTTAAAAAAAAATTTAGAAATCCATTCTTTGTTGAATATTCGGCCTTCAGTGTCCACTTTCTGCTTCTTTGATAAACTCATTTCGAATTAACGTCCTCTACAGTGAAAAGTATTGCCGCGGTTACCGCTGAAAAGCATTGCCTCGCGAGTGTTTGAAAATTTGCCGATCCGTACATTTATGACGTCAGTCTGATTCAACACTTAAGGGAGCGTGCGCACAACTGAGCAGTCTGATTGGCTGATGTTCCCAGTCTGATTCAAATGTAAAATTTGTGCGACTTTCTGGGATTGAACAAACTATAATTTTTTTTATTGCTGGACACAATGACGGGCCGGATAGAATCATTTGGCGGGCCGGATATGACCCGAGGGCCGTCTTTTGCCCACCCCTGGTTTAACATCTCATCTGAACGACAGCACCTCCAACAATGTCAGGTTAAACTATATTAGTTCCAAGTCCTTCTGACTCAGAGACGAGAGAGAGAGAGAGCTACCCACTGCTACCAAATGAGCCAGCATTAGAGCACCTGAGCCGGCCAGATATTTCTGCCTGGTAATTCTTATTTCAACCACTGAAATGTGCCTCTCTTTTCAAAGAGAACAAATAGTGCATTGAGCCAAATGCCATTTGAGGCGAATGATAGTCTCATTCATGAGTTGTTCAGTAAAGTCAGATGACCATTCCTCAATGTTGTGCAGTGGCTGTTCTGCAGCTCTGTCAGCAGAGAGCAGTATTGAGTAGAAAAATAGTCACAGTGTATGGCAGTGGTTCCCTACAAACTCTCTTCACTAGTCCTATAACTAATTATTAATTGTCTGTTTACTAAATAAACAATCGGTCTTGTATGTATACTTGTAAGAATATTGCAGGAAGTGGAGTCGTAAATGGCTTCTATAGTTCCTAAAGCTTATTTTCTGAAGGTGTCTTGATCTGGCAAACCTCGTGGCCATTTCTTGGGCGGCTTTGCAATGAAAACGAGGATGAGAGTTTCAGCAGCCTGAGGGGAGAGATAATGGCAGAGAAGAGCAATTTTACAGAGGTGGGGAAGGGAGAATGGGTCATGGTCCACAAACTAGGGAGAAGCTGTGCAGATGCCAGTCCTCGTGCGCGTTCTGTTCAGCTTTGCCTTTGATATGATTCATCAGTCAGGGGATACAGATCAGGTGAAGTTCACATCTGGCACAGGTTACAATAATTACACTTCCTTTGTTCTCCTCTGCATGAAGTGTGTCTTAATCTCTGATAAAAGGGAACCAGTGTTTAGTTGAGACGTCCTCCTGACGAGAAAGGGGCTCGACAAATATAATTTTGTTGTTGCAGTTCGTTCAAATTGCACCCACAAGATGTATTTCGAAAAATCATATTATCAAGGTGCCCCTCGGCTGGGAAAGTGGGGGAACAATTACTTGATAACTTGCATTGATTGACTTTTCCTCTCTCCTCCTCCCTCCATACCTGAGGCTAATTGTAGTACACTGGCTGGTGCGCAGAGGCTGAGCGTTTGAACCTGTGATCTTGTGATTGTACAGCCTAGTGCTGCAGCAGATGGTGCCTTTACCTACTGGGCCACCGAGAGACTCTTTTTGAACAAAGATTGTTATGGAAAGTTTGCAGTACAGAGGAGGCAATTTGGCCCATGTGTTGGCTACTCCCACCCACCCCCTCCCATATCTATTCTAATTCCATTAGCTTTCCTGAGGTAATAATCCCTCCAAAAAAATAATAACAGTAACAATTTGGTCACTCAATCTACAATTGTTTGTGGGATACTGCTGTGCGCAACTAGCTGCCACATTTCGCCCACAAAATATAGTCATTTTACAGTATATTCTGTGAAGTGCTTTGAGACGTCTCAACGACACGATAAGTCGCTATTATCAAATGCAATAGTTATTATTATTATTTCCCTGTGTCTTTAATAAAATCCCTGTGTCTTGTCACTAATATACATGTTTTCGTTTTAAGATTAAATCATTTTTTGAGGAACATATTCACTTGGATGAAGAGATTCGCTACATAATCGATGGCAGTGGGTACTTTGATGTAAGAGATAAGGAAGAACAATGGATCCGAATTGCCATGCAAAAAGGAGACCTGATAACACTTCCTGCTGGGATCTACCATCGATTTACATTGGACGATAATGTAAGTTCTAATACACAGACTTATTGAATCTATTTGATGCCAACAAACATCAACCCAGTATCAACGTTGCATACAGGCTATCACTTGAAACGTCGCATAAAGATTCTACGAACACCAGTATATTAATAATAAAGCACTCTGAGACTGTGAGGGGCGTAAATGCAAGTTGTTGTTGTTATAAGCCATGCATTTTATATGGGGCCTCATCACGTCATTGAGACTTCTCAAAGTGCTTCACAGGTTTTACTGTAAATTGTAGTGACTGGGCATTTTGTAGGCGAATCCAGCAGTAAATTTGTGCACAGCAATGTCCCGCAAACAGCCATGAAGTTAATGAGCTAATTTTATTTGGGGGGGAATTGCTGGCCAGGACACATTACGGAGGAATACGGAAGATTGAAAGAGAGTGCTGTGCTCCACTTTAGGTCATCATCTTTTAGTGAACTATGTAATTTTTCTTGTACCGCTCCGTTTATATACAATTAGAGTGTAATTGAATTTAATTGGAAATATTGAATAAGCAGTTAATCTAAACACTAAAGAGTGTTTAGATATCATTTACATAATGGTATGACACAGAAAGTGGCCCTTTTTTCCAGGATTAGACCTTTGTTGGAGTAAAGGGTTGTTTGTAGAATCCTTACGCCAAACATCTCAAATGATAACAATCTATGTAATGTTGATTACATTAAACTAACCTCTGGAATTCCATCTCCCAATCACTCTGCCTCGCCCTCTCCTTAGTCTCCTTCAAGTCCTGCCTCAAGACCCTCCTTTTCGACCATACCATCAGCCACCCCCCTTCCCTCCCTTCCCTCCCCTGACCCCAGCTCGGGTCTGAAATGCTGTACTCTGTCCAGCGCCTTGAGACGTCCTCCCGACGTGAAAGGCGGTATACAAATGCAATCTTGTTGTTGTTGTTGATATAATGTCCTTCCCACTAGGATTAGGCCTGTAGATCAGTTGACTCTGATAGGGTGGAGTCCTGTAGCTCAGTGGTTAGAGCACTCGCTTTGCAAGTGAGAGACCTGAGTTCAATTCCAGGCAGAGGGCGAAACCTTGGGCAAGTTTCCTTACTCCACACAGAGCCTAATAATAATCCCTCCAAAACCAAAAAAAAGATAATAAATTGGTCATTTTCAATCCACGACTGTTTGTGGGACATTGCTTTGCGCAATTGGCTGCCGAGTTCGCCCACAAATATACAGTCAATTCACTGTACAGTGTGTTCTGTGAAGCACTTTGTCCTCCCGACGTGAAAAGCGCTACATCAAACGCAAGGATTATTATAAGGTGAGGTTGATTCTCAAGTGTCCTGTAGCAAATGCTGTGTTTCTAGTTTTGTCAATTTTTATTCAGAATGAAATCATGAGTATTGACTGGTGCATGTTTTGGGGAAATTTGTCATGATATTATAATCCTTGCATATTGAAGTGTAAAGGCTGTATCAGAGGCAAGTCCTTGGAATTTATTCATCAAATTCTGCTTTTAAACTAAATAAGCTTTTGTATTTACTTTGAGAGCCCAATGACTAACAACTTATGCTTGATGTGCATTTTTATTCATTGTGCAAGTTGGGTAAGTTTTTCACAAGGTCAAAAGATTGGTTCGGATGAAGTGATGCAGGCGAATGAAAGATTAATGTGACTGGCAGAAGGATCCTTCAAGTTTTTTTTCCAGCTTTTGGGTTATTTATCATCCCATATGTGCATTTCTAGACTATGGCATTTAATTTCCACTCTTACACCCATCTTTAATTGCGAATCTCGAATAGTAACCTGCTCCCAGTCTTTCTGATTATTCCCTTCTTAGTGCTTTGCTCTTGATCGGAAAGGAGGGGATTAAGTTGCTCTTGTGTGATTCGGTGTGTGGAACTGTGTGATAGATGCAAGCTTGTGCCAGTATGTTCTTTATTTCAGCTGTGCCACTACAGAGAAGCCAGTCACTCCCTCACAGGGAGGTAAGAAGAATTATAGCGTCTGGTGACAGGGCTCAGGCACTGCTAAAACCTCGGCCATGGAACAGTATTGACAGTGGCCTCGGGGTAAGGCTGCAGTTCACACTGTAACTCGAATGAGGAGAGATAGGAAAGGAAAAAAAACATCATAAATTCCAAGTGGCATTGATGCAGCTTGAGGGATCCCAAGGTCTGTTGTCTTGGGGAACTCTATGTTTTCCCTCCTTCTCTCCACTGAGCTCTGTTTCAGCAGAGTAAATTCCAGCAGTTACCACAGTGCACACTCTGTTGTCCCCAAGCTTTGGCTATTGCCAACCTGCACCTAAAACCCTCTGAAATTAGGTCAGCAGAGTGCATACCTTTGGGCAGATAGTGTGCATTTCATTCCGGACGTAAGGAAATTGGTGGTATACATGTGTGGCACTGTCTGTTTGGGGTACTTTTTAATCACTTTGGGGTTTTGGGTTTACTCATCACCATGCTTAAAAAGGACCCCCTAAACTAGATAAGAGTACCGCATGTGTATACCACCTATACATGAGGGAGAAGGGAACAGAGGTGTACAGAAGTGGGGAATAATTAGGGTGGCAGTTTGTGTGGAGTATAAACACTGGCATGGACTAGTTGGGCAAAATTATTATGTAATTCTAAGCGGACACCCGACTGACCAAAAATAAATTCCCGATCGCAGCTGCAATATTGCAAGGAGACACTGAGTGCTGCCTATTGCCTCCTCCCTCATTCCACCTTCCATCAATAACAACAGCAACTCGCGTTTATATAGCGGCCTTCAAACAGGATAGCATCTCACTGTGCTGCCAGCAGCCTCAGACAGCCCTCCGTGTGGATGGGTGTGATAGCGAGAATTGCAGGCTCTTTGTTAATAAAAAAGGCAGTCACCTCTGGCCCAGGTAACCTGTAACAGTAAGGCTGAATTTTGCAATAAATTGATAACCCTTGTGTCGTGCCAGTGGTGATTGGTTTTAAATTTGATATGATCTTCATTTAACTGATTGAAAGACATTACTAGCCTCATGGTTACGTTGGGCTGTGAAGTTTGTAACAGTTCAGAAAATAGCCTCAGACATCCTTTGTTGGATACCTTAGAGAAACAAATGGGAGGTTGGTAGATGTTGACTTTAGTGAACATCAATACAATAGCAAATGAACACTTGTCCTTATGTTTATTCCTGGGGCGAACACCGATTAAAACAAATACATTTTTTGCAGTAATTATTTAAAGTGAGAGTTGGCAAATGAAAGGATTGTGGTTTAAAATGCACACATGAGGACTGTGAGCAGCCACTTGTAATCGTTCTCATCTTGTGTTGCAGAACTACACGAAAGCTATGCGACTCTTTGTGGGAGATCCAGTCTGGACACCTTACGCTCGCCCAGCTGAGGAATTTGAAGCTCGCAAAAAATATGTTCAATTTCTTAAGCTATCAGCCTAAGTGTCAGTTCTTCACTGAACCTGATAACCTCTTCTCACTCGATCCTTCACTTAACCCATTAACCTCTCCTCACTTCAATATGAAACAATAATGAACAGGAGCACTTCACTGTTGGTTGCTAACATATCGTTTGGAACACTCTTCCAAAAACACTTTACTTTTCTCTCTCTCTGCTGTCAAAATCCCCTAAAACATTTGTTTCCCCACCTTTAAAATCCTCATAAAACTATCTCTCTTTGAGAGTGACTTTGGTCAAGTTATTTAAATATCTCAGCTTTCTGTACACTACTACTACCTTTTTGGATGTTCCTTTTTTGTGAAAGACAGTACATTCCTCATCAGCTATAACAATTTGTTGACATCGTTAATAAGGAATAAATAACCCATCAAAAGCCAGCAGAGAATGACCACTTGGATGAGGCATCAGAAAGCCTGTGGGAAATCCTTTGCCAGTAGGAGGAGCCCATCTCCTATAATGATATCCATACATATTTACATCAACAATAGAAGTGCAAGAATCGATAGAAACTGTCATAAATGGTCTTGCTTGATAGCTTAGTGAGTAAACGTGGTGTAGAATATAAGCCAGACATATCGAAGATCCCAGGGTTGGCTTCCCATTCTCTGCTGAATTTGTTAAATGTAATTGGGGGACAAGAGGATAATTTTTCTCAGTTTACTGGATCTAAAGAAGCACTAAACACCAGGGACGCCTGCTTCGTATTGTCATCTAGTGGCTGTTCTTTGTAGCTGCATGTGTAGACATTATTTTAGGTCAAAATCAGTGTGGGCTGTGGTGTCCTCCACCAAACAAGCCACTGACACTCAGTGGTTGGCTTCACACATGAAGGGCGATAACTTTGGGGAGAACACGAGAAAGCTGTGGAATTATAGTCGAGCAAAAATCACAGCTTTCAGTAAGGCTTTCAGAAAAGAACCGAAGTTTAAAAGCACACTAACCTGGGAAATCTTTAACAGGAAACTTTTTGTGGGAGGCTTCAGTTTCAAGTCAGAAACTGCTGTTGATGGTGGGAAGGAAATGACACTTGGGAGGAGATCACAACAGACTGGCTTCATTGCATTACATTTCATCCAAATGTGACTTAAAATGTAGCTCGGTGAGATGATGTGTGTTGAAACCATATTTTTTCACCTTCCTCATGTGGGACTACGTTGTTTTAAAAGCTGGCAGTCTTAATGCAGATTTTAATCAAATATAGTTATCAAATAAAATTCTATTCTGTAAAATAGGCAAAGTTTGAAACCTCGGTGGGGGGATGGTGACCGTTAGAACGGTCGAAGAGGAAGGTCTTTAATCGTGATCTACAAGAGGGGAAGGAAGAAGGAGTTCCAAAACTTTGGGGCATAGTGGCTAAAACCACAGTGGCCAATGGTGGAGGGATTCCCCTTAAGACTAAGCCTATTAATAGTTTGGCTCAGCAATATTTGTGTCAATATTTGTGGGTCAAGGCCAGCTTTGAAATCCCTAGACTGCCACTTGTGCAGCACTGAACGTATAATGCTTGTTCAGGAGGTTATATCCTTTGGGGCATCTAACTGACATCCCCTTGTCCTGTTTTGATGGTTAAGGTAGACATTTAAAGATCCATTTGACTTTTTCACAGAACAGTGCTACTAGCCAACACTCCTCTCACATCCAAAAACACAGAAGATTGGTTATTTATTTTAGTCAGGTTTGTTGGACAACACTGACACAGATTAGCAGTCATGTTTGACTAAATAACATGCCAACACCCGTCACATAGGCACTTGTGATTATTAACCCAGCCTGGCTCATCAACGAGACTTAGAGAGTACACTGTGTGGATTCACATTCTAGGGATGATATGGCTCTCAATAAACCAGGAAGCAATGGTCCATTAATAGTGCTTCATTTCTTTGGTGAAAGCAGAATGCCTCCGTGTATTACTATATGATGGGAGTATATAGGTCGGAACAAATTAATATAATAATCCTTGCATTTAATATAACATCTGTCATGTCAGGAGGATGTGTCCAAGAACTTAAAGGATTTACTGTAAAGTGTAGCGACTATTTTGTTGGCGACAGGCAGACAATTTTCCAACAAACAGAAATTAAGTGAATTAATCTGGGACATTGTTGTCAGGATACTGGGAGAAATAGTGCCTTGGCATCTTTAACATACAAGAACAACTTGCATTGACTAACATCTACCTGAAGAGGCAGCCCAGACACACAAACAGGACTTCAGTTTAATGTCTCACCCGAAGGATGGCACAGAGTATCAAGCTCAATGTGGGATTTGAACTCACAAATGTCTGCCTCTGAGGCAAAAGTGCTACCAACTGAACCAGGCTAATACATGAAAATGGATTAAAAAAATTGATTAATAATAATCCTCACATTTGATATAGCACCTTATCACATCTTTGAGATATCTCAAAATGCTTCACAAAATATACTGTAAAGTGAATTGACTGTATATTTTGTGGATGAAACGCGGCAGCCAATTGCGCACACCAGTGTCCCACAAACAGTCGTGGATTGAGTGACCAATTTTTTTTAATAGAAAGGAATGTTTGGATTTTTTTNCAGCAAGACAAGAAAACGTTTTAGGCAAAGTATCTTAACCAAGAGTTTATGTGAGAAACTGGAACTGTGAATGAACACAAGTACAGTATAAACCATAAAACTCACCAGTGAATTTAAAAAAATCAATACACGATATAATAATTATTACAGCCTTGTTAAATGAAACAATTTCCAATGAAAATGAGTTCCTCCTCACTCACAGTTCCAAGATTCACACATTTATTAGCTTTCAGAGCCCAGGTTTAAGACATCATGGATTCTCCTCCACAATTTCCCTAGAGTTCCCAACAATCGGTGCTGTCTGGTGATAATCCATACCTGAGAGAAGGCAATGGAAATGTTCACGTTTATAACGGAGACTTCCAACATGAACGTACTGTGCAGGAGAATGTTTTTTCTTTAATCTTGTGATTTCCCTCAGTGAGTCTCTGATTTTAGCAATCCTATCGTGGTAAAAAGTGAGATTAGGGGAGGGAGCAGGTGACTGAGCAGTTTAGGTTTGTGAAGAAGTCAATTGGAAATACTCCCTCTGCTGGAAAATACTGCATGGGTCAGGGCACAAGAAATGCAGAAGCACACGGTTTATTTACTCTGAAATCAGAGCAGTGCTTCACATCAATTCTCATGTCCTCCCTACCTGGCAACCAATTTAGAGCAGAACTGGTTAGATAAACAGGCCAATGAAACTATTGTATGTGAAAGTCTAATAATAATCCTTGGGTTTAATACAGCGCCTTATCACGTCTTTATGAGACTTCTCAAAGCACTTCACGGAATATACCATAAAGTGAATTGACTGTATATATTTTGTAGGTCAAATGTAAAACTGAGAGGGGGAAATCAAATCCGTTTCTCTTATGAAACACAAGATGTTTGCCAGAGACATACATATACCACATAGATCACATTTGCAGATCATTTACTGGCCATACAGATGAATCAGGTCCACGCAGTTAAAATATTTACACATGTACATTTTAAAACTTACAATCACCAATTGCACAATACAGACAGGATGGTTTTACAGTAATTTTAGACACTGGACATTGAAGCTGTCTCCCTCTCGACAGGCCACCGAATCCAGCAAGCTCTGTTTCTTCTGCATACTGCGCGATGATTCAAGCTCATACATTGTGGTCAGGTTGAAGAGAACACTCTCGTGTAGGTAATGTTTGGGGTCCTGCTGTACAAGTCCTTCCAGCTGCCTGAGGGAATCCTTTAGTTTGCCCAAGTACAGCAGACACACGGCTGCATTATTATTCGCCTGAGCAGAAAGAACACGTTGAAATGGCAGCAAGAGACTAGATGATTGATTTTCTTAATGTGCACACCTGCAGCTGTGTTCCGGTGTGAGCAGCTATCATTGCACATAACGTGTGATGATTTGAATCCTAATTTAACCTACAAAGGATAATTTATTTTGCTTCCCTTCAGATCACGTAATTCAACACTCTCAACACAAAATAAAATCTCAAACGGACAGACCCAGGGGTCTGATATAGGCCGTTCAGTCCGTTGAGCCTCTTCCACCATTTTATTAGATCATGGCTTCTTACATTAAAGAAATGTCTGACTTCTGGGGCAACAGGTCGTTGCCAAAGTTACTTCTTGTTTCGTGTATACACAGCAAACAGGAAGTGACTTTGATGATGACCTGACAAGGCAGCCACTTTTTTCTTTGAGTGCAGGAACCACTTCTGTGGAGTGAGATAGCCATCGGCACGTCAAAACAAATTGGAAGGTTGTGATCCCAATTACTGCTTTATAATGGTTATTAATCCTATTCTCCTGTTCTTCCAGCATAGATAGAAAGCTTTTAGGGATTGTTAGATGCACAAAGATTGGGTGATGTTTGTGCAATCTGGGTGGCCAAGGACTAATATGAGTTTCACTGGAGAGAAAAATGAAAAAAAAGAAAACATTTGGGAAAGGATTATCTATCCAGAGAGGGGGAAAGAGAACAGGAATAAAATAATAACCTATTAGACGGGGAGGGTGAAAGGACTAAAGACACAAATTAAACCCACATTCCAACCAAGGCACAGAAGAGAAAGTATCTGTCTCAGTTGGATCTGAATTTTGTCCAAGATGTTACAGGAACTGAGCCTGAAGGTATTTTCTTTCATGTTGAACTTTAACTTACAAGTGAATACAAGTGTACTGTACCTATCACTAAACACACACAGACACTTCTAGTTTTGAATATACAGTATATAAAAACACACAGATAGACATTCCACTTACCACTGGATTACTAGGATCTCTCTTCGTAACTTCAGTGAAGAATTTATGAGCCTCAGCAAAGTTATTCTGACCAAGATAGAGGAACGCCCTAATACAAGAATAAGACATTACAAATAAAATATCCGACAAGGCAGGAGGCCATTCGACGCATTGTTTTGTGTCAGTATTTGCTCTTCTGAGAAGCTATCCACCTTAATCCCAATTCCCTGCTTTTTCTCCCTACAGCCTAATTCCCTCCCTTTGCATGTACTTGTCTAATGCCTTTTTAAATGCTCCAACCGACTTCTGCTCTAACAGCCCGGCCAGACAAATCATTCCATACTCTGACAACCCTCTGGGAGAAGGTTTAGAACTCTTCTAAATCTCTCCTTTTACTCCCTTGGTCACAATCTTGCTTTCATTGCCCTCTTGTCCTTGAATCCCCTACCAGCAGAAAGAGATTTTCACTACATTTTCTACACCTTTAGTGCTGTTTACTCTAATTAATATGCAAATAAATAAAAAATGCAATTAAACCAGACAGTCAATCACAATGAAAATGAAATCCCACTCAAATGAATAATCAAGTGGTTTGCACTTGGAATTCATGCTCGCTGCTCTGCAATTTTGATCGGATGTGAAGGGGAGGGAAGGATAGATCTCTATCAAAAAGTGCAGCTGAGTTGCTTCCCTGGTTATTTAGGGCAAGGCATCACGTCATTAGATAGTTTGAGTTGAGTTGGGTCTTGTTTAAAACTACTGTCTCACTTACACAACAATCTGCATTTACATAGCGTCCTTCATGCAGGGTAGCATCTCGGAGCACTTATACACGTGAAGAGGTTCCACTCTGCACTTCACAATAGCACTACACGGTCTAAGCGCTCAGAGACGCTGTGTGATACACTTGAAAAAAGGCAACACTCGCCTGACGCTCATAAAACTAAAATATAGCCCCAAAATGGTAAACGATGCAATGCCCTCAGAATCCATGTGATTCCCACCAACAGTGCTTAGTAAACCTGGCAGTAGCCTTTGTTCCACACCTGCTGCTCAGTCTTATATTTATTTTCTTCAGTATAAATATAGCTAATACTGAGCAGCGAGTTAAAGGTTGAAAAGAAGGGTTCCCAACTGTGAGTCAAAATTGTTGGATTAACTGATCTGAACCACTGGGATTGGAGCCTGGTTTCTTTCAATCAGTGCTAATTTGACAGTTCTGTGAAGCCAGAGAACACTCAACCACACACTCGCTGTGCAGCACATCTCCCGTCCTTTATAAAGTCAATTTCCTTTCTCCGCCCCTATCCTGCCTCGCTGTCCCAGAGTATGCTGATAACATGTCTTTATGTACTGCTAGTCACAATGAAGAGCATCTACAAAATGCTTAACGATGGGAGCAGTGGGCACTGAGCAACTGGTAGAAATTTAGCGGTGAGAAAGACATGGTTGACGTGTTGGGAGACATTTGACGGCAGAAAGAAGGGTATCAGGTGAAGAGGTTTTGAAAAGGATTCCGGAGTGGCGTGGTGGTTGAAGGCTTCTAATGGTGGAGTAGAGATCGGCAATCCAGAGTCAGACAGCAAAGTGCAGGCCTAAGGTATAGAACTAGACTGCTAGTTGTAGAGCTTGGCCATGGATCATTACTTGACAGGATCTTGAGAAGCATAAAATAGCTTTGGATAAATACTGTACGCTCTGGCAAGTGGGGGTTCTAGAGGTCTGCACAGCATTGCTGTGGAGCGATGAAATGTTAACAGATAATAATAATAATCCTTGCATTTGATATAGCACTTGATCACATAGTTGAGACATCTCAAAGCGCTTCACAGAATATATTATAAAGTGAATTGACTGTATATTTTGCAGGCAAATTGCAGCAGCTGATTGTACGCAGCAGTGTCCCACAAATGGTCATGGATTGAGTGACCAAATTGATATAATTTTTTTTCGAAGGGATTATTACCCCTGGAAAGCGATCTGCCAATCAACTACATAGGTAGTTTGAGTACATAGGTAGTTCGGGACATATGTGCACGCGACCGCAAGCAACTGGATGGACCTTCGTCTATTTTTCGCCAAGCATTTCTTTTGTTCTTATGACTAACAACTGGGTTCCTATATTACTGCTCGGTAAAAGGAGGTGTGTGGAGTAAGGAAACTTGCCTGAGGTTTCGCCCTGCCCAAGAATCTTCTCGCTTTCAAGGCGAGTTGCTCTAACCACTACGCTGCAAGATTCCATTCGCATTCATTTCCTGTCCCATCTCTCTCATTCCACAAACGAGGTGTATGATCTGCTCCAGGACCTCTGCCAATGCGTTTCTATAAAAAGCTCCTCAATGATACAACAGAGCAGCTTGGGTTGATTCGCCCCGTTTGCCTCTCTTCTGACGAAATTGGGAACTTGCGTCAGGGGACTGCAGCTGTGGACCTGATGCTTGCTACTCTGCAGTGAAATGCATTTGAAACGCGCCAGCAAACTGGGTCATTTATTGCACCCCAGGGGAGAAGAAAAGCAACTTATGGCACGATTTATAGATAACTGTGGCATTTTAAAACAATGCTAGCACAACACAGGGAACACTTCAAATCATCTCCAGTTACAATTGAAGATTCGATCAGTTCGCCCAAAGATCTTGTTACGAAAGACAATAAACCCAAGCTTTATAGGTTGTGAATGATGAGAGAACAGAACAAGCTTTGTTGCATTATAATAATAATCCTTGCATTTGTTATGCTAGACTTTCTGTTGATTTTATGGCATTCTGCACAGAATCAATGCTAAAAATACAGTAAAACTCATATTGCTCATTTTCAACTGTGCTCCCAAATGGCCTAGTGGGGGTGAATTTGGATTTGAATCAATGTCATCCCTCCTTCATAAATCAGGTCTTAATGAGTGGAAACAGATGGAAAAATATATCCTAATATTAGAGGAATAAAAAAATCTAAATATCTTCACGAAAAGAGAAGAGAAATTGGCGAAGAATCGCAAGATCAAAGTTCTGCGGATCCTTGAAGTTTTATTGTGATGAAAAAATCTAGTTGTGTTCCTGAATAATATTTTAATAGGTGTTCAGCCTCAGAGCAATGGAACTCATGAGCAACTAAGCACAATTTACAGGACTTTCCTTCGTCCAACAACAACAAATTACATTTGTATAGTGCCTTTCATGTCGGGAGGATGTCCCAAAACGCTAGGGAGTCAGGGGTTTGCACCCAAGCTGGGGCTCGGAATCAAGAGGGGCGAAGGTAGGGGGTGGATGGTGGCCGAAGGCATGGTCAAAGTAAAGGATCTTGAGGAGGGTCTTGAAGGAAGCAAGGGAGGGGCGAGGGAGAGGGATTCCAAGATGGAGTTCCAGAAGGTGGAGGCAGATAAACTGAAGGCCCAACTGTCAAAAGTGGGGCGGGCATGGCTGGGCAAAACTGGTGGGAGTGAGTTATCTAAATCTAGTTTTCCATTCCAAACTGTAGTGATACCACCACACACTTCTGTAGTATCAAAGGACAAAACTACAACGAAGGTGGAGCTAGACAAACCACAGATATATAACACCAATGGGAATGATCCATGCCAAGGGATGGGATCGTATCAAATTACAACAATTTATAAATAAGGAAATGCATAAAAATGAAAATCAGGGAAGGTATTCTATATAAAAAGTAGTTTGTGGAGTCCTGTAGCTTAGTGATTAGAGCGCTCGCCTCTCAAGGGAGAGACCTGGGTTCGATTCCTGGCAGGGCAAAACCTTGGGCAAGTTTCCTTACTCCACATGCCTGATAATAATCCCTCAAGAAAAAAAACGATAATAAATTGGTTACTTCAATCCAGGACTGTTTATGGGACGCTGCTGTGCACAATTGGCTGCCGCGTTTCGCCCACAAATATACAGTCAATTCACTTTGCAGTATATTCTGTGAAGGGCTTTGAAACGTCTAGAAGATGTGAAAAGCACTACATCAAATGCAAGGATTATTATTATAGTTAAAGGTTTAGAGCTGCCTCACCCCTCAAATCCTTCATACTGTACATGCATTGATCAGACTTTCTGAGTTTCAGCAATGATAAGGTCAGGTAATATTAATATTCCAATGAAAAAGAGCACAATAGAACTGGTCATTGAAATAAAGACTGCTGAGTATTCCAGCTGCTTTGCATATTAATATGTTATGCAGAATTTTGTTCATATAACAGGACAACTTAGGAGCAGAAAAAAACTCATTAGGTACAAGAAGCTGCCTCTTTTCTGCTGAACTCAACCCCACCCGCCTGGTTTCTCACCAAATCTCTCAGTGCCTTCTGTCTCTTTTTGTAATAATTCAATTAGTTGTCTCTTGAACTCATTTAGAATACTGTATGTGCTTCAGTGGCTGCCATGGTAACTTATTCCACAAATCTTAAAAAAAAGTTCTTCTCAAATTGAGGAGTTTCCATTCGTATTTGAACCCTTCGATACAATATGCAAGTAGACTGGAGTTACTTTGGCAATCTTCTTTGCAGTCTAGAAAATACATTATTCTGCATTTCTCACAGGTTTTTAAGTATCATATCAAATAGTGGCACGTAGAGAACTCAACAAAATGTATACATTTCAAAGATATTTTGCACAACTTACCGGTTCATCTGAATGATAATATCCTGCTGCAATTCATTACCTAACTTCGGACACACTTTCTCAACTTGTTGAAAATATTTTTCAGCTGTTTTGATGTCACCAATCTGTGTTTGAGAGAAATACAATACTCAGTCAACCAATTTAAGTCAATACAGTCAAGATTGTCAACTCAAGTACAAGAGGAATGATGCAAGATTTCTCACCACAATAAAATATAGCTTTTGTGCTATTACACTGGGAAAAAAAGGCCAGCAGAGTTTCAACAATGGGAAATGGTTACGGTTCAATGAAAGAAGAGAGTATTATGGCTGGTGAAAAGAACCACACTCCTCAATAAGTGAAACAAATTGTCAATCCATTACAACACCTTCAAAGTATTGCAAACCAAATCAAGCTTTTACACATAGGTCATAAGAGTCTACTTTCTCAGGGAAAAATTCCAGCTAAACATTTGAAGATTTAATGACAAAATTTGGAGAGTAAAATAATCTAAAGCTAAAATCTTCAGTAAAATTCTGTGGGTCTTTTTTTGTCTGCAATACAGATTTCATGTTATCACTGTAAAAAACTGGATTGGCAATCAATAACAGGCGAAGTACAGACAAACCTGTTAGTTTACTCAGTAGATTCCATTGTTCTAGATTGCTTTAAGACCACTGATGATTTATGACTGTTAAATGTTGGCGTAAGCATGTATAAAAGAACTCAGTGTGGAGACTGGACAGCAAATACAAATATGTTCCTTTAACTCAATCATTTCTTCTTTTCAGCTAATTCTGCTTTCAGACATAAATTTATTTGCTTTTGTTTGTTGAAAGTGAGTTCTATCTACTGCTTATCTCATCTTCCTCTGAACAGAAATCCTTCTGCTCAAAAAATGAGTCACATCCCTCACTTTTGCACTGGTGTGGCCGTGTGAGGGTGTGCAATGAAGGAGCAAACATGGAGGAGGGTTAGGAAATGAGAACTGAGAACTGACAAAAAAAACATTTAAAGTCAGCAGAAAACATTGATCTATGGGCAATACTTCACAGTTACTAGATCCTGGCAATCTTGGGGGAAGTTGCTTCAAACTCACAGTTTCTGTAAGAAGCTATTTTAAGAAAAGCTGTTTTGGAACAAGACCAACTCCTTTGCTTATAATAATAATAATCGTCGCATTTGATATAGCGCCTTATCACACAGTTGAGACGTCTCAAATCGCTTCACAGAATATATTATAAAATTAATTGACTCTATATTTTGTGGGCGAAATGCAGGGGTCAACTGCGCACATCAGTGTCCCACAAACAGTCGTGGATTGAGTGACCAAATTGTTATTTTTTCTAAGAAAAAAATTGTGGGGAGAAATTATTACCCCTGGAAAAGCAATCTGCCAATCGACTAACAACTGGATTTCTACTTATTGATAGGTAAGCAGAAGCGTGTGGAATAAGGAAACTTGATCAACGTTTCTCCCTGACGTGGAATCGAACCCAGGTCCTCTCGCTTGTCAGGCAAGTGCTCTAACCAATACCCTACAAGACTCCACATGCTTACAAACCAGACCAGCTCCTCCACTTCAACATAAAAGCAGCTCTTCCGAATGCCTAAACCCTAAGCTTTGCAAATCATACATCTAGATCTGGTGGCCATACTGTTAAACATAATTTAGAAAAGATGCTTATGAGTAAGTGGAGAATTTTCTTCAAAATGTGTGGAGCCACTTGGTAGCAAGAGACTTTCTCCCAATTCTATCACGTGTTAGATTTGGACATAGACTTTGGCAAAACTTATCCGATTATCATTCAGATGTGTATGTCAACTTTCCTCCAGGAACCCACTTCTCTTTTGTCCATCCTCTAACTCTCAATTTATCTATGAGACCCTTAGCACTTGCAATATTGCCTTCCTCTTAACTACTTCTGTGGCATCTCTGTGCACTCAAAATATTTCCCAGTTACCAGGGGTAGAAAGTCAGTTTCAACTATTGCCCTCAAAATAGTCAGCCTTCTGTCAGAAGTGGCAAGTGAGCAGTAGGTGGCATGTAGAATGGCTTCAGACAGCATCAAGAAAGCCATGGCATATATCGCTGCCTTCTTGACTGAGGTAAATACTTTTTTCTCCACTGTAATTATGCCACCTACAGCCTGAAGCTTACCAAGAATATAAATTACCTCAATTGACCTCACTGCTCATGGCTACTATCTCACCTACTTAAGTTGCAACAGCCTTCACAGCTCAACAACTTCAGAAAGACTGAACATTGGTTTATGACTCCAGTGGAAAAGAAGCAACGCCTAATACCATTTATCAGCATCTGTTAAAGAAAAGAAACCTCAACCTTCAAAAGAGCTGCTATAGTTTGTCACATAACACTGATGGCCACACGGGTTGCCACATCCCACCATTATTAGCGTTTCCGAATCTTTATGGTCACTTCCTGGGAAATGTTTAGATCTCTGTCCATTTCTAATATAACCAGTTGTACCCATTGCTGCTACGCTTGCAACCAAACGATCCAATATGGAATGTCGATTTCAATGATACCACTCACAAAACATTTAACATGCCATAAACCCTGTGTGCACACCTTGAGCAAAATTGCCATACATGTGCGATGAGGTTATTTAGGTCATAGCTCATCAATGATAGGAGATACCTTCCCCAAAAAATATGGCCATGACACTTCCCCATCCAAGACCTTTCCGACGACGTATAAATCATGCCTCTACGTCAATTGGTTATAGAGTTCTTGGCAGACAGACAGACAGACATTATGTCTTTATTAGTATAAATAATAATAATCATTGCATATAGTGCCTTAACATGTCTTTGAGATGTCTCAAAGCGCTTCAAAGTGAATTGACTGTATATTTTGTGGGCGAAACGCGGCAGCTAATTGTGCTCAGCAGTGTCCCAAAAACAGTCCTGGATTGCGGTGACCAATTTATTATTATAGGAATTATTACCCCCCGGAAAAGCTATCCGCCAATCGACTAACAACCGACTTCCTACTTACAGCTAGGTAAACAGAGGCGTGTGGAGTAAGGAAACTACCCGATAGTTCGCCCTGCTGGGAATTGAACCCAGGTCTCTCACTTGTGAGGCGAGTCTCTAACCACTGAGCTACCGGACTCCACTCAGGACTAAGCTGCAGAACTCTATTTATGTGACATCTTCACTTGGCCACTCTTTGCAGTAGCAAATAAATGTGAGGGCACAATAATTTTATTGCTAATTTATTTGTGTATTTTTAATACTGTCCAATTTGTCATGTCCTTAAGAGGAAGACACTGTGATACAGACGCTAAATGATATTTATATATGCAAGTTCTACCTATTTGTTGGAAATGGCCATAATGTTTTGTTTTCTAAACATCTAAACACTGCCACTTTATGGAGCAACATTTCATAGACCATAATTCCAGCAGCTTTCTCCTGCTCTCTTAGCCTCCTATTTTTTTTATTTATCAGCTGCAACAAATGATTACCACAAGGGATCGAATAGCATGCAACACAATGGCAGAATTATGCAGCAATTTGGGGGGAAAATAACCATCTGTGTCTTTTCTACAGGCATTTAAAAATGAGTGTGCAAATATCAAAAATCACAAATTCTCAGTAAAATACAAACATACTATAAGAATCACCATCCAGCCAGGTTTCTAGTCTCCTGATTTATGGCATCTTTGAACATTTTTGCATCATAGAAAACCTATGTGCTTTTTGATTTAATTTCAAACATCTATAATCTATGCGCTTCAACAATATTACTATAATCTGGACTCCCAGTACAAATCTGCGAGTCTACTTTTATATTTTTCCATTCTCATTCGATGAATTGTGCCAAATCTAATTTCTGCACTAGTCGAACCTAGATTACCATGCATCAAAATTAATTATAAATCTAGCTGTGAATCACAGTAAGTTTTGATATTCTCATCAAGTAATCTTGTTCGCTATAGCAACCCAACCTCCAGAACATATTTCTCTGCATGGGGTATTTGTAAAAACTGGGTAGTCTGAATTGCTAATACTAACATCTGAGAAGCAAAGTTAATGAACTTCTGCTAGCAGTTTGACAAGTACAAATGAAGTCTCTTCATTATTGAGATCAATTGCAGTATTCATTATTGAGATCACTGAATCTGCATATTAGCACTTAAATGTTCAGTCAAGTTGTGTCTTTTAAAATTTGTAAACATCATCAAATAGCAGTCTTAAAACTCCTTAAATGAATTCTAAAACTATATTTTAATCTTTTTGCATAAGTACCTAATAATAATAAGGTCACTCATTCCATGATTGTTTGTGGGACACTGCTGTGCGCAATTGCTTGCTGTGTTTCGCCCACAAAATACACAGTGAATTCACTTTACAGTATATTCTGAGAAGCGCTTTGAGACATCTCAACTACGTGATAAGGTCTTACATCGAATGTGATGATTATTATTATTGGTTCCTTTTAAAAATGTTCTCGGGAAATATTCAAGTTGCATATATCGAAAATCAGAATTTCTCAGTGGGATATAAAAGAACCAAATATAGTATTTTAAAAAAATTATAAGGAGTTTGTACTATATAGAGAGTAGGAACTAGGTTGTGACTTCCAAAAATAAATCTCTGAGATCTCCATCAGTCAAGGCTAAACAAACTCAGGAATGAGATGAAAGAGCCCAACCCACTGACAAACCAGCCTCCAAAAATATTGAATTGTTGAGTCCTGTGCTTATTTCACTTATTTATTGTGGAAATGTTTATTGGCGTTGGTATTAACAGTAAAATTCACACAAGGAGCATCAGTCAGGACCATAATATTCAGCATAACTTATCCGAAGTCCGACATGTGTAAGTCGTATAAAATCCGATTTAATCAGTGATCTACACTGAGCATGTGGAATTCAAAACAGCTAGTAAGCGCCATGTGCTAGTTTGTCACTACAGCCGTTAGGTCTGCATGTGGTGATGGGTAAAAACTAGTTTTGCGTCTTGACCCATTGTCGCTTTGCTACAAGTATTGGAATTACATTGAGTTTCGGGAAATTAAGTTCTTCTGAGCATGCAGCGAAGGATCAAGACTACGTTTCCTGTGATTCAATGCAACTGGTAATGGAGGATTGGGGAATGGCATTCCGAGTTAGGAGATGATAAATAAATCAAGTGATTTTGATCGGAAACTGAATGGGACTCAGATGGATGTACGACTTAGGTGATTATACAATTTATAAAGATAAGATTTATGCGAGTTTTACTCTCCCGATGTGAAAGGTGCTATACAAATGTAATTTTTGTTTGTATTTTGTTTTCGTCCTGCCTCCTCGAGCCCCTGCTGTCTGGTTTTCGCACTGCCCACAGCAGAGAGACAGCGTTTGTCAAAGTCCCAAATGACATTCTCCCTATCCGTGACTAGGGCTCCCTCTGCCTCCTCGTCCTCCTAAATCTTTCTGCTGCGTTCGGCACAGCCAACCACCCCATCCTCCTCCATCGGCTCTCTTCCCTCATCTACTTAGTGGGACCGCACTTGCATGGTTCAAGTCCTACTTAATCAACCACCTCCATTTTATCTCAGCAAATGGTTTCTCCTCTTGCCCCCACCCGGTCACCTGCAGGGTATCCCAGGGCTCCATCCTTGGTCCTCTACTTCCACATGTATGCGGACGACCCACAAATCTACTTTGCCTCCTCCAGTACCAACTCCAGGTCCGCCAATGTTCTATCAGCTTGTCTGGCAAACATCAAGGCCTGGATAAGTGCAAACTTCCTGCAGCTGAATATGGACAAGACAAAAGCCATACTCCTTGGCTCCTGTCAATGTTTTCACTAAACTCCTCAACCTCCCTGGGCTCTCCCTCAGACTCACCAAACCAGTGCGCAACCTAGGCGTCCAGTTTGACCCCAACTGTCCTTCCTCCCCCACATGCGGTCCCTGATCAGGACCACTATCTTCCACCTCCACCGAATTGCCTCCGACCGTACCTTACCCCAAATACTGCCGAAACCTTCACGCATGCGTTTGTCTCCTCCCGCCTGGATTACTCCAATGCACTCCTTGCCGGCTTCCTCAGCTCAACCATTCACAAGATCCAGCTCGTTCAGAACTCTGCCGCCCACATACTGACCCAGACCAAACTCTGTACCCACATCTCACCAGTTCTGGCCAGGCTCCACTGGCTCCCCATCACCGAATGGATCGACTTCAAGATTCTCACACTCGTGTTCAAATCCATTCACTCTCTGGCACCTCACAACCTCTCCGACCTCCTCACACCCCTATCCACCACCCGGCGCCTCCGCTCAACTGGCAACGGCCTCCTGCTCTTCTCTCTCACTCTCCGTCCCACCACTGGAGGTTGCACTTTCAACCACTACGCCCCAAAACTCTGGAACACTCTCCCTCAATCCCTTGCCCTTTCTCCGCCCTTTCAAGTCCCGCCTGAAAACTTTCCTGTTCGACAGTGCTTATAGCCACTTCTCCACTCCCCCCGGCTCAGAGTCAGGTTCCGCCACTATTAGGTGCTCTGAGACGAAGCCCTGCATGGAGGACGCTATATAAGTGCAAGTTGTTGTTGTCTGCACATATTAAGCATAGTTTTGTGTAGGAGCAAACTAACATCAAGTTATTTAAAAAGCTACAAGTATGCCTTACAGAAATTGATGACCCTCATGTATTCATAATTACTTGCTTAACGAAGATTGCTCACAAGCATTGAAGTGTGAGAGAGAGTGAGAGAGAGAATAGAGAGATATGTTTGCAGACGCTGCATAGCCATTTTTAACAAAACGGAAAATACTGCAGATCCCAGAAATCTGAAACAAAAACAGAAGTCACTGGGAACACTCAGCCAGTCAGGCAGCATCTATGGAGAAAGGAAAATGAATCAATGTTTCGGATCCACGACCCTTTGTCAGAACTGGGGCATGTTGGGAGGGAGAGGCTTTTAAGGACTAAGAGAGGGGGGAGACAGGGCAAGGAAGGCGGTGTTAAAAGAGGTGTTAATGACCCCCCCCTCTTTGCTTTGCATCATTAACACCTCTTTAACCCATCATCCCCTGTCCTCTACCCCATTTTCTCCTTTGTCTTCCTTACACTGCCTTCCCCCTCTCTGTTAGCCCTTTAAAAACCTTTCCCTCCCCACATAGCCATTTTTAAGCCTGTTTTCTGAAAATGGCAGATCACAGCAGGAGGGCAAATATATGTAAGGGAATTATTTTCCAAAACAAGGTTTTACCAAGTATTATCTTTATGAAAATGGTGCACACGTATTTATTGCTCTGTAGGTAAGAGTTTCACATGTGCATTCACACTTACTACTGTATTGTTTATTTAAATAAAAATAAAAATATAGCTTTTACATTTGAAGGAATAAATTAAAATAAGCATTTATAAATAAGCACTTCAAGTAACAAAATACATAAAAATTATATCTATACACACACATACACAGTCACACACACACACAAACATACTACATCCACCAAGAATGTTAAGAACCTATCTGGCAGGTTTAGTGTGGTAAAGCAGGCAATGGATGCATGACTCCTAAATGAAAGTTACATTTGCTCCGAAATCAGGAATGCGAAAATCGATTTAGCAGGGTTAACTTTATGCCCAAATATGTTTACAACACAACCGAGGTGAGGTACCAATACTGAAGAGCTTCTTCCTAAAAAGCATCTGTGCAATTCCTCTGATGACACACTTAACTGGATATACTAGCTCCCTGGATGCCGCATTATTACTGCCTTGTGCGAGACTGATGCACACTAGATTCACAGATTGTTTCCTCCTGCTCTGAGCTGCCTTCTTTGATCACAATAGGGCAGTCAGTACAAGTGACACTACAATTATCCTCAGTGCTTCAGGCTGAGGAGAGGAAAAAGAAAAATCGGCTAGGGTTCCTGTTCCTAATCACAATTCTAATCACCACACTGGAAAGTGTGGATGTCGGAAGAGAACAGGATCAGGATTAACTGATATCTGCTACGCTTGAACAGCTTCGCCACCCATGTTCACACAAATGGGCAGTGTGGAGGAGGTATCAGAGGTTGACCAGAGAGCTGTGTCATGGCACTCAATCAGGTTATGCAGGTAGTGTTATAAACGCTGACTGAATCTCAACTCATTTAATCTGGATCATAATAAACTTATCAGATGGAAGCAGCCTAATACCATTCCCCACATCCGCGCCATGACCGGCACTGCCTACCACTACCTCCGGAACATTGCCAGACTCCGTCACTGCCTCATCCCTCAGGCTACCGAAACTCTCACCCACGCATTCGTCACCTCAAGGCTTGATTATGGGAACTCCCTCCTCATCGGCCTTCCCAAATCTTCCCTTCACAAGCTGCAGATCATCCAAAACTCTGCAGCTTGTGTAATCTGACGCACCAGGCTCCATGACCCCATCACTCCCACCCTCGTCCGAATCCGCTGGCTCCCCATCCAACAACAAGATACAACAAGATTGCATTTATAGAGCGCCTTTCACGTCACATCCCCCAGAGGATCGAGTTCAAGATCCTTGTCCTCATCTTTAAAGCCATCCATGGCATTGCCCCCTCCTATTTCTCTGACCTGCTGACTCCCTACCAACCTACCCGCTCCCTCCGTTCAGCGGGCTCCGGCCTGCTCCATGTCTCCCACCCAACCCGCCCTACCATCGGTGGCCGGGCTTTCAGCCTTTCTGCCCCCACACTCTGGAACTCCATTCCACGGTCCCTTCGCCTCACTTCCTCCCTTGCCTCCTTCAAGGCCAGTCTCAAGACCCTTCTCTTCGACCGTGCCTTTGGTCTCCCTCCCATCTCTCTGCCTTCCCTCAACCCTCCCCCATGCTCGGGCCCCAACAACTGACTGTTCAGCTCTTTGGGACGTCCTCCAGATGTGAAAGGTGCTCTATAAATGTAATTTTGTTGTTGTTATTGTTCCTGTATGAGATCCTATGAACAAAGTCTTGTGTTAAAGTTGGTATTTTTCGAAAAAGAATATGAATCCAAGGCATGTCAAACAGAGTGAAGACTTGCTTAATTTAATCTCAGAGGAGGGCATATGAACCAATCAATAATCCAGTAAGGATGAACACATAACTCAGCTGCTGTGAAAAGACTTTCACTACCTTAAGGCCCTTGGTAAAAACCCCAAATCATAAGACAGCAGTAAATGAGATTCATTGATTTTGGCCATTGAGTCATACACTTGATGTTAAAGGTGCTATATAAATGTAAAATTGATGCTTTTAAAAAATATATTCGCAACACTTTCAGAAATGTAATGCAACATTATTTTTATAGTTATGTAAACAAGTTAAAACTTCTACCTTTAGTGGAATGCAATTCAAACACTCACCAGTTGCAAGGTGCAAAATGAAGCTCTATTTATGAATAAAAACGGTCATAAATGTGATCTAGGCATTCCCGTTGACATGCCTCAAGCTCCATTAGTCCAAATGGTATCTTCATACACAATTCATAATCACAGCTTTTTAGATTTAATTTTATGAATCAAAGAGCAGGCCAGCCTGGATTCACATTTATGTCCCAAATAGTAGTTGGATACAATGACATCATCAAACACAGCAATGCAGAACCTCAGTGCAAAATTATATGTAGCTTATTGTAGTTATCTTGAATTCTCTTTCCCGCTTCATATTTTAGAACTGTGCTAAAAGTTATATCGAGTTCATCTACTAAACATCCATTTCACTCACAGAATTATTAAATTGTTAAATCCAAGAAAAACAGGCTGCGAATCTAGGTTGATTTTGACAACAATTCAGTTCATTATAGATTTGCATGAAGTGAAAAGACTAATTTGGTCGCGCACCAAACTAGACAATTTCCTCAGATTTTATTTGTAAGAAAATGTATCAAGTATTAATCTCACAATCAAAATTAAGGAGCAAGACATAGGTTAAGCCTGGCACCATTTTTCATACCTGCAGAAATAGTCTTCCTATGCCACTGAGAAGCTGAGGCTCTTGTTCTGGTTGGTACTGGATGACTGAATGGTACATGTCAACTGCGAGTACATAGTCCTGAGAAAATAGACAACAGTTCAGTTCTGCACCGATTCACTGCCATTAATTCTTTGACTGTGCTGTAATTTTTCATTGTAAATCCTAAAGACTAAGACATTTTATATACTTAAAGGTTTGGATGATTTGCTCAATTTAGCTACATTAAAACACTTTCCAGAAAATATCAGTTTTGTGAGTGCTCAGAAAAATATTGACAAAGGAATATCAAAACAGACTATAGAGGATTAATAAATTATGCCACCATAAAAGCATTTTGAAAATACAAAGAGCAACATCTGTAACCTAGCACATATTGGTCTTGTAACACAGTAATGTCTTAATTTATATTGCATTCCAACTCGCACAAGCTTGCATTTAGTTGTATACATTATTTTTCATAATAGCAATGTACTTATTTTGCAGGCTTCCAACTTAACGCTTCCAATGAAGGAATTCAATCAGATACTTTTTAAACTTTTAATATTTGAAGCTGATTCTTCATTGATTTTTTTTGCAGTTGAAATGGACAGTAATGTGCTGCTGCTTGTTACATCCAAAGTATTTCAAAACATTCGTGATAGTGATTCGATTTGTATGACCAACAAGATTTTAAATAAATAATTAATCTAACTGGATGTTTAGTAAAACATCTCATGCATTTATTTAGCCACGGGCCACATCAGTACAAAAGAACACAATACCATGTACTTTGAGCATCACAGCACTTGGATCTATCTGAACTAATACATACTTCAGGGAAAATAGTATTTTACGTGGAGAAAGAGCAGGAATATGGAATTAAAAGTAGCATTGTGGGAGCCAGGCAGATTTGTGGATCATCTATCATCTATTTTCAAGTACAATACAATATAAAATTACATCTGTACAATGCCTTTCATGTCAGGAGGATTTCCCAAAGCATTGGACAGTCAGGGATTTGAACCTGAGCAGGCGGGTTGGGATCAGGGAGAGTAGGAGGGTGGATGAAAGCGCGGTCAAAGAGGAGGATCTTGAGACATGCCTTAAAGGAGGCAAGGGAGAGAGCGAATGTGGGATGGAGTTCCAAAGGGTGAGCGAAGGGAGGCTGAAGTCCTGACGGCTGATGGTGGGGCGGGACGGGTGGGGAAATGTAGAGCAGGCCGGAGCTTGCTGAGCGGAGAGAGCATTCAAGTTGACATGGGGTCAGCAGGAAGCAGAGGTAGGGAGGGGGCAAGGCTGTGGAGGGCCTTGAAGACGAGGACGAGAATTTTGAAGTCCATCCACTGGGGGTTGAAAGCCAGTGAGGGTGGGGGTGATGGGGTCATGGAATCTAGTGCGGAAGGGGACATGAGCTGCAGAGCTCTGGGTGATCAGCAGCTTGCGGAGGGAAGAGTTGCGAAGGCCGACAAACCGGGCGTTAGTGTAGTCGAGTCTAGATATGATAAATGCATGGCTGAGGGTTTCAGGGGCCTGAGAGGTGAGGCAGTGGCGGAGCCAGGCGATGTTGAGGAAGTAGGGGAAGGTAGAGCGGGTCATGGTATGGATGTAGGGTAGAAAGGACAGTTGAGGGTGAAACAAGATGGCAAATGATACCAACTCAGAATTGATACAATCAGTCATTGATGGACTAAAGGATTTAAAGGCCTTGGTTGTGATGGATGTACTTCATGACTGCATTTACCATTATAATCTTCCTTATCTACCTGTGCAGGCTGATACAGTGGTTATGGCAATTGGTTGCGTCATTTACGGACCCAGTCACCTTGACATACAGAAATTTTACAAAAAGTGCAGCTCCATTTTTGCATGTTGAAAACATGGGTGTCATTCCACAAGACTACCCCCAAAGTATCTTGAAACGTTAAATAAGCGCTGTACAAATTACTGTTAAAATACACTTTTTCTTTCACGGAAATGCTCAGCGTCAGGTAAGGAGGGTCGTCAAGCAGATGAAGTAGCACAAACATTCTTCTGACGTGTGTAGATCAAACACAGCTTTCTTATCACTCACATATATCCCAGGATTCACTACTATCTGAGCTAACAGATATCTCAATACTCATGATCAATTACTACCCGAAGGATGACTGATTACTACCCTCTTTGTTGTAATTGAATGTTTGTGGTGTGTTAGAAAGGTGAATTCATGAATCTCATTGATTTTTTTGTAAATTTCTTATTAAAGCCTCCGTAGAAAGCAGATATCACTCAGCCATATTAAGACTTTTTGAAATCTTGATGAATCAATGCAGAACGTAAACATTCTACAATGGCAATATTTACAATTTCTACAGAATGCGAACATTATGTGAACTGAAATGTTATTGCCTTACAATGTCGTCCATAATCAAGAGGTTTCAAAATATTAACGGCAAAGGTTAGAGTACAATGGATACACTAAAGCCTCCATGATATTGTGGGGGGTGGATTTCATCACATCCAGGTTCAATAATTCCAACATGTTTCTCACCGGACTTCCCAGCTCCTCCCTACCCAAACTGCAGACCATCCAGAACTCTGCAGCCGTTGCTCCTTCCTATCCACCCTTTCAGTCTTTTAAACCTGTCTTAAGACTTCTTTCCGACTGCTCTTTCGATCACTTTCCCCCTTCTCAGCTCTCTAACAATTTAAATGTAAATTGTTGTCTTTGGATTTCAGACCATGAGCATTTTGCATTGGTGTTAAATCCACACGGATCCCAGCTATATAGCTCATTAATTGTAGTCTTTGTTGCTTCTACCCTCGCTGCACACTTGGTGCTGCAAAAGGCGCACAATATATATGCCATAAATCAGGGAAGGAGCTCATAAATATTGCACTGACCAGTCACTGGGGGCAGGGAATCCTCCCACTTGGCTCCTGTTAACCCTGTGAGTCAAAGCCCTAACTGGTAGGGCGGTCCAAGCTGAACAAGCAGTGGGAAAGCTTGCCAGACAGCGCTATCAATGGCAAGCCATGCGGTTTTAGCTGGTACCATCGGGACCCCAACACACACTCTAAGGTCCCCAAGCCTTGGCTCCTGCCAACCTACGCCTAATACTTTTTGGAATTAGGTAAGCAGGATGGCTCCTTCCAGGGAGAGAGCGCACATTCCATTCCGACCATCTATCTCTGGGATTTCCACGTGTAGGCGGGACGCAAGAAAATCTCAGCTTGGTTTGGATGCTCTTAAGCTGACCCAAAAAACAATTTTTTGAAAACAATAACACAAAAGACTAATAAAACGTTCAGGTTGCTCACAAGCTAATATGTTAATAGGGAAATTCATGCCGAGCCAAGATATGAAAAGGTTGACAAGGTTAATAAGACTCCTTGAAGTACCTTAATCTGGAGCAATTCTAAAATTGAACAGGAACTGGTTTGGTACATTGAGATCAAAGGTTAAAAAGCACGTAATGATAAAAAGACTGGTGCGTTAGGGAGTTTCACTGCATTATGTGATTGTTTTTCAATCAAACAGCAGAGGGCGATATCCTGCACTGTATCACAATGACCTATTTAAACTTAAGCTATTTTCTATTCAGAATGCTGTACCTGCTGTCCTGCAGCACATTGTTTAGCGTCTTGCTATGTTAAAAACGGCATTGATATAATTTTCTCTTTTGACTCATTAACGAGCTGGTGAGGTTCTGAGGGGTTATTCCGGCACTAAAATTTGAGCAATATAGTGCTAAAACCAAAACAGATTTTTCTCATCCAAACACAAAAGTTAGATTAATGCAATATGTTGTGTTCATATGTTTTAAGCTCATATCCTCTGCCCAAAATCTATTTTCGAGGCAGTATATAGCAACAAATAAACAGTGGTACATATACCCTATGACATGTACACATGTAGAAACAAAGAATTATGGGGAAGGCAGCAAACACAATTAGATTTCAGATAACAGGATTAGCACAGTTAGAGATCAGGTACATCTTAAACATAAAGATCTGAGCTGCAAGACTGTTTTTAATAATGAATTAAAACCTATTGTTTTTAATAATGAATCCAACTTTTACTTGTAAAAAAATGCAAAATGTTTAGTATCCTATTCAGATGAATTTCAGTTCGAAGAATTGCACCTACATTCACACAAATTGCCCTGTGCTAATTGAAGGCCTTTTTTTCAAGAATTCTAGTCTATTCAATTCCATACATACATTGTATGATGGCTGGTTTGCATTGTTATTTGTGATAAAGCATATGTACTTCTCTCTGAAAACGAAATTCCACACCTTAACGCGTAGACTATGTACATAAAGGGGAAATCTATACATTTGCAAATATTTCACAAAACATTAAACACCGCTAGGTTCTCAAATCATTTGATTGTTGCACTGTGTAGGGCAGTGCTCAGATTATCGAGTGTATACGGTAATGCTACATCTCACAGCCACCCACGTACCTTCATCATCAGCAGGCAGTTTGCCATGGAGTACATCGCACGCCCCAGACGTGACCTCCACAACTGCATAGAAGCTGCAAGACACAGTAGGATCTCATGAAGATATGGCACAAAAGTAATTGCTTTCTGCTGCTGCCTTCATTGATTCAGCTACAGTTACCACTGCCTATGGATTAACAATCTATGAATATGCTTTAGTTCATTATAGCATTTCGCCTAAAAAAATATTACCACGATTCTGATGTAAAATACCCACCGGAATAAAATCAGTCGGAAACGCTGATGCAAACACCAGTAAACAATTCAAGCCAATTGCCTTTCTGTCCCGAGTTTAATTTTTTTCCTGTAAAATATTGGTAATGGAAGTTTCTTTTCATTCCCCATGTAATTTTATCACAGCACGAGTTTTAATTTCATATATCTAAATGAGAAATGCACATGGCAAAATACATTACAAAAGGAGTGCAGAGTAAAGCCATATGAGGTGAATATGAATTACTTCACCACATATTTGGTGTTAATATTGACAGTACTGGCCCGCTTGAATAATAACATATTCACATCTTAACTATTCCGTACTAATACAAGCATAGCCTCAAGGGACCTACTACATTCCATTACTTTCCAGGCCATACGTGCCAATTTAAATTTAAGAAGGCAATAAAAGACTTTTCATTTTTTTCATTTTCTTCTAATTTTGTTCTCCTCGGCTACCGTTCCTTAATGTCTGAATGTGGCAACAGTACAATGCTGTGCTGAAGACCTTCCTCCTCGCCTGTGTTTACAGTCACCTCCTCCGACACCCCCCGGCTGGTATCATCTTCCACCACTGTTAGGTGCTCCGAGATGCTCCCCGCGAAAATGGCACAATATAAATGCAAGTTGTTGTTGTTGTTGTGCTGTACGCAATTGGCTGCCGTGTTTCAGCCACAAAATACACATTCAATCCACTTTATAATATATTCTATGAAGTGCTTTGAGATGTCTCAATGACTTGATAAGACACTATATCAAATGCAAGGATTATTATTATATTAATATATTAATATTATTATAATAATAACAGTATGCTCTGATACTTTTACCAAAGTGGTCATTCTGCACAAGTGAGCAATGAATATTTCTTGCAGAATGCCTTTCATGTTAGGAAAGAGCTTCAAGGGATTTACTGTAAACAACAACAACAAATTACATTTGCATAGCGCCTTTCACGTCAGAAGGATGTCTCAGTTTAGTGACTTTACAGTTTACATCTTATAGGTGAACCCAGCAGCCAATTTGCACGCAGCAATGTCCACAAACCACATTGAAGTGAGGGACCAGTTTTGATTGGAAGAATGTTGGTCATGTTCCCTGAAGAAATTCCTTGCTTTTTTTGAATAGTGACATGGGATCCTTAACGTCCATTTGAACCAGCAGACAGGATCCCGGTTTAATGTCGAAGGACGGCATCTCCAACAATGCAAAACACCCCCAGCACTGCAATGGAGGATCAGCCAATGAACACCGACAAAATGTTGTATCTCAAATACAGTAGTATTAATATTCTAGAGTTGTAAAGCTAATTTAATTCATAGAAACTATAGCAGCGCGGAAAAAAAAAAATGGACATTTTTTCTGTGAAGTAAGCCAAACCTCTTTTAACACCTAAATACTGTTCCATCTCTTTCCCGAGTTAATTGCATGCTGGGCAATTCCACTCTGGTCTTTTCTGTTCTTCTTTGATAGTCTTTGATCCCATCCTCAACCACCATCTTTAATATCTGGCTCTGCTAAGCACCAATTCTGTCTGTCAGCAACCAATCCAACCATTTCCCAAACACTTATCTTCAAAACCAGACTCCTTGACACAGTCTCAACATTTGAATGCAGGATGTGAAATTCATACAGAAAACAAAATAGGTTGTTTTTCTATGTAATTGCGTTCTGCCTTACACAATTTACCCAAAACAATTGTATGACAGTAGGCAAAGCAAAAAAGAACTGCAAAGGCAAATAAAGGACATTAGAAACATGACAATAATTCTAAATTCATTCAAATATGGTTTCCAAAGGTGTTCACAAAGTAGGTTGAAATGGGTTTAATAATAAAGGTATATACTCTACACAAAGATTGAAGCACTGATATTGAAAGAGCAATTATTCCATGTGGCCTTATTCATTTTATTAATGAAAGATCCATGACCAATCAATGAAGGTAATCTTTCTTCATTCTCCTTGTTGTCACAACCTATGTGAGACAGACCAAGTGATGCTCGGATGAGGAGCAAGGAGCTCTTGCAAGAGAGCAGAGACTCCAGCGAGGACTGACTTCTCAAGAACCCATTGCTCCATGATGGTTGAATTGTGGCAGCAATGATTAATAAAAGGAGGGATTCTCCAAATCCTACTGATAAATACCCCATTCAAAGATGCTTAAGGCTATAGAGTTAGTGGAATAACATTTTCTACCTTTAAGGTGATTGCAGCACAGTATGCAATGAATATGTCATTTTGAACTGTTTGTTTGAAAACCAACTTTCCCTTGGGTCTTCGAGTTTATAAGGTACATCCTTGACCACAGAACTTACTAATAATACGATCAGTGATATCCAGTCTACATGGACTGCTAAAAATTCTCTGCAGATATCACCATAATGGAAAAGGTTTTTTAAATTCAGACTTACGAGGCAACAGATAAATGATGAAGTGGTAATTTTCTGCCCAAGATGAAAATGAAACATCACCTTCAGTTTAATAAAAGATAGGAAGGCCTAGAGGATCGTTTGACCCTTGTGGCAGATCACCTCAGGCTGAATGTCAATCAGTCTTTGGATTTTATGATCCTGAATGCTGAAAGGGAAGCCTCCAGGACTGCTATGTATTATGCTAAAAATTTAAAGTCACAGAAGTTTGCAGGCAGGATAAATTTACCTTATCTTATACATAAGATAAATAATAAGAACAATGGAAGAGTTACCAGAATTATTTGCCTCACTATTGCTCTGCATTCCTAAACCATCAGGGAACATGGAGGAATTAAGTACAGAAACGTATGAAGATAAGACTGTTCAGCTTCTAAATGACAGGTTTCTGGTCCTTCAACAGAAGAATTTTCCTGTGATTCAAAAAGGGTAATCCCAAGACCTGAAGATATCCTGGACTTCCTTAGGATAGACCATACACCACTGACCAATTGATATTAATAATAATCCTTGCATTTGATATAGTGTCTTATCACTTCTTCTAAGGATCTCAAAGCACTTCACAGAATGTACTATAACGTGAATTGACTGTATATTTTGTGGGTGAAACACAGCAGCCAATTGCACACAGCAATGTCCCACAAACAGTCGTGGATTGACTGATCAAATTATTATTGATGTTTTTTGAAGGATTATTATGCCTGGAAAAGTGATTCACCAATCGACTAATAACCAGGTTCCTACTTACTGCTCGGTAAACAGAGGTGTGTGGAGGAGAACCCACAGACATTTAGAACGAAGGTGACAGAGAGACTGAGAATGTGTCCTGCCTTGTTTATTGAGAGATTGCTTTACTGTGTTCAGTGATGCTCTGATTTTCTGTGCACCAGAGTATGAAATTGTTGCAAACACAGTGTAGCTCTAAAAGATGGAGCTTGGCAATGTGCTAGTGATAATGGACAAGGATGCCATCATCAATCCCAGTTCAGGAAATGATAGCTACATTATTGTGTGCATCAGTTGAGATAAGTCGAGACCTTGGCACTGCATCTGAAGTGGTGAGTCTTCATCCGTGCAGAGGTCTGGCTATCTCCACAAACAAACAATGAAAACTTGTAAAGTAATCATCCGTTGTGGAGTCCCGTAGTGTAGTGATTAGCGCACTCGCCTCACAAGCAAGAGGACCTGGGTTCGATTCCCAGCAGCGCAAAACCGAAGGCAAGTTTCCTTACTCCACATGCCTCTGTTTACCTAGTAGTAAGTAGGAAACTGACTGTTAGTTGATTGGTGGATCGCTTTCGGGGGTAATAATCCCTCAAAAAAATAAAAAAAATTGGTCACTCAATCCACAATTGTTTGTGGGACACTGCTGTGCACAATTGGCTCCCGCATTTCACCCACAAAACACAGTCAATCCACTTTACAATATATTCTGTGAAGTGCTTGGAGATTCTCAACGACATGATAAGGCGCTTGATAAGGTGATCAAATGCAAGGATTATTATTATTAAGAAGGTCCGGTTGAAGCATTAATTACCAGTCTCATAGGTAGCTTGAATTTAGGTTGAAGCTGAAGAGAGGCCAGGAGAATGAATAAAACAAGGTACTGGACTGAACGATTAATTTGAACTGGAGACAGGTTTAGAATAAGACAATGTGTGTGAGTTTAGCTTTGGCAAGTACAGTACACTGGGAAAAACAAAGGAGAAAGACAAAAGGAACAGCGAGAACAAACTTCTACAGGGCCCCAATTGGCAATGAAACATTGTGTGGAATTAAGACAAATGCAAACACCAAAAATCTGAAATAAAGGGGATAAAATTACAGTATCCAAAATACATTCCATTCCTTAATTAAGGAAAGTTGTTAAAATGTATTTTGAAATACTTCTCCCCCAAAAACCTTCTGAACAAAGATGGCTGAAAATGCTCAATCTGAGATTCCCACTTTTGCAGTCCTGGTCTCTTTGAAGAGTGAGCAGCTTTCCATAGGTCACTTTGCAGGATATTGTGGGGAGGAGGGAAAGTATTTAAAAATATATTTTACAATGCAATAAAATTTACATTCATATAGCACTGTCAAGCCAGAAGATTTTTTTTTAGCAATTTCCCTTAATTATACATTTGATTGTCCTGTCTCACGTTTCTGTTGGTCAGCCGGGTGCCTGACATTTGCAGAAACCCATGAGTATCCCAAACAGATGTACAGTAGTCCCTTTTTTTGCCCCAGCTTTCTTTTTTTAAGCACGAATGCCCAACTCATAGTTCACAGCCCTATATTTCACATAATTGTAATGCACTGTGCTTGTCTATAATAATAAAAGCAAGATTTAATTTATCTATTTTTCATGGCCCACTTAATTTTGTGCAAAAGCATCCAAGCACGAATACAGCAAAATTAATTGGTCCATGAAAAATACCAGTTATACAGGACACAAGAAAATTTCCTGTCGACTGGAATAGTGTTCTCTCTCTTCCCATAGGGACGTGCCATTTACCTAACCCAGAAAATATTACAACAACACTGTGCATGTATACAGCACCTTTCACGCAGAAGAGAGTCTCGGAATGCTAGAAGTATAGGGAGGCACAGGTTGGCAAGAGCCAAGGCTGGGGAACACCAGACCGTGCATCTGGGGCGCAGCTAAGGTTTAACCAGTAAAACCACATAACTTGCCATTATGAACCCATCTGGCAAGCTTCCTGTTGATGATCCAGCTAGCATCACCCACTCTACCCACAAGGAATTTGGCTTGCACTGTAAACAGGAGTCGAATGGGAAGAATCCCAGCTGCCAGTAACCGACCGGTCTGCTCCTCCAAGTCCTGCTAATGAGCCGGCTGGCTGATCAGTCACCAACAGTGAACGCTTTGGAGTACTGTAGACCTGTCTGCCACAGAAACCAGACAACCAAAACAAATACAGAGGTGGGTTTGATTCTAGTATTGCATTACTGGGCACATCACTTTGGAGCCACCTCAGCCCCAAGGAGATGCTGGTTACCTTCCCCTCTCTGGAGGATAATCACTGGTGGAGTCCTGTAGCTCAGTGGTTAGAGCACTCGCTTTGCAAGTGAGAGACCTGAGTTCAATTCCAGACAGGGCGAAACCTTGGGCAAGTTTCCTTACTCCACACGCCTAATAATAATCCCTCCAAAAAAAAAAAAAACAATAATTAAATTGGTCATTTTCAATCTACGACTGTTTGTGGGACATTGCTGTGCGCAATTGGCTGCCGCGTTCGCCCACAAATATACAGTCAATTCACTTTACAGTGTGTTCTGTGAAGCGCTTTGGGACGTCCTCCCGACGTGAAAAGCGCTATATCAAATGCAAGGATTATTATTATTATTATTACTTGGCCATTAGACAACCGACAAGCACAGGCCTGAACCCTTGTTAGATGGATAGCAAGAGACCAAGAACTCCTTGTGAGCAATATAACTCAGCATGAAACAAGTATAAATAACTGCATATTTTTCATGCACAGAACAGATTCAACCCATTTCAAATAAACCTTTGTCATGCTGAATCTGTACTTCATAAAGCTGGTGTAACAGGCTCTCCAAGGAATGTTTTTAAGGTTAATGGTTTGAGAAACTGTTGCTTTTGTCAGATATCCAACAAAAAACTTCATAGGTAATTCTGTAAAACAACACATATTATTTGGGGCAGTTGCTTTTCTACATGCCATTTTTGTTCTTTGTGGCTCACTGCAATTAACTCAACAGTAATCCAATTCTAAGGATCTGTGCAAAAGCTCCAGCTTAATTTCTAAGTGTTCTTTCCTGATGAAATTTCCTTGCAAGGTGCAATAATTAACGGTATTCTCAAGTGAAGAAAAGCCTAAAACGTTATTGAATGTTTCTTTGACTAAACACAATAGTCACTTTGGGTGTTACCACAGGGTCTGTCAAAATATGTACCAATGTTAAAACTGAAGTCTGCAATTGTTTATAGTGTTTTTTTTATTTGCTTTAAAGAAACTTAATACCCCCTGCAGATCATTCAAAGCAAGTCTTCAATATAAAATTGTTATAATTAGTCACAAAAGCCTGCACAACGAGAAGCTCGCCTTTTCACTAATATTCCCCCATCCTCTTGCTCCAGTAACAAAATAAGTTTCAATTGAATTCAGAATGAAGCAATCTTGGAATATCAGGGCCCCAAAATCTTCACGGTCTTAGTTTTAACACCGTTGTCAAGCAAAATGTTTGGAAAATTCTCCAAATCAGTCGTAATTTGGAAACCAATTTTCCACAGAACTTTTTAATAAAAAAGCTTCCAAATTAAAATGGAATTTTCCAAAATTCTGCATGATGGAAAATTTCATGACAACGGCTGAACAGCTAAGACTAGGTGTCAGTCTCATTTAGCCTTTCAGGCTGGATGAGCAATTAAACCTGAGCCATGGGGTCGGGTAGACTGCTTTCCCATGGCCTCCGCTGATACCAATGCTGTCCCTTTCTGCACTGCTGCACACATACTAGGTGTACAGGAAAAACGATAACCACTTTTGCAGGTATACAAGACACCCAGGTATAAACAGAATGGTACAATAGAAATGTGCGGTTTAACAGGATCATCCTACATTTAGGTTGAAACACCTGAAAGCTGACCCTAGTGCAACAATGCCAGGTTTTATTGCTTCGCTGAGTTCACCTTTAGAAGTGAGTTCTCTCTCTCTCTCTCTGCCTCTACCATCTGTCCATCCATTTGTGGGTCACTGCTGAGCGCAATTGGCTACCGCGTTTCAACCACAAAACACACAGTTAATTCACATTACAGAAGATCCTGGGGAAGTTTAAGCCATCTCAACGACGTAATAAGGCCCTATATCACATGCAAGGATTATTATTATCCGTCCATCCCCCCTCTTGGCCACTTGCCTCGCTCTCTCGTCCACCTTCTCTCTCAATGTCACTCTCTCTCCTTGTGCCACTCTCCCTCGCCCCCTGTGCTGCCCTCTCCCTCGTCCCCTGTGCCGCCATCTCCCTCGCCCCCTGTGCCGCCCTCGCCCCCTGTGCCGCCCTCTCCCTCTGTGCCGCCCTCTCCCTCTGTGCCGCCCTCTCCCCCTGTGCCGCCCTCTCCCTCGCCCCCTGTGCTGCCCTCTCCCTGTGTCACTCTCTCCCCCACTTTCTCTCGCTGTGCCCCTCTCTCTTTTGTAAGGATTAAATTGTTCAAGCTTTAAACGTACATGAACAAAGTTTTGATTGGCATTTTAAATATCTAACTTTCGTATGTAATGCGGTATTATTTAAATTAATACAGCCATGTGCTTAATAGTACTGCTTCCAATACACAAACAACCTTTGTCTAGAAAACAGAATTGAAATTAGGCCATTATAATAATAATAATCCTTGCATTTGATATAGTGCCTTATCACCTCGTCGAGATGTCTCGAAGCGCTTCACAGAATATACTGTAAAGTGGTTTTGACTGAATGTTTTGTGGGCAAAACAATGCAATTGTAATGTCACCCATCTTGCTAACTAAATCAACACCAGTGGTATTGACAAACGAACACCCATTAATACTGTATATTTAATTCAAGGCCTTATTTTTGGTTTAATTCTGGAGAAGTTCTGTGAATACTCTATATTAATAATTCTGCCACTAACAAGTCTTACCAAGGGAATCTGGCTCCTTTAATATGGTGAATAGTGAATCAATGTCAAATATTTGCATATTAATGAATCTGAAATATTTCAACTCCGAAGCAAAGAAAATGGTATGCAAATGACGGGGATAAAACAATTATCAGGTACGCCATGCAGTCTGTGTTCGAATCTAAAGCCACATTTCTCCTTACAGTCAGCTTCCCTCGCTGCATAATTGGCTAAACTCAGTACACCAGCTCCACACAGATATCCACAAGACTCTCATCAGGTTTTGGCCAATGTTGGTTATCTATTCCAGGCAGCTGTGGGATGTTTGCTTGCCACAAGGATTAATGAATAACTTAAACTAAAGATTGATAACTCATTACAAGCTTTATTGACAGGCAACAGAAAAGCCTTCAAAAGTGTAATCGAGTCAACTGCAGTGTTAACTTGGGTAACTCAGGAAAAGATCTTTATTTATTTATGAATTTCTCAATTTTCACCAATGCAACATTACGTGTGCCAATACTGCAATGCAGCAATGTTTCTACTAATAATACATGCCATGATTATAATAATAAGACAAAGCGCTTCACGGGATTTTCTGTAAAGTGTACACTGATTGTGTATTTTGTAGGCAAACTTGGTAGCCAATTTGAGCACAGCAATGTCCCACAAAAACCCATGAAGTGAACAACCAATTGTATCTGTTCGATCAATTTTATTCCATTAAGTACAATTATTTTTGCATAGACATCAATGTAAAAGGACTTTCTTCACTAAAAACAATCTTTCCCGAGTAGACAGTGTTTGTACAAGGTGAAATTAAGCTTTAACACCCGATGGGCAAATGCCTCTCAGCAATTATAAACATGTTCACTGCTACCGTATGGCTTCTCACCAACATTTCATCTCTAAACTAATGCTGTATATTATTGACCAGCAATCAAATCATTTTAAACTAAAAGACAGTGAAGCTCACTCAGCTACTGCTGACTGCCTAAAGCTCACTCGGTATACACAAGAAATCCTCGAGTTTCTCAGAGAACCTTTTCATGTTGTTGAAAAGTCAGAGGGCTTCACAGGATTTCCTGCAAAGTGTAGTGACTGTTTACTTGTAGGTGAATGCGGCAACCAATTTGCGCACAGCAATGTCCCAGACGTGAATTACCAATTTTGTCCAAAGAGGAAATTTTCACTTGGATATTGGGAGAAACTCCCTTCTGTTTTCGAATAGTGGCATGGGATCTTTAACTTCCACCTGAACAACCAGACAGTACCTCAGTTTAACATCTTATCTGAAGGACGGCACCTCCAACCAGCACTCTATTAGAGTGTCAGCCTCAACTCTGAAATCAAACCCCAGCAGTAGGGCCTGAACCCACAACCTTCTGATTTAGAGGCGAGACTGCTATCAATTATCACCTGTGATCCCCTCAATTAAGGTCGTTAATTAAAAAGAACTTCCTTACCTTGTCTATTCTCAGACGTTATATTGATCATACTGCCATCTTCTGCCAGTCCATTTTCCAGATGATCAAGAATCTACATTGAAGGTGTACAGTTTCAGAAATCATAACAGACTTAAAGAATTCTCTGATTATTAAATCATTCATAACAATGAATATTCCCATACAACTCCTATGAAAACTAATTCAATATTCTATCACTTTAATGAAAAATGATACTCTGTGAAACATTGAAGATAAGAGTTAGAAAAATGAATGTCGTTTATCAACTGCCCATTTGGAAATGTTGATTAAATTGCAAACTTGAACATCAGTTTTACTAAGTTACAATTTTGAAAGGAGCAATTGAGTGAAAATACTTGTGTTTAAAGTGGTTTCCTAAATACAAACGTATGGGGGGGGGAGGAAAAAGTAAACCTGACACAAAAATAATTCTCTTACTTTTCCTTCCCTTTCAAAGTCAGAAATATTAAGAAATAAAATGGGAAGTTAGGCACTTTAATCAGCTTCAGTCTGTTCACTGCAGTGGACAAAAAAATTATCCAGGATGTACTAACCTCTATTCGAAGTTTACTGCGATGTTAGGCAAATATTGATTGCACATATGGACTATGAAGAATGTTTAATACCCCAAAATTGATGATGTTCTTGTACACTTCAAGAGAACTTGAGAAAATGCATGTGGGTTGAACGAGAACAGTTCAGGAAGTAGGATGGCAGTCTGTATTGGTTTTAGCATTCAAATGGGATAATTGATTTTTAATGAACGGTGCAAAGCAGAAGTTGCATTTTATGATTTTATTGGAATTCTTGGTCTACACTTGTTTGACTTCTAACTGACTTTCAAACCCCACATCCAAGCTCTTACCCAAGCAGCTTTCCTACACCTTTGAAATATTGCTAGTTTCCGCCACTACCTCTCCTCCCAGGCCACTAAGACCCTCAGCCATACCTTTATCGTGTCCAGGCTTGACAACACCAACACTCTGCTTGCTAGTCTCCCCAGCTCTACCCAACACAAGTTGCAGACTGAGTAGGACTCTGCAGCCTTTGTCCTCTCCCACACTCGGCTCCGCCAGCCTATCATCCCCCATCCTCGTTCGGTTTCACTGGCTCCCCATCCCCCAGCAGATCGAATTCAAGATACCTTTAATCTCCTCCAGTCTGGCCCTACATAACCTCTGCGACCTCCTTCATTCCTGCCTATCAGACCACTCTCTTCACTCAGAAGACAAAGTCCTGCTTCAATGTCCCCCACCCTATCTGCCGCGCTTTCAGCCATGCTACTCCCGTTCTGCCAAACTCCTTCCAGGAGTCCCTCTTCCCTCTTTGAAGGCAGTCTTAAAATAGCTTCAGTCATCTTTCCCCTCCCCATCCTCCTTGCTCTCCACCCCAGCTCGAATGCCTACTGTGCTGTGATGGGGGAGGGGGTTTGGGAGATAGAAAGGTATCCTTATTGGAAGATGAAATTGCATAGGCCAAAGGCCTTCTTCATCTAAATCAATGTTATTAATGCATTTTGGGATGTTCTCCTTGCGTGACAACTCCACCACATCTCGTATGCTGTGGCAATCAACACTTCTTCTGGCAACGGGCAAAAGGATTTTCCTGTCCTCAGTTATTTCACCACTTCCCTGTTAGGTGTTTCAGTGATGGTCCATTTCCCCCAGTGCATTACTTAGTTGAAAAAATACATTCATGTTTACATTACATTTACATTGAGTACATATTTACATTACAAATACTCACCGTTAGACAAATTGCTTTCATGCAGTGTAGTCTGTCTAATGACTCCTGTGGTTTCCCCAAGTATTGAGGTAGTTCAGCATACAGTATTCTCATAGAAAATGGTACCATGGACCCTAGAGTTGGAATTGAAAAATGTTGACTATTTAATCAGTCTTACAATCTGCAATACAAGGTCGTCTTCAAACTTCTTTCTGTATTGTGTGAAATTTATTGAATTTTAGCTCATATCAACTTAACAGAAAATTTTATTTTGTTCTGCAAGCCAAAAATATTCGACAACAGTAACTAGATTTGGAATTCATCAAAACTAAAAGCAATAATCTTTTAGGAAAAGCGTTCAAAATGATGCACTGCTGTAACATACAAAATCAGGTAAGCTGCACAAGTTCAACACACATTTGACACAAGTGGAGTTAAATACAAAAGTGATTGCATTTTAGGAAACTGAAACACTTCCCCAAAAGGAAGAGGAATAGTTCTGAATTCAATGTTAAATTAATTGGTTGAAAAAGAGTTGATGGCAAAGACCACAGTATAAATCACATCTCATAATATAAAGTGTGTCCATCCCTCCAAAGAATCCTACAAAGATCCAACTGCACAGCGAAGCAGGAAGTAAAGTTTGCCACAAACTAACGAACAAGAAGTTGTCTATTTTAGAGTAAAAGATGGCCGTAAAGAGGGAAGTGCGGTGCAGTGAATAGGGTCCAAACTGTAATCGTGTTATAATCAAATTATAATTGAATTTATGCTATGATGGTCTGCTCTGTGGTTTTATAAGCAGCTAAAATCAGCAAAGACACAATGGGCCAAATGGACTTCAATTAGCAAAAAAAGTGAACAATTATTTGAGTTAGAGTTAGTTACTACATAGGAACAGGAGGAGGCCATTCAGCCCTTCGAGTCTGTTCCACCATTTAATTAGATCATGGCTGATCTGTACCTCAACTAATCCTTTCAATTCCAATTGCCTGCTTTCTCGGTGTATCCCTTAATACCCTGACCTACCAAAAATCTATCAACCTCACTCTTGCAGGTGTGGATGGAAAGAATAGTAAAGATATTATCAATTTTCTACTTTGTTTAAAAACAATTGTTAGTTACACTTAACTAGCGTGCCTACTGTACGTGTTTAAGTACACCAAAATACTGCAATATAAAATATATTTAGAGTAATCAACTGACACCAAGGCTCATTGTGCAACAAAGTTGTCCTTTTCAACACAGCTAAAACATCTGCTAAAACATCTGCTAAGTAAAATCACACTTTAGTGTTTCACTCACAAAAAACAAGTCCAGCCTTCATTTTTGAAAGAGTTTGTAACATTAACACCATTCAACAGTCAGTTAATGTTCTGATAAAAAAAACACTTATGCCAAGGTCAACAAATAACCATTAGAGATAAGACAAAAACCCAAATGCTGGAAATCTGAAATAAAAGCGGAAAATGCTGGAAATGCACATCAGGGTGCAAAATGTTTGAAAACGACAGAGAGGTTAATGCTTTGGTACATCTATCATTACTATTTCTCTTTTTTTTTACAAAAACTCACAATTTTTGACACTAAATCACATAAGACATAGTAACTGAAAGAAGATTGCTGAAGGGTATCTCATAATAATCCTTGCATTTGGTAGAGCACTATATCATATCATTGAGACATCTCAAAGCACTTACTTCACAGGATTTATTGAAAAATGTAGTGACTGTACATTTGTAGGTAAACATAGCAGCCAATTGCTGCGCAGCAATGTCCCACAAACAGACATGAAGTAAATGACCAATTTAACTGGAGAATTTTTGGTAAGGACACTGGCAGAAGCACCTTTTTTTTTGAACAGTGCTGCCATGGGCTTCAGCATCCATCTGAACAGGAAGACAGACCTCAGTTTTAACGTCTCAACTGAAGGACGGCACCTCTGACAAAGTAGCACTCTCTGAACACTGCACTGGGGTGTAAAACAAGACTGTGGACTCCAATCCCCAACCTGGGATTTGAACCCACAACCGTGCGACCTTTGGTGGGAGGCTACCGACTGAACCAAGTTGAATTGACTGCAGAAAATCTTTGTATAGTGTGAGGGCTCAAATTCAATGAGGTAATAAAAAAAAGACCCCTTTCAAGATTTTTTGAATGAAACATCTTTTGCCTTTTGCAGATTAAATTGAGATCGCCGATGTGAAAAATCACAAAAAATCAGACATTAAGCCTTAGACTGCTCCATCCTTTGCCTGAGCTCTTGCTGAGGCAGGTGGGCAGTGGAGGTTCTGTAATTTGGCTCGGTGCCCTGAGCTCGGAAGGAGAAATATCAGCTAGGTTTTCTATTTTTGATTGCTACGCAGAGCCCAGTATCAACCATAAAGGTCAGCATAAAAGGTCTTCCTTATATCCTTGTAAATAGGCTACCATCATTAGTCAAGTTGAAATGAAATGGTTCTTTGGTAGACGATTCCCAGACCTGTTTAAAAATAGGCACCCATGAATTATACATTTGTGTTGGCTCCAAATGACTTATGTTTAGGTCTCCTTAACCAAACCATCGGTGAAGATCCCTTAATTGAGTCATTAACCTGACAGTGTTCTTCTACCACGACATCATCAGGTTAAATGGGCTGCAGAGGAATGAGCAAAATTGGGCAAAAAGCCAATTTGTGCTTAATATACAAGCAATGACCCTCTCTCTCTCTCTCTCTCTCTCTGTGACTGAAGCTGCAGAATGGATTGAAGCAGTTTCTCAAATGTTGCAGAAAAGGCAGTCTCATTAGGTCAAAAGGAATACTGCCTGGATGTGTGGTTTCAATCCGTCTGGGGCATGAAAGTATTTTTCACTCCCTTTAATTTCAATAATACTTCCACAGCTAGATCATTTTAATGAAATTTGGAGAGCTTTTCTTGTTGTCCAGAATAATTTGCCAATGGAACGAATTTTTTTTTGTCAGCCGGGTGACTGACAGATGCGGAAACTAAAGAAGTTGCATGTATATACACACACACACACACAAAGGGAAAACAAGTTTTGATTTCTCTTGCTGCTAAGAAGAAAGCTAAGTTTTATCAGTTGCTAGATATTACCTGGAGACCAAGTATCTCACTGCTAATAAATGTGGAGAATCTATCAATAGATAGTTCTCCTTCATTGAGCACAGAATAAAATCCTTCCAGATTCCAATAACGATTTTATGCCACTTCAGAAGCTTACTTCAAAACTATATCCTTTTGTCCACACAAATGTCACTTCAACTGCAGCAATTCCATGATCTCTGGTGTGCCTAAAAACAGGATTGTTCTTTGTTGTGTAAGTGCAGCTTTCAGTTTAGCCATCCCCTCCCCTCCCTTTTCACAGATGTACAGCAGCAAAGCAATAACTGTCAACAGTATAGAAACTGGACCAAAGTTGATTAACAGCTCTGGTTTTCCGCACTATTAAACGTATACTATCAAAAAGTGATTCACAACATTGCAAAGGCAAAATGGAACTCCTGTTATTCTCAGGTCCAGGTTGCCAGCCTGAAAATAACAATAAGATTGAAGTGAAAGCAGCAATTCTAATCCGGATCGTGTTTTCCTTCAGAAATGCTCAATGAAAGCACTTTACAATGAAATTACCACTATTAGAAATTTGTAATAGATCAATTACATCGACCATTTCAAATGAACGGTAACATTCTTAACAGGGTGCAAGAGCAAAGACGTAGGTTTTTGAAGATGGAAGTCCAAATAGGCAAGACCCTAAAAACACCAAATGGAGTTCTAGGTTTTATATTTACTGCATTGCAAATGTGTGAGTGAGCAAGTAATGTTCAATCTGTATAAAACGGTATAATATAGTAATCCTTACATTTAATAGTGACTTTCATGTCAGGATGACATCTCAAAGTCCTTCACAGGATATACTAACAATTGCAATGACTGTGTATTTTGTAGGCAAACAAGGCAGCCATTTTGCATACAGCAATGTCCACAAACAGCCATGAAGCCAATGATCATTTTTTTAATTTGGGGGAAATGTTGCCCAGGGCATGGGGAGAACACCCCTTCTCTTTTTGAATAGTTCCACGGGATATTTAATGTTTCTCATTAATGAACAGGCAAACGGGATCTTGGTTTAACTTCTCATTCGAAGAACAGCTCCTCCAACAAGCACATCTATTGGACTGTCAGCATGGATGTAAGATCAAAGTCCGGTTGTGAGGCTTTAACCCAGAACCTTCTGACTCAGAGACTATTAATTATTTGTTTAATTTTGAGAATCATTATGGAAAGAACATCACAGCCATGGAAGCCTTATAGCAGAGATTCACTAGGATAGCACAGGAGGTAGGAGGTTATAGTTTTGTAGAGAGATTTGAAATGTTGAGACTAATTTTGGTGGACTTTATATGACTTTCTCAACATCTATGTCTTTCACTGACTTTAAATAATAAATAATAATAATCCTTGCATTTGATATAGCGCTTTTCACGTCTTCTAGATGCCTCAAAGCGCTTCACCGAATATACGTAAAGTGAATTGACTGTATATATTTGTGGGCGAAACGCGGAAGCCAATTGCGCACAGCAGCATCCCACAAACAGCCGTGGATTGAAAATGACCAATTTTTTTTTTTTGGAGGGATTATTATTAGGAGTGTGGAGTAAGGAAATTGCCCAAGGTTTCACCCTGCCTGGAATTGAACCCAGGTGTCTCGCTTGCAAGGCGAGTGCTCTAACCACTGAGCTACAGGACTCGACACACTGTGGAAAATGTAAACATTTACCTTTATGTTACTGGCAAATAACTTCAGTTCTGTGTCTATGTGTGAGGTCACAAGAGAAGCAATTTACTTGTGCAAAGAAATGAAATCAAATCATTAGATAGCTCATACGTCAATTAGATTTTTGGGGGGGCAATATCTTGCAGTACAGAGTCTACTTCTGTATCAGAGTCGATTGCAGATAAACAGGCATAGGAAAACAAGAACTTTTATTCAGTCCATCGCAAATGAGAGACCTGGGTTTGATTCCGGGGAGGGCGAAATGTTGGGGATGTTTCTTTATTCCACACGCCTCTGTTTACCTAGCAGTAAGTAGGAGCCCGTTGTTAGTCGATTGGCAGATCGCTTTTCCGGGGGTAATAATTCCTTCAAAAAAACAATAAATTAGTCACTCAATTCACGACTGTTTGTGGGACACTACTGTGCACAATTGGCTGCTGTGATTCGGCCAAAAAATTTACAGTCACTTCACTTTACAGGATATTCTGTGAAGCACTTTGAGACATCTCGAAGATGTGATAAGGTGCTATATCAAATGCAAGGATTATTATTATTATTATTATTAAGCCTGTTCCACAGTTTATTATAGGTTGGCAGATCTTTTAATCTCAATGGCCCACCCGTTTTCTTTCAATCTCCCTTTACGTATAACCTCTGTGGTTATGTCATAAAACTTTAGTACATTTATGAAAATTGATCTACCCTTCACAAATCTATGTCGACTCTCCCAGATGTGCGTATATCTAGCTGCTCAGTTATTCTGTCCCTAGTGATAGATTCTAGTAATTTACCCACCACTTATGCTAAACTCACAGGCCTAGATGGTTACTTTTTTCCTTCTTGAGTAATAATTACATTTGCTGTTCTTCAATTTTCTGGTACAATTCCTGTATCGATTGAAATTTGGAAAATAACAATTAAAGCCTCTGCAATTTCTTCCCTTATTTCTTTTAGTATCCTGAGGTGGAAACTGTCTGGGCCTGGAGATTTGTTCGGCTTCAGGCCCGCTAGTTTATCCATTATTGTTTTTCTATTTATAATCAAGTTTTTAAAGTTTCTCCCTTCCCTAAACTTCTGCCTTCCCTGAACCTCCAGTGTCTGATCGATCGTCCTGTTCCACTGTAAAGACTGAAGCAAACTATTCATTCAACAATTCCACCATATAATAATAATAATCCTTGCATTTGATATAGCGCTTTTCACGTCGGGAGGACGTCCCAAAGCGCTTCACAGAATATACTGTAAAGTGAATTGACTGTATATTTGTGGGCGAACGCGGCAGCCAATTGCGCACAGCAATGTCCCACAAACAGTCGTGGATTGAAAATTACCAATTTATTATTGTTTTTGGTTTTGGAGGGATTATTATTAGGCGTGTGGAGTAAGGAAACTTGCCCAAGGTTTCGCCCTGCCTGGAATAATTGAGCATATCCTTATGCTCAATTATTGTAACACCTATATCTGTTTCTAATGGACCTGCCACTCATTTACCCTCTTTCCCTTGAGGCATTTATAGCATTTGCTGTTACCCTTGATAACATCTGCAAGGTTTGTTTTCATATTATATAATAATAATCCTTGCATTTGATATAGTTCCTTATCACGTCTTCAAGACGTCTTAAAGTGCTTCACAACATATACTGTAAAGCGAATTGACTGTATATTTTGTGGGCAAAACATGGTAGCCAATTGCACACAGCAGTGTCCCATAAACAGTCGTGAATTGAGTGACCAATTTATTATTTTTTTTTGAAGGAATTATTACCTCCAGAAAAGCGATCCACCAATCAGCTAACTTACTGCTAGGTAAACAGAGGCGTGTGGAGTAAGGAAACATGCCCAACATTTTGCCCTGCCTGGAATTGAACCCAGTCTCTCGCTTGCGATCAGCTGAATAGAAAGCTTTTCTTCTCTTAGCCTTCTGTATTATTTTCTTTGTCTCTTTTTGCTGCTTTCCCTATTCCTCCCAGTCTCCAGTTTTCACACTCCTACGATAAAAGAAATTATGAGAACGTTTTCTCGAGTGCCCACTTCTCTAAAAGTATTGAAAGTAGGATCCTCTAAATGAATTTTGAGTACAATAAAAATACTGACCTCTGCGTCCTGGGTATACATGAGGGTAGTACTCATAGTACAAGTCTGGTTGGTCAAGGTTCCCGAATGGCTCAAACTCCACCTCCGCATTTTGAAACAAGCTCAGCTTCATCAATAAGGCAAGTCGCACAAACCACAGCTGCAATAATCAACACATGATTGAATAGGAAAGCCAAGGCGAGATGTCAAACTGAGTCAGCATTTCTTTTAATTAAGCTTTTAATTAAAAGTGTCAAAATAAAATCCATCTATTGTACCATCTAAAGCATACTTAATACACTTTGCAACTTTTTGAAGCACACCCACATATCCGAACCGTTAATCACACCAGAATTCCACTCTGATTGAAAGCAATGGGAAAGCTGCAGTGCAGTTAACTGTTACTCTGTTGATGTGGTACAAACACTATGTTTTCATCGTGGAAACAAGAGAAAACTCCATTCAAAACGCAAAATACTGCAGATGCTGGAAACCTGAAACAAAAACAGAAGCGCTGGGAACACTCAGCAGGTCAGGCAGCATCTATGGAGAAAGGAAAGTGAGTCAACGTTTCGGGTCCACGACCCTTCGTCAGATCTGGGCCTTCTGTTTTTGCGACTTCTGTTTTTGTTTTAGAAAACTCTATTTATCTGAATTCAATCCTCTGTAATTCAGGCAAATGGAAACAACTTCATGAAAAGCGCAAAAAGGATTGCCCACTGAGATTGTCCATCTCAAAGCGCTTCACAGAACACATCGTAAAGTGGATTGACTACATTTTGTGGGCGAAACACATTCTGCATTAAGCACCACAGCACTCTGGAAATGAGAACTGGGAGAAAACAACATCTGAATTGATCACCCCCAAAAGACGGATAGCCACTTATGAACTAAACACTAAGATATCAAATGTAGGGAAGTTTGTTGTTATTTAGTATCCAGGAAGCTGACAAATAATAAGGAACGCTAACAATATTTGTGTCTCGCAAAATCCTCGTCCTCAAGATCCTCGCCTCCTCTTCGACCGTGCCTTCGGCCACCCTCCTACCCTCTCTGCCCTCCACTCTCCCTGATCCCACCCCGGCTTGGGTCCTAATCGCTGACTGTTCAGCGCCTCGGAATGTGAAAGGCGCTTTCCAAACGTAATTGTGTATTGTATTGTATTTTTTTTAAACTAATAGGTATTTTTAATCCTAGTTCTATCATTTGGAAATGTATATTTTGGTATAAATATTTTAAAGATTCTATCCTTTTTTTAGGGGAATGAACTCAGTTTATTTTAAAGGATATGTGAAACAGACTGTAGAGTGTTATACAAGCTGTATACTAAATCGCTGTAATTTAACTTGGGCTCTGCAATTTGAATCCAAATCAATATTGAATGGAGTTGGCTGCATCATAAAACATGCTTACATCAGAGCAAACCCACCATGGAGAACTGCAGGTTTTTGGCCAGGTTAAACCGACATAAAGTTCAGTCTAAAATTGGCACCTACTGTACCTTTCGTTCATTACCTCTACACAAAATTAATTTAAAATTAATGCCTTTCATAAATACTACAGGACCTCAGTGCAGCCCTATCATAAAGAGCTTTGATACAGGGCACATTTGCTTATAACTTGAGTGCTCTGAGGCTGGATTCCTGAACTGCGTATGACATCAATCCACAGCCTAATCCGCTTGCAGGAGATTGAGTTGTGCATTGCGACAACGCACAACCAAACCTACTAGCGAGATTTCTATGTAGCGCACAGGAAGTGATGATGCGTTGACCTGTTGACTCAGAAGTTACCCTTTTTTTAAGCTCAGGAAGCTGGGTTGTATACTGGCATCATCAGTCATGTATGTGATCAATAAAGCATGAGCTAGGATTTTATGGTCCATCAGTGATCATGTCATGTCAGGGCTGCATTGTATAAAATCATACCTAAACAAAGGCATAAACAGGAGAGACAACTGTTTGGGGATTTTTTAAAAAAAACAGCACTTTACAGTAGAATTTCAGTTATCTATTTCTGTCTTGTAAACAATCTGTCTGCATTCATTCAATGTGATTTTTGTACAATGAACTGTAGGCTAGTAATAATAAAGGGTAATTTGCAGGCTAACTGTTAGTAACAATAATAAAGCTGCCAACAATAATTTTACATTTACACAGCGCCTTTCACATCGGGAGGACATCTGAAAACACTTCACCAGGATTCTACTGATTAGGACCTGAGAATCATTAACCCCGATTCCCCTCCAGATCTCCTGCCATACAGAAACCACTCCAGGCAAAAGAAGCTCTTTATCTGTGGAGTACAGAGGCACGCATCTGTTTGAAGTTGGTCCTGTTTCAATTATTCAACAGGACAGGAGGCCAGCTCCTGTACAGCAGACAATCAAAGTTTCGCAGCAGCTGCTTCAGTTCATATGAGTTTGCGTTTTCCCCATAGTTTCACTGACATTTTAAAACTGAGAGACAACGTGTCTAATGCCTTGAGTGGATTCTTCACAATGCCAAAGAATCTGGTTCCAGAACTAACTACTGTACCTGTAAGGAATCTGTGGTGTGGTTGGTCGGTTGACCACTTTTCCCATAGCCTTGACCGTGTGCTGTCAGAAGTCTTCCACTGAGGTCAACTGCAGCTCTCCAGTTCTTTGTGTTCTATTTACATAGAAAGAACAAAAAAAATCACTAATCATCGGTCCGTCAGCATCCTGCAGGCATGTACTGTGACTGGTGTCCATCCAAACTAAGGTTATGGTCGTTAAACAGTAACCTTTAGTTTGCTTATACAGTAAACATTGAACAAACAAACAATTCTGATCCAAACATAGAACACATTCACTATTTCACTCCATAAAGAATTACAGAACCGTAGAGGTTTAGGTAACTAAGTAGATTACAAAGCTATCCTTCCACCTATGGAACCTGGGTTCTAATTCACAGAGGTGATTGTGATTTTGTTGGAGAGAATTGTTGGGGAGGAGAAACAAACATAATCCAGGTCTTCAAAATGCTGGAAAGGCATAAATGATACAAATACAAGTGGTCTATTTCAAGTGGGAATGAGTACAAAGAAAAACGTTTAAATAAATGAACAAGTGTCAAATTAGAATACAGATTGGAACAAAATATCCCAATAAGAGCACTGAATAAGTGGTCTAATCTACCAGCAAATACACTTGATGCTGTTTACAACTAATTTGTTCAAAAAGAAGTGAGGTAAATACATAGTGGGCAACAGGACTGGAGGATATAGAAATGGATTGGAACCTCTTAATAACAAGGATACAATTTCTCATTGGCCTTTCTAAGTGAGTGTGGAAAAAAAGCCAACTATCGGGTCACCAGGTAATGTTACTTCATTTCCACAATAAAGTCAGTTAGGCTTTGTTTTCACAGGAAATAACCTCAATGGCGACCTGGTGATTAGAGAGTCGGCTATTTTTTTTAGCATAGGAAGCTAGACAGTCATTGCTAATAGTTGGTTAAATAGTCAGTTAGTGGTACAACAAAGCATTTATATTTATATAGTGTCTTTTACATTAATAATGATATAACGCCTTATCACTTCTTCGAGACATCTCAGAGTGCTTCACAGAATATACTGTAAAGTGGGCAAAAAAAAACTTTGTGGCGGAAAAAAAATCATATTCTGTAGAAGGAGAAGGCTTGATAAGCTTGATAAGTCTTTCTTCATTCTAAGATGCAGGGTCAAACGCTTGTTGCATTAATGCTTAATTCTTTGGCTGTCTAGAAAACTGATGCGAGCTTCTGATTCCTTGTCACTCTTGTGCAACAAATGGGTTAATATCAGCATTTCAGTTTGCATAGAATCATCTGTGAACCATTCACCACAATATTAAGTGGCAAACATTATTTTAGGTGCTTCTCCCACTGATTAATCCTGCCGAGTCTGAATGAATTTGCAGTTCACACTTTTGAAGCTTACTGGTGGAATTCCAGCAACAAAACATTTTTTTAATATATATTGAGGAGGGTTATAGTCTGCTGCAGACCTTCATCTTTAAGGATGAGTGAAATTACTGCATTTCTCTAAATATCTGGAGGGCACTATTAGTATTTGGAGCAATAACATTCAGCAGCGTGATCAAAATGCCACATGTCACACCATCGATCATCTCATGCTGTGCTTATCCAGTTCCAGTAGAAGATCATCTGCAATAACTTGAGCTCATAGTGCTAATTGCATTAATGCTTAATTCTTTGACTGTCTAGAAAAACGATGCAAGTGACTGATTCCTTGTCACTCTTGTGCAAGCAAAATGGATAATATCAGCACCTCAATCTACACACCTGTAGTTTGCTCTGCAGGGTTTGATTTTACATCACCATTAGGAGCCATCAGAAAGCTCTTATAGAATCATAGAATTCATAGAACCATACAGCACAAGAATGAGGCCACTCGGCCCATCGTGTCTGTGCCGACTCTTTGAAAAGAGCTACCCAAATCAATCCCACCCCCCCCCCCGCTCTCTCCCCATAGCCCTGCAAACTTGTCCTCCCCAAATAATTGTCCTACTTCTCTCTAAAAAGAGACACTCTTAAAAGTGGACTCTTGTCCAGTTAGTTCAACCCAGAAAAAATATATAGCGCCCCCCCCCACTATATCTCCATCCCCCAAGGACACAGGGAGGGCAGGGTTCACACCAGTGAATCTTTGCATCACGACAAAGTTATATGGCGGAGAATACATAAAGGTCATATAATAGATAGTAGTAGCTATTCAAACATCAGTTTAAAAAAATAGCATCAGATAACAAACAAGCGTTGTGGTTATTTTGCAACATTCCGTCAGTATCTTCCTCAAAATTTTTTTTAAGATGCTAAGGTACGCTTCTCCTTTTAAAACATTGCTAATTCCTCCCCCAAACCACCCTTCACAGGCAATACTATGTACTGTTATCGGTGCTAGATTATTCCAAGCCAGAGACATCCACAGCAGGATATAGAGTAAAATGTGCTTCAAGGAAGCTTACTATTAATTGCTTCAGCCCTGTAAACGTCTGCTCCACAGCATTTGCAGTCAAGGCCTGCCTCTTCATTGCAGCCTGCTCTCCCAAGAAACGCTGCATCACTTCCCGCACAGCATCACCCTGAAAGAAACAGCGACAGTGAGAAAGGCACAACATTTCTAGGGAGCTTATACGACCGTGTTTAATATAACTTGGCAGGTGGTTTGTATCTTATTTGGGTTCGCCAGGTATCTTTCACGCAGTGGGAAATCCATCGCCATGCTTAAAACTCTGCAAGGAAGTTTTCCTTTGCACATGTGGAACACTCAGTAGTTTGGTTTGGACACTCCCAAGCGTAGCGATGGATATTCTGGTGTGTCAGAATATTCTGATGCAATAGACCAAAAATATATAAACTAACAAATAGATTAAAAATAATAATAATAATCCTTGCATTTAGAATAGCGCCTTTCACATTGGGAGGATGTCCCAAAATGCTTCACAGGATGTACTGTGAAATGGAGTGACTGTATTTGTGGGTGAACATTACATGCAGTAGCATAACTCTCTGGAAGTTGCATGGTTTGCGCAGCACGACTCTTTATTGTATATAACCAGTAAAAGAATTGTGGTTTTTATTGATTCATTTGGGGTCATAGCCTCTATTTATATTTAAAATTGTATTCATTTCTTAAGTTCGAACAAATCCTTGCCACAGACGATAGGAATATTGTAACAGTGCTTTTTATCATAACATATTTTATACCCTCGACTCCTCCCCCAGCTTGGGTGCCCATCTACTACACTGACATTGCACTTTGGTATGTCCTCCTCAAGTAAAAGCAGCTATATAAATGTAAATTGTATTGTAATACATTTTCACGAGAAGCTTTAAAATTCCGCCAAATACAATCGGCATCTTCAAACAACAACAAGATTACATTTGTATAGCGCCTTTCACGTCGGGAGGATGTCCCAAGGCGCTGGACAGTGTACAGCATGTCAGACCCGAACTGCGGTCAGTGGGAGAACGTATTAATGTACAAACTGATCGGTTTTGTGTGTGGATTTAAAACTTGTGCGTTTGGAGTATCAGCCTGCACTGTGTTTTTAATAATATTAATAATAATAATCCTTGCATTTGATACAGCACCTTATCACACTGTTGTGAAGTCTCAAAGCCCTTCGTAGGATATACTGTAAAGTGGATTGACTGTGTATTTTGTTGGTGAAACGGGGGAGCCATTAGCGCACCTCAATGGACTCAAATCAACAGCATAGACTCAAATCAACGCATTTAAAAATGCTATTTGTATATTCATTATATTTATATAATAATTTTATTCAGAACATACCAGGTCTAAAACCCATTAATAGTAAGATAATATTTAACTTGAAAAAGCCATTAACCTCCCACTGAAATTGCCACATACGCGGTCTGAGCTGCAACAACAACAGCTTGTATTTATATAGCGTCCTCCACGCCGGACGGCATCTCAGAGCGCTTCACAGTAACGAATCCCGGGACTGTGGATCCGTTACTGTAAGGTACATTGTGGTTAGAAAGAACAGTAGTTACACCAAAGACACTGAAAACATTTAAGTAAATTATATCTTCAGAAAATTAACAGATAGAAAGTAAAACCAAATAAAACTGTAAGGGGTTGTGAAAGCCTAGAAATCAGTGAAAGCCATTCAACTCATCGAGTCCGCACCAGCTCATACAGCAAGGAGATCAATTTAATTCCACTGCCCCTCTCTTTTATATACATGCGTATTCAGATAAATACTGTACAAAATACTTCCCCTTCCCAATGAGCATTTGTGTCCATACTCAATTGTGAGTTCACGACTCAGGATATCTTATCAGTTGTAACAACAACTTGGATTTATATAGCGCCCTCCACGCCGGACGGCATCTCAGAGCACTTTAAAACTAACAAGTGTTCAGTTTAATGTAACACAGAAATGCAATTTACCTGCACATTGTCAAACTTCAGGCCTGGCATGGTCAACTTCTCCTTCTCTATAAAAACTGTGCTGTACTGCTGGGTGGCCACAGAGATGAGCATCTTCTTAGTTTCCTCAGATGGCAGCCAAGCATCATACCTCCTGTCCAGCTCACTCATGTTCAGCGCTGTTGCGAAGGGATCATCACTGCCTGCAAATGCTGCCTGGAGCTGAGAGAATGGCTTCGGTGACCGAGAGATTTCAGAGAATGATGCGGACGAAGGTGTGGGGCCACTTCCCACAATAAAAGATAGGCTTCCAGAATCACGTGGGCTGCCCGACCCAGAGGAAGTCAGCGAGGATAGTCTATCGGGTACGGAGGCACTAGCATTTGGATTAGCATTAGGATTACTAACGGAAAAGGGAGTGGATGTGAAGGAGTCGAAGAATTCTGCTGCCGATGAGCTGGAATTGATGTCATCTGTGAAAAATTTGCTCAGGCTGGGACTAGGGTGAACCCCAAATAACGTTAGTTTACTAGGAGTGTCAATAATAGTCCCGAAGCTTGGGGATTTCACCATTTGAGGCTCGTAACCATCTAGTTTCAAAGGAGCGTGAACCTGGGATTTAGATTGGTTGTCTTGGCTGAAGATGGTGCACACTGGCAAAGGCTCATCTTCAGACAACTGACTGGTATCAGAAGTCACCGAGTGCTTCTTTGGTACGTCTAAATCAACCTGGCCACCTGTGTCTTCAGGACTTTCTACTGCCACTTGAAGCTCTTCTTCCTGTCCCACTGCTAGCTCCTGCTCTTGCAGAACTGAAATCGCATCCTGTGACGGAGTTCTATAATCCTCGTCTGTCATAGGAGTTGTGGGCTCACTCTCCTCATCAGAGACTTCCTTATAATCGCTATGGTTTGAATCTGCTGACTGAATGTCATCATCTCGAGCTTCTAAGGCTTTTTCGCAGTCATGCAAGAGAGCCAGATCCCCAGAATCACCCTCACTATCATTAGGGGAATCTGATATGATTACACTCTCCATCATCTGATCCATGATATTGATCTGAGATGAATCAGCCATTTTATCTGTGGGCCCAGATGTGAATGTGTCGACATCTAGATCAATATTCTCTGTTCCAAACACCAACTGCTCCTGAGGGTTCTGCAGTCCTGAGCTTGTAGTCTGTGTGCTTTCAGTCTTTTCATCAGCGTTGACAGTTGTAACATCAACAACCTGAGAAGCTAGTTGAAGATTTTCCATCTTTTCCTGCATTAAGATACAGAAAGAGTTAGCATTCTGCTCATAACATTCTGTTAAGACATTATTGTCCATTATTTGTGGAGTCCTGTAGCTCAGTGGTTAGAGCACTCGCTTTGCAAGCGAGAGACCTGAGTTCAATTCCAGACAGGGCGAAACCTTGGGCAAGTTTCCTTACGCCACCCGCCTAATAATAATCCCTCCAAAACCAAAAAAAACAATAATAAATTGGTCATTTTCAATCCACGACTGTTTGTGGGACATTGCTGTGCGCAATTGGCTGCCGCGTTCGCCCACAAATATACAGTCAATTCACTTTACAGTATATTCTGTGAAGCGCTTTGGGACATCCTCCCGACGTGAAAAGCGCTATATCAAATGCAAGGATTATTATTATTATTATTATTATTGGATCAGTTACATGCATCACATACTGCCCCAAAAAAGCTAATTCCAGTTGTAGCAAGATGTTGTTTTAATGGCATGACATTTGATTGGGCACCCAGGCTGATATGAACTTAATTTTTACTGGCATTTTAACTTTTGATATTTGATACAGCACCTTATTATGTCAAAACATCCTCAAAGTGCTTCACAGGATTGCATATTTGTAGACACGAAGCAATGTCCCCCAAACAGCCATGAACACCAATTTTATCAAAACTCTGTGGACTATTGCTCACATTCTATGCCTGTAATTGTCCTTAATTTACCCTGAAACACAGAAACGTTCAGCACTGGAGGAGGCAACTCAGCCCATCAAGTCTGTGCCAAATCCAGAAGCTGATGCTTTGTTCATCACTGAATCCTCTATCCTGTAGCAGAATGATTTTTTTTTGTTACTCACAAAATACTGCAAGGACATCAGCTTCAAACTATCATTGCACCTCTGGCAATGCAAACCCATTGGTTTATAATCACATCCAATATGTTGTTTTTTCAGATACCTCTTTTGAAATCCAGAGTTAATGATGATGTTGAGATGATGTATTTTTATGCGGCACGAGATCACAGATGTCACCAGTTTTTACTTTACACATTGTAAGATTAATTACATACGACAAAAACACATGGTACAAATAGCATTAAAGATCTGGGAGCAGTGAAACACTGAAACTTTATTCCATCCATGAGTTTCAGTTTTCTGGTGTCATTTGGATAATTTCCATACCCAACAACTCCCATCAACAATTCCATAAATAATTCCTGCCTATGAATATTGTATCATTTAGATTTATTACATAAAAACTATAAGAACATTTGCCATGAACCATACAATTTCTCAAACAAGACGATCGCAAAATGTCAAAATATACCAGATTCCTTGACTTAAAGAGTAAAAAATGCTCTGCTTCTTCTAATTTGGTTATTCAATGAGAACACACCTGTTACTGTATACAATCTGCACAGCAACAACACAACAACTTGCACTTATATTGCGCCCTCCACGCCGGGCAGCATCTCAGAGTGCTTAACAATGGTGGAGCCCAAGGCCGAGCCAGGAGAGGGGGAAGGTGACCATAGGCTTGGTTGAAAAGGAAGATCTTCAGGCGTGACCTGAAGATGGGGAAGGAGGGGGCGAGGCAAAGGGGTGGAGGGAGAGAGTTCCAAAGTTTTGGGGCGTAGTGGCTAAAGTCACAGCCGCTGATGGTGGAGCGGAGGATTCGGGGGACGCGGAGGAGGCCAGACCTAGTAGAACGGAGACAGTGGGTATTGCTACGGGAGAGAGGTTAGAGAGATAGCGGGGTGCCAAGGAATGGAGAGATTTAAACACTGGAGTGAGGATCTTGAAGTCGATCCGCTCTGTGACAGAGAGCCAGTGGAGTTTGGCAAGGACTGGAGTAATCAAGGTACGAAGTTTGGTGCGGTTGAGAATGTGGGCGGCAGAGTTTTGAATGAGCCGGATATTGTGAATAGTGGAGGAGGGGAGAACAGCAAGGAGGGCATTAGAGTAGTCCAGCTGAGAGGTGACAAAGGCACGGACAAGGGTTTTGGCAACATTTGGGGTGAGGTATTGTTTGAGATGGGCAATTTGGCAGAGGTGGAAGAAAGTGGTGCTGGTCAGGGACCAGATTGGGGGAGGAAGGATAACTGGGGATCAAACCTAACGTCTACATTGAGCACGGGTTCAGAGAGTTTTATAGACAGGTTGGGTAGGTTGAGGAGGTTGGAACCATGGGACAGAAGACATTGGCAGGAGCCAAAGAGTATGGCTTCCGTCTTGTTGATGTTTAACTGCAGGAAATTTGCGCTCATCCAGATCTTGATGTCTGACAGACAAGCTGACAGAATCTCAGGGCACTCGGGATCGCAGCTGGAGGTGGAAAAGTAGAGCTGAGTGTCATCCGCATACATGTAGAAGTTAACCTCGTGTCTGCGGATGACATCACTGAGAGGAAGCATCTAGATGAGGAAGAGAAGGGGTCCAAGGATGGATCCTTGGGGTATCCCACAGGTGACCGGGTGAAAGCGCAAAGAAAAGCCATTTACAGAAATGTAGTGTTGGGGGTTTGTAAGTTGGGACTCAAACCAATCGAGTGCGGTCCCACTGAGGTGGATGATGGAAGACAGGCGGTGGAAGAGGATGGCGTGATCGACTATGTCGAATGGGGCGGAGAGGTCCAGGAGGATGAGGAGGCAGAGGAAGCCCTGGTCACAGATAGAGAGGATATCGTGTGACCTTCATAAGCGTTGTCTCTGTACTGTGGGCAGAGTTGAAACCAGACCTGAGGGGTTTGAGTAGAATGTGGAGGCAGAGGTGTGCGTGAAGTTGGTTGGCAACAACGCGTTCCAGAGCTTTGGCAAGGAAGGGCAGGTTTGAGATAGGGCAGTAGTGGCCTAGGTTGGAGGGATCAAGGCTAGGTTTTTTTAAGGAGGGGGTTGATGACCATGGTTTTGAGGGCGAGTGGGACTGATCTTGAGGAGAGAGACTAGTTAATAGTGTCTGCCAGCAGTGGGCAGAGGAGGGGGACCTGAATGATCAGCAGTTGGGTGGGGAGGGGGTCGAGGCAGCAGGTGGTAGGTTCATTATGGTGATGGTGGATGAGAGGGAGGAAGGAGAGATGGGGGCAAATGAATGTAGGATGGGGCCACGGTAGGAACTGAGGGCGGAATGGGTGAGGGAGACGGAATGGGGGTGGTGGTAGGCGACCTGGAGCAGAGGGATGAAGCTGCCAGGTGGATGTTTCAATTTTAGAGGTAAGGAAGTCCATGACCTCTTTGCACTTGCCATTCGATGTGATGATTAAGGGGGGTGCACGGAGGAGGTGGTGGGCGCTGGAGAATAGGATTTTGCAGTTATTGTTGTCTTCCAGTATGATGTTTGAGTAGTGGCGTTTTTTGCTTGTGACAGTGAGCAGTGGTAGGTGTGAAAATGCTCGAGCCACAGCTGGTGGTGAACTGTGAGGCTGTTTTTCCTGCCACTTCCGCTTGAGCAACCGGGTTTGGGATTTTAGGGAGCGGAGATGGCTGTTGTATCAGGGGGAGCGGGTGGGTTTAGAAACGGTCCTGGATTTCAGGGGGTCGAGGGAGTTGAAGGTGGAGGAGAGGCGATCATGGAGCAGCATGACGGCTGCTTCAGGGTCGCTACGGGTGGAAGGCCAGAGAGATTGGAGGTCTGAGGATGAGAGGGCTTTGTGAGGGTTTCAGGGGGAAGCCTATTCCATGGGCAGAAAAGTATAGTTGAGGTCCTGATGGAGGGGAGAGGGATGCGAGAGGAGAAGGAGATCAGGAAATGGTTCGAAATGACCTTGTCCATGATGCACAGGCTGGAAATGTCGAGGCCAAGTGTGATGTCGAGGTTCAGGGGGTGGCCACGGTTGTGAGTCGACAAGTTGATGTGGAGGGTGAGGTGTAGGGAGGAGAGGAGGCAGTGAAATCTGAGGATGTGGTGCAAGGGGAGTTTAGGTGGAGGTTGAAGTCGCCCAATTATGAGCAGGCATTCTGAGCAGAGGGACAGGGAGGAGAGTAGAGCAAAGATATCGGAGAGGAAGGAGCCAAGGAGTTTTGGGGGCGATAAACCAGGAGAATTTTGAGTGAGGGAGAGGAGGGATGGTAGAGGATGAGGTGCTCAAATGAGGAGAAGCAGCCAGAGGAATAAGGGGTTAGACCGAGGGAAGCTTGGGAGATGAGGGCCACCCTGTCGCTACGTTGGTTAGGGTGGGCGTTGTGGTGGAAGGTGTAGCCAGGAAGGGAGGCTTCAACTGGGAGAGAGCCAAGTTTCCGTAAGCCCAAGAATATCCATGTGCTCATCCAGGATGAGGCCATGGATAGTGAGGGCTTTATTGGAGAGGGAGCAGACATTTTGTAGGGAAATGCGTATGGGTTTGCTAATGGGGACGGATGGAGGAAAGAGTGCTATGGAGAGGATTTGAGTCGTGGGGAAGAAATAACCCTGGAGTTTGAGGAGCAGGCAGTGTTGGTGAGGGTATGGCTGAGGGAGGGGGAAGGGGTGTTTGCCTTTTCGGAGGCGGTTGCTGAGAGAGAGTGAGCATTGGGACAGTGGGGTGGCTGCTCTGGGCCGACCAACGCTGGGAGCTATGATGAGCCCGGCGGAAGATGCCCAGTCTGGAGCAGAGGGAGGTAATGGTGGAGTCCAGGAGAGAGAGAAGGCGGGGAGGGCAGTGGGAGAGAAGAGCAGAGGAGGTAGGAGGAGGAGCATTTCCGGGGGAACGGCTCAGTTTGGGGCGGCAGCCAAAACGCACACGGGAACGAGCTATCAGGAGACAGCACAAGGTGGGGGAGGGGGAGAGGTGGAATGGCAGTCATGGCTACGGTGCCAGAGACCGGGAGGGAAGGGAAGACAAGATAGCAGAAGGATAATTGCGTGTACTTACCCTACCCTGGCAGATTTGAAACTGGTAATTGAAACACAATGAACAATCAACAACAACAACAAAATTACATTTGTATAACGCCTTTCACATTGGGAGGACGTCCCAAGGCGCTGGACAATTAGTGTTTCGGACCCGAGCTGGGGCTCGAGATCGAGGAAGGTGGAGGGCAGGGGGGTAAACAAGACATGGCCATACAAATTAAGTTTTTAATGGCCACGACAGATCACATATGACAGCAACTAAAGGTCCACCATGCACAACTTCCCATCAATTGACAAACTGAATCCTGCATATTCTACGCTGAAACAGAAAACTTTGCAGTGCCTCATCACAACAATTCTTCTCTTCTATTGTACAGTTCTCCACAATAAATACTGACCCTCAAACAAACAGCACCATCATCAACAAAATAACATTGGATGACTTACTCTAAGAGCCATCAACAACAGCTATTACATACAACCATACAACAAACACTTCACTGCAATATTCTGGGTCATCGACCTGAGGCATTGGCTCACTTTCCTCTCTCCATAGACGGTGCCTGACCTGCCGATTGTGGGTGATTGTCCGTCTGTGTGTACGTCTTACTGCGGTCCCCACATGACCTGGGCCACCCCCTGCCCGCCCCCAGCGTGTAACTGATGCCTTCTGTAAATACCTGGGCTCTGTGTACAGTGTACGGCTCCTACAATATAAATGGAATCATCCCACAATTAACCCTAACCATAACCCAGATTCAAAACAAGAATAGGAGAGCAACAAGTGAACTGGAAAGCAATAGCAGCTATAAAACATATGTGGGTCACCAGAAAGGATAGTCTATCTTCTATGCTGTATCGTAATGGTTCTATAGGTGTTGGCATGATTAGAATATAGATCAACTTCACTGTGTCTAAAGCATTATTGCTGCATTCTCGAAAGCAAGCATTCCTATTCCTGATTGGGGAAAGAACAGAGTAATGGGATTCATATGGTGGAGGTCACCAACACAAACATGATGGACTGAATGGTCTCCTGTGCTGCAAAGCTTCTATGATGTTGTATTGACCATTCTCTTTTTACCCCTTGACCCCAATTTTCTCCATAAAGCATCATTCATTACTGACCAGACAATGTTATCTGCTTGACAACGAATCTCCAGATAATCTTCAGGGCCTCAGTCAGACGTGTGCAGCATGCTCAACACTCGCTTCTCTCTTGCAGCTCCTTCAACTACATACAACAACAACAACAACAAGATTCCATTTATAGAGCGCCTTTCACGTCGGGAGGACGTACATTGCAGCAGTTAGAATTCCAGGGTAATTAAGATGACAACACAACATTGCAAGTTTCAGAAACACACTGGTACACCTTAATAATCAATCACTGTTTAGAGTACTGAACTGGACCAGCTGAAGGAAACTGAAGGTACATTATCTAAAAATAAAGGTAAAATGTAGGTGCTTCCCTTCCAAGTAATGAACCATTCTTGTTCCAATCTTTTCCCTCTCACCAAGGAAAGTATTTTGCTTCAAATTTCCCCATGACTGAGACTGTGAGTGCCATAGGTACAGAATCAAATGAAAGTCTTGAATTCTAAGCAGAATCTATCGTATCAGATGGTGTGGGTGGGGGGGGGGGGAGATGGTGGGGGTGGAGAGGAGGTGGGGGCACGAGCAGGGTAATCATTCTTCCATTTGCTGTAGTACAATGGGAGGTCATCTCTATTGGCTTTACAATCCCCCAGGTAATATCCTGGACAACAATCCGCCAAATAAAATCAGTCATTCATTTCATGGCTGTTCATGGGGCATTGATATCCATAAATTGGCTGCCACATTTCTCTGTAAAACACTTTACAGTATATGCTGTGAAGCCAATTGAGACGGCCTCGCAACGTGAAAGGCGCTATGAGCAAATAGAAGAATTATTACTTCTTATTACTTCTCTCTTCTCAAATAGTGCCATGGGATTGTTAACGTCCACCTGAACAGGCAGACAAGTGCGAGCAGAGGGAGACTGAATAGGTTTAACTTACTGAACAGAAAAAATGGACAATTAAGAAAATCATTTCTATTATGATACACTATTTGTGAGAAAAAAAATTCAAAAACAAATGAGTGCAATGACCAGCACAATATCAAATTTGATATAAAAATTGAAAAGGAAGTGGAACAGCCAAAAACAAAATATACCCATCAAGAAAATGGCCTATTTGAAGCAGATGAAAAGAAAGCTGGCATAAACTGGGTAGAAAAGCTGGAAGATAAGACAGTGGGAAATTGTCAAATACGAAATGAATAGGAACATAGGAAGACGAGTAGGTTATTATGTCCATTGAGTCTGCTCCGCCATTTTTTTTTAGATCATTGCTGATCTGAAACACAACAGAGCTCTTTGAGGAAATTAACAAGAAAACAGATAAAGGTTTCGTGAATGTGATATACATGGATTTTTTGAAGCCTTTTGACAAGGCGCCACATAAGAGAATTATTAAAAACATTAAGGTGCTTTGGTATTAATAGAGTGATGTCAGCACGGATAGAAAACAGAAAGATGGTTAAGAAACAGAGAATGTGAGTACATGGTTGCCATTCGCAATGGAGAAGCGGAAATAGTGGTATCCCACTCTGCTGGGACGAGTGCCACTCTCCATTTATATAAATGATCTGCATTCTGGTGTAAGAGGCATCATTTCTATGTTACACAAAAATAGAAAGTGTAACAGTGAAGTAGATTGTAAGCAATTTCAGGAGGACATGAAACAAAAACTTGCATTCGGTATAGAATATTTTCAGGTAAATGAAACCATCCCAAAACGCTTCACACAAATTACTGTAGAGTGCGGTGACTGTGTATCTGTAGGCACATGTGGCAGCCAATTTTGTGCACAGCGTTGTCCTATAAACAACCATAATGTGCATGACCAGTTTATCTGGAGGATTGATGGGCAGGATGACGGGAAATTTAATGGAGCAAGGTGTGAGGTTATATATCACGGGGGTAATAATAACAAGTGCTAAACTAAATGGTAACATTTTAAAGGGAGTGGAATATCTGTGAGCAGTGCTCTGGGGTATTGCAAACTTGCCTGGCACAGGAACGGACAACACCGGAGAATTGATTTGGGATTGTGACACTCTGTTGTCAAGAGGTCACCTTGGAGCCAGTTCAGCTCCGAGGAGACCCCACATTACCTCTCCTTCCCTCCCTCCCTCCCTCCCTCCCACCACCCACCCCCCAGGACAGTCACCAGTTGGGCATTGTATTGTACAGCGGGGGGAGTCTGAGTGTATAGTGGGGGGGGGGGTCTGAGTGTACAGTGGAGAGGTCTGAGTGTACAGTGGGGAGGAGGGGGCGGTCTGAGTGTACAGTGGACAGGTCTGAGTGTCCAGTGGGGAGAGGGGGGGGTCTGAGTGTACAGTGGGGGGGGGGGGGGGGCGGTCTGAGTGTACAGTGGACAGGTCTGAGTGTCCAGTGGGGAGAGGGGGGGGGTCTGAGTGTACAGTGGGGGGGGGGGGGGGGGCGGTCTGAGTGTACAGTGGAGAGGTCTGAGTGTATAGTGGGGGGGGGGTCTGAGTGTACAGTGGAGAGGTCTGAGTGTATAGTGGGGGGGGGGTCTGAGTGTACAGTGGACAGGTCTGAGTGTCCAGTGGGGAGGGGGGGGGGGTCTGAGTGTACAGTGGGGGGGGGGGGGGCGGTCTGAGTGTACAGTGGAGAGGTCTGAGTGTATAGTGGGGGGGGTCTGAGTGTACAGTGGAGAAGTCTGAGTGTACAGTGGGGGGGGTTCTGAGTGTACAGTGGACAGGTCTGAGTGTCCAGTGGGGAGAGGGGGGGGGGGTCTGAGTGTACAGTGGGGGGTCAGTGTACAGTGGGGGTCTCAGTGTATAGTGGGGGGTCAGTGTACAGTGGGGGGTCAGTGTACAGTGGGGCGGTCAGTGTACAGTGGGGGGGGTCAGTGTACAGTGGGGGGTCAGTGTACAGTGGGGGGGTCAGTGTACAGTGGGGGGTCAGTGTACAGTGGGGGGTCAGTGTACAGTGGGGGGTCAGTGTACAGTGGGGGGGTCAGTGTACAGTGGGGGGGTCAGTGTATAGTGGGGGTCAGTGTACAGTGGGGGTCAGTGTACAGTGGGGGGTCAGTGTACAGTGGGGGGTCAGTGTACAGTGGGGGGGTCAGTGTACAGTGGGGGGTGTCAGTGTACAGTGGGGGGTGTCAGTGTACAGTGGGGGGTCTCAGTGTACAGTGGGGGAGTCTCAGTGTACAGTGGGGGGGGGTCTCAGTGTACAGTGGGGGAGTCTCAGTGTACAGTGGGGGAGTCTCAGTGTACAGTGGATGGGGGTCTCAGTGTACAGTGGGGGAGTCTCAGTGTACAGTGGGGGAGTCTCAGTGTACAGTGGGGGGTCTCAGTGTACAGTGGGGGGGTCAGTGTACAGTGGGGGAGTCTCAGTGTACAGTGGGGGGGTCAGTGTACAGTGGGGGGTCAGTGTACAGTGGGGGAGTCTCAGTGTATAGTGGGGGGGGTCATTGTACAGTGGGGGGTCAGTGTACAGTGGGGGGTCAGTGTACAGTGGGGGGTCAGTGTACAGTGGGGGGTCAGTGTACAGTGGGGGGGGTCAGTGTACAGTGGGGGGTCAGTGTATAGTGGGGGATCAGTGTGCAGTGGGGGGTCAGTGTACAGTGGGGGGTCAGTGTACAGTGGGGGGTCAGTGTACAGTGGGGCGGTCAGTGTATAGTGGGGGTCAGTGTACGGTGGGGGTCAGTGTGCAGTGGGGGGTCAGTGTATAGTGGGGGTCAGTGTACAGTGGGGGGTCAGTGTATAGTGGGGGGTCAGTGTGCAGTGGGGGGTCAGTGTATAGTGGGGGTCAGTGTACAGTGGGGGGTCAGTGTACAGTGGGGGGTCAGTGTATAGTGGGGGTCAGTGTACAGTGGGGTGGTCAGTGTACAGTGGGGGGGTCAGTGTACAGTGGGGGGGGTCAGTGTACAGTGGGGGGTCAGTGTACAGTGGGGGGTCAGTGTACAGTGGGGGTCAGTGTACAGTGGGGGGTCAGTGTGCAGTGGGGGGGTCAGTGTGCAGTGGGAGGGGGTCAGTGTACGGTGGGGGTCAGTGTACAGTGGGGGGTCAGTGTACAGTGGGGGTCAGTGTACAGTGGGGGGTCAGTGTGCAGTGGGGTGGTCAGTGTACAGTGGGGGGTCAGTGTGCAGTGGGGGGGTCAGTGTACAGTGGAGGGTCAGTGTACAGTGGGGGGTCAGTGTGCAGTGGGGTGGTCAGTGTACAGTGGGGGTCAGTGTGCAGTGGGGGGTCAGTGTACAGTGGAGGGTCAGTGTACAGTGGGGGATCAGTGTGCAGTGGGGGGTCAGTGTACAGTGGGGGGTCAGTGTACAGTGGGGGGTCAGTGTATAGTGGGGGGTCAGTGTACAGTGGGGGGTCAGTGTATAGTGGGGGGTCAGTGTATAGTGGGGGTCAGTGTACAGTGGGGGGGTCAGTGTACAGTGGGGGGTCAGTGTACAGTGGGGGGGTCAGTGTACAGTGGGGGGTCAGTGTATAGTGGGGGTCAGTGTACAGTGGGGGGTCAGTGTACAGTGGGGGGGAGTCAGTGTATAGTGGGGGGGGGTCAGTGTGCAGTGGGGGGGTCAGTGTGCAGTGGGGGGTCAGTGTGCAGTGGGTGGTCAGTGTACAGTGGGGGGTCAGTGTGCAGTGGGGGGTCAGTGTGCAGTGGGGTGTCAGTGTATAGTGGGGGTCAGTGTACATTCGGGGGTCAGTGTATAGTGGGGGTCAGTGTATAGTGGGGGGTCAGTGTGCAGTGGGGGGTCAGTGTACAGTGGGGGGTCAGTGTACAGTGGGGGGTCAGTGTATAGTGGGGGTCAGTGTATAGTGGGGGTCAGTGTGCAGTGGGGGGTCAGTGTGCAGTGGGGGGTCAGTGTACAGTGGGGGGTCAGTGTATAGTGGGGGTCAGTGTACAGTGGGGGTCAGTGCACAGTGGGGGCAGTGTACAGTGGGGGGGAGGGGGAGGGGTCTCAGTGTGCAGTGGGGGGAGGGGGAGGGGGGTCTCACCTCTGCCTCTCTGAGTCGGTGTGACCTGTCCTCTCTCTCTCTCTCTCTGGCTGCCGGTTACTGGTGCGCCTGCGTGACCCCGACCGGAAGTACAGTGACGGAGGCCGCCGCGCGCCACCTCTACCTGTTCCCGTCCTGCACCGCGAACCTCACCTCAAAACATCCGGAGAGGGGGAGACCCGGGGAGAGGCCCAGGGAGAGAGGGGGGGACCCGGGGAGAGGCCCAGGGAGAGAGGGGGGGACCCGGGGAGAGGCCCAGGGAGAGAGGGGGGGAGAGGCCCAGGGAGAGAGGGGGGGACCCGGGGAGAGGCCCAGGGAGTGAGGGGGGACCGGGGAGAGGCCCAGGGAGAGAGGGGGGGACCCGGGGAGAGGCCCAGGGAGAGAGGGGGGGAGAGACCCGGGGAGAGGCCCAGGGAGAGAGGGGGGGAGAGACCCGGGGAGAGGCCCAGGGAGAGAGGGGGGGACCCGGGGATAGAGGGGGAGACCCGGGGAGAGAGGGGGGGACTCGGGGATAGAGGGGGAGACCCGGGGAGAGAGGGGGGAACCCGGGGAGAGACCCGGGGAGAGAGAGAGGGGGAGACGGGGAGAGAGAGAAGGGGAGACGGAGAGAGAGAGGGGGGGATTCGGGGAGAGAGGGGGGGACTCGGGGAGAGACCCGGGAGAGAGACCCGGGGAGCGAGAGAGGGAGGGACCCGGGGAGAGAGGGGGGGGAGACCCGGGGAGAGAGGGGGGGGGGAAACCCGGGGAGAGAGGGGGGGGAGACCTGGTGAGAGAGGGGGGAGTAAGACACGGGGAGAGAGAGAGGGAGAGACCTGGGGAGAGAGGGGGGGACTCGGGGAGAGGCCCGGGGAGAGAGGGAGCGGGAGACCCGGGGGGGGGGGTAGAAAGACCCAGGGGGAGACTCGGGGGGAGAGAGAGATCTGGGCAGGGGGTGAGCAGAGCTCGGATTGTCCAGGAGAGAGAGTCTGGTGGAGAATTCCCAGGCGCCGGGATGGAGGATGACGCTCCTGTCATTTATGGTCTTGAATTTCAGGTAAAACAAAATGGCGGTGACCTGTTCACCCCAAACCTGCTCCAGATCAGAGGATCGACCAATTCATTTACCCCCTTGGAACCAGTGAAGGTCCATAGCCTGAATCCAGAGTCCTGTAGCTCAGGGGTTAGAGCACTCGCCCTCGCAGGCGAGACAACTGAGTTCAATTCCCGGCAGAGGGCGAAACCTTGGGCAAGTTTCCTTACTCCACACACCTGATAATAATCCCTCAAGAAAAAAAAAAGCAATACTAATTTGGTCACTCAATCCACGACTGTTTGTGGGACACTGCTTTGTGCAATTGACTGCAGCGTTTCGCCCACAAACTTCACTTTACAGCATATTCTGTGAAGCGCTTTGAGACGTCCAGAAGACGTGAAAAGCGCTATATCAAATGCAAGGATTATTATTATTAAGAGGCATGACCCCATATCTATTTTTTTTTGATCAGCTGCGTGACAGCTGAACCTATCGCCATGTTTAAGAGCATCCAAACCAGACTTGAGATTTCCGCATATGTATACCACCTAACATGAAAGTTTCTGTGTCTGAAAATGGAATGCATATTTTCTCCCCAGAGGGAGGCCACTTGCTTACCTATTTCCAGAGGATATGAGGCACAAGTTGACAACTTGGGGACACAGAGTATGCATTGGGTACTGCTGGAGCTTAACCAGCTAATACCTGTGCAGTTTGCCATTGAATACTCCATGACAAGCTTCCCATTGCTTGACCATTTAGGACCATGCGACCCACTAGGGCTTTGGTTTGCAGGATAAACAGCAGCCATGTGGGAAGCTTCTCTCCTCCCAGTGACTGTTCTAGACCGCCATGTCCTCCTGACACGCCAAACTGGTTGGTTCATCATTGCCTTGGAGCACTAGAGACCTACCTGGCTGTGTAACTGGAATTTTTTTTTGAGCATTACCTGCGTACAAAATTCAAGGGGAGTCATTCGGCTACCTCTCCCCCATCCACCACTACCCCCTCGCCACCTTCCCCCTACGCCCCGGCCCCCACCATCCCTCTCTATACATCTTTGTCCCTATCTCCCCCTCTTCCCTCACCTCCATCATTTCAAAAATGAAGCCCACCACCTGCTCCCTCGACTCAAACCCCTCTCCTCACCTCTCAGCTCCACTTCCTGGCCCCTCTTTTAACTGACATTATCAATCTCTCACTGGCACTGTTCCTATCCCCTTAAGAACAGCTGTCATCAACCCATCCTCAAAAAATCCTTCCCTGGACCCATCCCTGCTCTCCAGCTATCCCATCTCTAACCACTCATTCCTCTCCAAGGCCCTGGAACAGGTTGTCGCGTCCCAGCTTCACTCTTTCCTCTTCTGCCATTCCCTCTCTGAACCCTTTGTCGGCCTCCCCAACTCCTCCCTCCATAGGCTGCAGATCATCTAGAACCTGTGTCCTCTCTCGCATCAGGCTCCACGACCCTATCACCCCCACCGTCGCTCGATTCCACTGGCTCCCGTTACACAGAGGATATAGTTCAAGATCCTGGTCCTCACTTTCTGTGGTAACATCATTCCCCCTCCTCATCCTGTTTGACCTCTTCCTCACGCCCAGCTTGGATGCCAACCAACAGTTTTATGAAAGGTGCTAAATAAATCTAAATTCTAAGCTTGTTTCCCTGATGCAATATTGTATTACTTGTTAATGTTTCTGTTGTATAGTTCTAATGGGTACTCTTGGTGCAGCTTGTCATTTTTTTCACAGACTTAGAAAGTAAACTGCAAGACTCCTGCATTAAGAATGAATTCAATTTTAATTGGGAAAAATGTGGGTCATTGAAAGTTTTTCCCCTTTGGAATGTGTACAGCACAATATTTTAGTCCCAAATAATTGGTTGAAAGCTTAAGGAGAGAGTCTCGTAGCTAGTAAAACTATTTATAAGTGAAGGAAATTTTAAGATGAATGTCACTTAACGATTAACCATTTCACGAATGGTATTGTAACTTCTCAAACTGATTGTCACCTAGAAAAATGTAATCATTCAAACGAAGGTACCAAACCACGAATAAGAGGAAAAATTAATAATTGAAGTGGGTGCTATATATAGAGCTGAGGAACAGGACAAGTGTTTTGTTTGATTCCCATCTGTGTTTCAAACCCCATATCCTCGCTCTTACCCGCTCAGCTTTTCCTTACCTTGGTAACATTTCCTGCTTCCGGTGCTCTAGCTTTCCTCGGACGGCCAAGGCCCTCATTCATTCTTTTATGACATCCAGGCTTGACTACGCCAACTTCACTGCACAAGACACAGACAATCCAGAACTCTGCAGCTCGTGTTCTTTCCTGCTCGTGTCTGGGAGCGTGCCACAGCGGCCCTCCAACTTGCTCCCTCCCTCAACTTGTTGAAGGTCCGTCTCGAGATGCATCTCTTTGACTGTGCTTTGGGTCATCTTTCCCCTCTCCAGCCCTCTGGTCTCAGCCCAAGCTCAGGTGCCCAGCATTGTCAATCAAGCACTTCGAGACATCCTCCCAATGTGAAAGGCACTGTAATAATAATGATCCTTGCATTTGATATAGTGCCTTATCATGTCTTTGAGACGTCTCAAAGTGCTTCACAGAATATACTGTAAAGTGAATTGACTGTATATGGGTGAAATGCTGGAGCAATTGTGCACACCATTGTCCCACAAATAGTCGTGGATTTAGTAACAATTTTTTTTTGAGGGATTATTCCCCCGGAAAGAGATCCGCCAATCGACTGACAACCGGGTTCCTACTGACTATTAGGTAAACACCTGTACCTCTGTTTAAATTGATTGTTTGTGTTTCTCTGGCCCTTCAAAGATTCAAACACTTACGAAAGCTTCACTTCTGATCCTGAAGCTTTTTGTCTACTTGTTTGACTGATGGGAAGTTTTCCCTATTGGCAAGTTTTGAAATGAATCAGATCCACATTGCCAGTATGCTTCCTCAGTAAGTCTCTAACATGATGGGTCTGCATAACAGGAGCACAGCAGGACTCATAGTTGGTTCAATAAATGCAATTATTATTTTCTAGGATACTGACGGGGTGCAATTTCCATGCTGCTCCCAGTGTTGTACTGTAGTACGTATCCACCGCACTTCTGTTCCTGATCAAGTTGCTGCAGGTTAAAACACAAGTTCAGTCTGTACGTTTGGTGGGAGCCTGGATAAGATTTTTTTTGTTAAAATTCATAATCAGACTCTCCTACGACAAGCCAATGCCGGGGCTGAAGCATTCCCGCCACTAGATGCTGCTGTGTATTTTGCAATACAATGCTGTAGGTTGGGTGTAAAGTGCACTTGTAACTGACATTGTTGGGAGGAGTCACTACGAACATTCTGTCCAGTTTCTGGAGTGAGTGGGACTTTGATTGGGGCACTCTCTAAATATTTAATCTATGGTAAATTTACAGATTCTGCAAATCCTAGATTGAGTGAATATGTTAGACTGTATGGTGATGGAAATTTATTAGTAATGATCCTAAACTGATGGCTCCTCTGAACGACCCAATGTCCAATTATCTATTTGTACTGATAGGATTGAACTGAACTATGTGACCTATGATAATTGTATTCATGTACCCACTGGGAATTGAACCTGGGACCTTATAGAACAGAATATCTGACTACTTGCCCTATGGTAGCGCATTTATTTACGTACAATATTTATATATGTGCCTTATTCGCCACTACTGATAACTCGTCACTGAGTTATTTTCCCTTGGAGTGAGAAGTTATCAGGACTTTACTGTATTTATATCACATACTTATTCCATCCCTCGTAAAATATATAATCATCAAAGTTCTCATGCGCAGGTCTTCAAGTAACAAGTTGCATCTTTTGTGATGAATTAATTTGTTCACATTTTGTTATCTTCTGCAGTGTATCTCACTTCCATTGTGAGGACACCTGGGTTGTTCTCTGCATCAGCAGAGTATCTCAGAGTGAGCGTCCCTCAGCAGGAAGGGCTCTCTGGAGGTTTAAACACCCATCCATCTGCTGCTATTGGCTTATCCTCATGGCAAAGTGTGACCCGCTTCCGGTAGAGTAGGAAGACCCACCCTCCTCTTTCACCTGAACTCAGCCTTTATACAATCCCGAAATCCCAGGATTCTCTTCAATGAATTCCTGGATTTTGGGAACACCATTACAATCCGGGATCCTGGGATTGGGATTCCCAAGATTGCAACCTCTACTCTCACCGCTGAATTTGAGCTCCTTACCATGACTTGAGTTCAAAATCTAGCTTGGCACATGAGTGCAGTGATGAGGCAATCCTGCGTTGTTAGAGTTGTCCTTCAGCTGAGTTGTTAAACTGGGGTTGTGTTTAGCTGTTCTGTTGATATGAACAATCCCATTGCAGTACTTGAAGAAAAGCAAGTTTCTCCCAATATTTTGACCACTATTCCTCCCTCATCGAAATGCATCAAAATAGATTAATTTTTTAAAATAATTTTTCTCATTTCTTTTTGAGGGATATTGTCATAATTAGCTGTTGCTCTTGCCTCCATAACCATCCCTACAACTCAAAGTAAGTCATTCTGTGAAGGTCTCGGAGGCACCTCAAAACAATAAAATTCTGTGTGAAATTTGATATCTGAATGTAGCTCTGTTCAGCCTGGTTTATTTAACAGTAAGTTTTTACAGTGCTGAAATCCACCCCAATCGCCCTACCATTGGTGGTCGGGCCTTCAGCCTCTCAGCCCCCAGGCTCTGGAACTCCATCCCCCAGTGCCTTCGCCTTGCTTCCTCCCTTTCCTCCTTCAAGGCCGGTCTCAAAATCTTTCTCTTTGACCGAGCCTTCAGCTCCCTTCTCGACTCTCTTCCCCCTCCTCGCTCCCTCCCTTCCCTCCCCTCCCCCTGACCATTTCCCCCCTCCTCGCTCCCTCCCCTCCCCTGACCATTTCCCCCCTGCTCGGGTCCTGACCCAACTGTGCAGCGCCTTGGGACGTCCTCCTGACGTGAAAGGCGCTTTATAAATGGAATCTTGTTGTTGTGTGTGTGTGAGAAACTCCTTTTCCTCCTTAATAATGTGAGGTTAAAGGGGAGTTCCATACTTTGTATTTCATCAATCTTCCCGTACGTTCTATGACATCTCCAAAACTTGTGAAAGCACTGGACAATATTGAAACATGCGTTACAGAACAATTCCCCTATTGTTGTCCCCACTCGTTGCAATGGTCTTTCTTTGGTAGAATTGTTTTGGTTTCAAGCTCTTGTATATTTTGGCTAGCAAAACCAAAGAATAATGCAGCGAATTTAAATCCATGGTTGAAATAAAGCACTTGATGAATGCAGTGAAAAATAAGCTGTAGATTTACAGATTTCCCCTGATTTATTTTGCAGGCACGTGCTTTAGCACCACAAGTGGCTGAAACTGATGCCATAAGGTTTCTGGTCGGCACTCAATCGCTCAAGTATGATAACCAGGTGAGTAACTATGAACACATTGTGACATTTCTGTTCTCATCGGGTTTATAAATAGCAAATTTATTATAAAATGGAAAAAAAATTGTTTTAATATTTAATCGAACCAGTACTTGTCGGTCTATCCTTCTTAAGATAAATCTTGGCCAGTCACATTAAATTGCAAGTTGCTGACCTTAGCATTCAGGGGACTGGCCATATTTGAGAACGCCAGACAAGTTTGGTAGTCATATCTTGGTTTTGATAAACAGCAATGTGGAATTTTTTTTTCTATAATTTACTAAAAGTTGAAGAAAGCAAAGTGAACTGGAGCGCAAACTGATTTTTCAAAGTGAAATTACTTTTTAACCAATGTTTCAGAACTTGATTATTGTTTTGAAACTGAAAATGTATTTTTTAGACCTATTTTTGCTTGTGTTGATTGCCCCTGTACTACAAATCATTCTCTATTGGAGATTGTGGGCAGCAGCCTTGTGAAAGCTACTGAAACCCTAGTCTATGCCTTTGTCACCTCTCGGCTGGACTATTCAAATGCCCTCCTCGCCGGTCTCCCATCCACTACCATCCATAAAATCCAGATCATTCAAAACTCTGCCGCCCGCATTCTCACCCGCACCAAACTCCGCTCCCCGATCACCCCAGTCCTTGCCAGACTTCACTGACTGCCTGTCCCAGACAGGATCGACTTCAAGATCCTCACCCTTGTATTCAAATGCCTCCACTCCTCTGCTCCCCCTACCATTCTGACCTCTCTCCTCAAAACAGAACCCGTTGCCTTTGTTCCTCCGGGTCTGCCTCCTCCTCGTCCCCCGAGTCCTCCGCTCCACCCTCGGCGGCCGTGCCTTCAGCCACTATACCCCGAGGCTCTGGAATTCTCTTCCTCACTCACTTCGTCTCGCTCCCTCTCTTTCTATTTTGAGGTCTCTGCTGAAGATCTTTCTCTTCGATCGCGCCTTTGGTCACCTTCCTCTCCATCCCCCTGGCTCGTCGCCGGGATCGGTTACTATAAAGCGCTCTGAGACGCCGTCCGGTGTGGAGGGCGCTATATAAATCCAAGTTGTTGTTGTTAATTTCCCTCTTTTCTCGTTACTAATTCTTCACCTCCAATTTCCTCCCTCTCTTAACTCCTTAAGGTTATTTGACTCTGTGTTTTCATCTATGGGTTTATAGGTCCATGAGTACCAGGCATCCTGTGATACCTCACTCAAGTCACCTCATCCTCCATGTGTGAACATTGACAATCAGTGTTGCCAGGATGCTTCCTGTATGGAGCTTTGCACTTGAAAAAAACAATTTGGTCACTCACTCAACGACTGTTTGTGGGACACTGCTTTCCACAAATGGCTGCCATGTTTCGCCCACAAAATACACAGTCAATACACTTTACAGTCTATTCTGTAAAGCGCTTTGAGATGTCGAGAAGACGTAAAAAGAGCTATATCAAATGCAAGAATTATTATTATATAGCGCTTTTCATGTCTTCTATACGTCTCAAAGCGCTTCACAGAATAGACTGTAAAGTGAATTGACTATATCTGTGGGTGAAATGCAGCAGCGAATTGCACACAGCAGTGTCCCACAAACAGTCTTGGATTGAAGTGACCAATTTATTATTTATTCTTCTTCTTGAGGGATTATTATCAGGCGTGTGGAGCAAGGAAACTTGCCCAAGGTTTCACCCTGCCGGGAATCGAACCCAGGTCTATCGCTAGCAAAGCGAGTGCTCCAACCACTGAGCTACAGGACTGCTATATCAAATGTAAGGCTCATTATTGACCTCCAAACATGCGTACACCTTCTAACCTATCTCCCGATTGCAATTCCAGAAAGAGAAACCTGGCTAAGATTGTTCTCTCCTCCCTAATGCAGTCCCATTGCTGCCCTCTCTGAGATCATCAGGTACTGAATTCAGACCTTTATTCTAATCTACGATCTTCTGGTCTATGTGGCTTCCTGCTAGAATGAGCTGTTGGTGCCTTTCCTCACTGTTTCATTGGGGTAGCTAAATTTATGTTTGCCAAAAAAATTAAGTGCATTTTATAACCTTGATAAGTACTGAATTCAGTGTGGACTCAGTTGACTTGATTTGTGTTAAATTAGCTGACTCCACCATTTTGAAAATGTGGAACGCAATGCTCAATCTTCTTTTGGCAGATTGTGTTTACAACCATGATTATCTAACCCCAAAGATATTTGTAAGAGAACTCTGGGATATCAATCTACCATTCCAATTTTTTTTTTACTGAAATTTCACCGGATGCACTTCACAGATAACATTCCCATGGGGTCCCAGTTGGATTGGAGCTACAACAGAATTTAAAAGTATATACAGCAAGACTTATCTTTGCACTCATTTCTTTCTGTAAACTTAAATGATGATGAAAAAGCATTGATGTTCCGTCGATCCTGTGCTATGAGAGAGAACTTCTGGCAACCTCTAGTGTTGGATATATAGCATGGAAATTTCAGATTAATAATAATAATCTTTGCATTTGATAGAGCACTTTATTGACAGTTGTGCACTCATTGTAATAACTGTGCTAAATTGGCTGCTGCTTTACACCCACAAAATACACAGTCACTACACTTTACACTATTCTGTGGAAAAAAAAGTGGAACCCTGTAGCTCAGTGGTTAGAGCACTCACCTTGCAAGCGAGAGACCTGGGTTCTATTCCTGGCAGGGTGAAATGTTGGGTAAGTTTCTTACCCCACATGCCTCTGTTTACCTAGCAGTAAGTAGGAACTCGGTTGTTAGTCGACTGGCGGATCGCTTTTCTGGGGATAATAATCCCTCAAAAAAATAGTAATTTGGTCATTCAATCAACGATTGTTAATGGGACACTGCTGTAGGCAATTGGCTGCCACGTTTCGCCCACAAATATACAATCAATCCACTTTACAGTATATTCTGTGAAGCGCTTTGAGACGTCTAGAAGACATAAAAAAGCTACATAAAAAGCAAGGATTATATAAAGCGCATTGAGACGTCTCAGTGATGTGATAAGGCACTATATTAAATGCATGGATTATTATTATCGTGTCGTTGAGATGTCTCAAAGCACTTCACAGAATAAACTAAAGTAAATGATTGTATATTTTGCAGGTGAAACAAAATATTATATTTAAGCATGTGAAATAATTGCATCTCATTATAAAATGTTACTTTGCTTACATTTAAGTATTTTTCCAGGGTGAAGTTTTGGGGGATAGAAATAATTTTGGATTTGAAAACTGGCGACCGAGTTAGATCTTACTAGAGCGATTTTTAAATCAAGGGAAGTTTTATGTTTTTCAGGGCTAGGAGTTGGCACTGGAGGGAATGAAGATCTTTTTTATTTTCGGCAATCAATGTTGGCAATAGGTATTCTTAAGACTGCCTGCTTTGACAAACAGGTAGCTGAATAATGTTCAGATGTGCTCAACAGCTCTTTGCAGGTTATTTATTGATTGCTTTTCTGGACAATACTTACTTGTGCTTCATGGTAATTGGAGTGTGGCCCCCTCTTCCTCAGATACAGACCTTTGGGGCTGTTTGTCTTGTGTCTATTGTGTCTTTAAATGCTCTGAGAAGCTATACGAGTGCAAGTTGTTGTTGTGAAGAAAATTGTTGTTTGCCGAGGTGACTGCTGTCAAAATTCAAACATCTCCCTATCTGCAGGAAGAATCAAAATTCTTTAGGTTTCAAAAAAGATGTAATACTCTAGAAACCTCGGAAGTTCTAAATCTTTCCCTAATATTTTCCTCTGGACCATAAATTGACATCCCTCAAATTTAACCCGCTTCGCCAAGTTAAAAGCATATTTTATGGTATACCAAATTGAAAATTCAAAATTACTTTCAATATTAAATTAATGTGTTGAAATGAAATGTGCAGTGTATGATCTAGATTTTGCATGAATTTAAAATATTCATTATTAATATTTTAGCTGTGCTTAACATTTATAGACACATTCACCATCTAGATTGAGATGGTAGATTACTAGAAATTCACCGGATGCATTCCACAATTATTCCCATGGGGTACCTATGTTACAGCTGCAGTCCAATTGCACTGCAGCTGTAACATAGAATTATATTATTTAAATAATTATAATATTATGCAGTGATTAGATAACATAAAAATTATTGTTTAAATGTAATGTGTGTATCATTAATAATATGATTATTACATAATAGGTAGTGAGATATAATACTAATAATATTTAAATATATAATTTGTTTGGATAGTAAGTGAACTGGTACAACAGAATTGGGTTTAAGGACTGTTGTGGTATAATTGCAATTAATGAGTGTCTCGTACATTTTGTGATTGACCAATTTCATTAATTGTAATGAAGAAGATAACAGATTCCAAAGCTGTCAATGTTATATCAACCAAAAATGGTTTTGTGCTGTTAGTGCAAGGAGGAGGGAGAGGGAAGCAAGTTAGCTTTAAAGAGTGGGGATAGATGTATATTCTGAAGTGTTTTCTTCATTATTTTTGGGTAGTCTTGGAATATCTATACAGAATTTTCCATAGGAGAGTAGGTCAGTGAAGTCTTAACAGGTGTTTAATGGGCAATCTTCTTCCATGCTCTTTTCTATTCTTATCCATAAGTATTTTATTATTCATGTCACTTATGAAAGAAGAACAGGAGTACAATATGCAAATAAAGAGAGATTTAAAGGAGAGGGTGAAAAAAAATTACACAGAGGGTGGTTTGAAGGTCGAATTCTCTGCCACAAAATATTGTGGAAGCAGAGTTCATACATTCTTTTAAAAGAAATTACAGCTAGAGAGCTGCATATCTAGACTAATTGACAAGCCCAATTGCAGATATAAAAATTGTGGACAAAGGATTTGTGTGTGATTACTTCTCTTGCTATCTAAGATGATACTAAACTAGGAAAATTATACTAAGCTAGGAAAAGTAGTAAACAGTGAGGAGGATAGTAGCAGAATGCAAGAGGACATAGACAGACTGGTAAAATGGGCAGATCCGTGGCAGATGAAGTTTAATG